CTTGTGGTAGTTGTTGGAGTAGGAGTTGTGGTTGTCTCACATGGAGTGGTTGTAGTAGTCGGCGGAGGAGTAGTCGTGGTGGTCTCGCATGGGGTAGTTGTAGTAACCGGCGGAGGAGTAGTCTCCGTCTCGCAGGGTGTAGACACAGGCGGAGAAGGATGATGACCATGGTCTCCATGGTCTCCATGATCCCCATGATCCCCATGATCCCCGTGTCCTCCATCCCAATCCCAATCGTCATCGCCGCCACCGCGACGAACAAGCTCAACATTGTCCACCGAGGGCATGCGGGCAACCTTGACCGGCGAGGCCAGGGTGGCCGTGATGACCCCCATCAGGGCCACCAGCGAGGCAGCATGGAACTTCATCTTGGCACGGAGTTCAATTCAGCCTCGAGCGATTGTAATCGATGGTATGGTCAACACAATGCAGCGAGTGAAGTATAGCCCAGTAGAAGCGATTGACTGAAACGACTGTAAAGCTCAACGAAGGTGAGGGACAATGATACGATCGTGACCGGTCCGGCACCGCTGATGGGGTATTTAACCTCGCTGGGAGGGGAGGTTGGGCCATCCATGCGTCAGGCAGTCCATCCCACGACGGGCCATGGATTGATGCATCCTGGTGACCGGGGAGCCCGGTCGACGGTCAGGGTCATGATGCACGAGAACCGGATTCCAGCGGTGACTAGTGAGAGACTAGGAAGTTTTCGATGTTGTTCGACGACCACGCCGGCGCTGTCTCACTCGAACCACTCGACGTGTGAGACTGTGGCGATTGATGGCTGGGAAGGATCCTACGTGGCGCTCTGGGGATCGGACAGGGTTCAGACAAAGAAAAATAGATAGAATATGATGACAGGGAAGAAGAGCAGCAAACAGACAGACGAGAGTGAGCGTTCTCTCCAGGGTACACAGATGCAGCAAATGAATATCCTTCCCCGATGCAGTATGTCTTCCGACCTCTCCCCAGTTCTAGAGCGACACGTCCATCACGAACCAGGAAGCCTCCAAGATCGTCCGATGATGACGAGAGCATGGCGTAAAGACACGGGAAATTGTTATCAGCGGGGTTGTGAGACAAGTAATCTCGCCGATGATGCTAATCAGCATGGTCTGCATTAGCGTCGACTTGACCTGTCAATCGAGGCAGGCTGGGCGAACCCCCGCTGGCGGTGGCGGCCGTCAGAGTTGCTGGGACAACAACGGCCTTGGATGATTCTAAGACATTTCGTATTCCTGCTCCTCATCGAAGGAAGGCCGCTGACTCCGGAGTATACCCGGTGGCACCATGGCTAGTAGTATTATTATGCTCCGGATGGAGACCCGACAGAAACCGAGCAAAAGGGGATATCAATGTCTAGCTATTTATAATATTTACATACATGCAGTCGGTTGCACAGACCCTGCTCACATACACCGGTCAATAATACTCTTCGCTCCCTAGAGACATCCAATGGCAAGGCGCGTCGGGCTACTGGTGTCTTCCATATTCGGTGGTACAAAAATCAACGGCTCAAAGTCAACTCGCACGGGCAGGGTGACAAAACGGTGGCAACAGGTTCCTGGGGTGTCGGGGGCGGATCGGGGGATTCTGGGGACATCGTAATATCGCGAAATCGTCCGGGAGACGGGACAGGGAAGGGTCTCGGTCGAATCAAGGTCCGGTCGGGTCCGATCACTGCGCACGGGGCCATGGCTAGGAATTGCTTGTCGCTGTCGCTGTCGCTATCAATGTCGAACATCAGTACCAATCGGGCTCTTCTGGTCGCTATCGTAGGCATCGGTATCGCTAAGCTGCTGTCGCGGTCGATTCCAAACTCGTTCGGGTAGTGTTGATGGCGCTAGGGTGGTTGCTAGGAAGGGCATGCGCGGGTTGCGGTGGTCGCTCTCGGGTGGCACAGGGGTTTGGGAAGTGGTATCAACGGGAATGGCGCATATGGGTCTCTGGAATCCGACAGACGTATCACTGGTTCGCGTAGGGCGAATGGCATGGTCAATCCGACTTGCTGGCGCTCGGAGAGGGTTGCGATTGCTCGCCCACCGGATCCACGCCGTCCGTGGGAGGTCCGACGTAGTTCTTGTGGCCCCAAACCAAGTACCAGGCCGCCGAGATGGCCACCACCCCGACGAACACGACGCAGGCGTAGTTCATGGTCTCCAGGGTGACCGTACTGTAGGATGGCATGCAGAAGAGGGGGACGGCGAGAAGAGTCCAAGCTAGAAGCCCGAAAAAGAACTCGTGGTAAGCACACGATATCCAAGATCGCAAGAGGGACTTACCAATGCACACAACATTACAGAACGCGCCCAGATATCCCAGGTTAAAGCTGCCGTGTTTCAGATCCTGGCGACGACGCTGGATGAGAGACACCGCAACGGGCACAGTCATAGCTGAGGGTCAGTAGGATGACACCGACACCACGAAAATGCGCTGACTGCGGCGGACGATCCATAGTAGATGAGACCCAGCAGGATCTCGACTACCATCCCCAACAACATGGAGTTGAGGGGGAATGTCGAGACGCTCGTTTGACAACACGCCACCAGCGGGAGCCATGAATGGTACCATCTCGCGCAAAGGCCCAGGTGCATCGCGAGGTGGCGGTGACGCAGCCCACACCGCAGATGATGCCCAGCACGAGCAGGGGGATCAGCAGACAAAACGCCCCGACCGAGCTTCCGGTGGCCTGTTGGAAGATAATGGGGACCGGTTGACCGGAGGCGAGGTTCACCAGCATCGTCAGATCCGGTAACACAAAACAGATGGGAATGAGGAGCAACAGTCCCGCCAGGAGATTGATGACGATGGTGCCCACCATCGCCTTGGGCACCTGGACCGCCGGTTGACGGACCTCCTCACACATAGAGATGATCATACCAGTGGCCGACGTAGCGTAGGCGGCTTGCAACAGGCCGATACAGAAGGACCAGCCGGCCGGCCAGCCAGCCTGAGGCTCGAAATGGGTGAAGACCCATTTCCCGGTGTGCCGGCCACCGCGAGCCAACACCAGAATACAGACGGTAATGGCGAGCAGACCGGCGAGGGTCCAGAAGATGGCGAAAAACTAGTCCAGCCCGATCAGCTCGTGCAAAGCGGGGCTTCTAGTGGAAGGGTCAACACTTACCTCCAACCAAGGAAGATACTTGTTGCCAAAGGCCGGGATGGCATGACACAGCAGAGTGATGGCCAGGAAGATGAGAAACACCTGCCATGCGCCCCAGCTATCGGTGATGCCGGTCCCATCGGCGTAGGTAAAGACATCCAGACAGGCGACAAAGAAGAGTGTAGTTCCAAAGTTGACAGCGAGGGTAATGGTGATGTTGCCGGCCACATACGCCCATCCGCAAATCCATGAGGCGACGCGACGACACCAGGGCGGTGACAGGATAAATGTCTGGTAGTAGACTCCGCCCGCCGTGGGATAGACCGACGTGATCTCGGCCAGAGATGCGGCCACACACAGGATGATCAGCGAGACGGTGACCCAGCCCCAGATCACATTCGCGGGACCGCCACCGGCCAGAGGGTAGGAGAAGGTCGTACTGAGGCCGTAGGGGACGGACGACAGGATAAAGCACATAAACACGACGTTCCAGGTCGATCGATTGCGCGAGAGCTCCGGGGTATATCCCAGCGTCTCCAGGGTGTGATCGGCAACCACTTCGTCGCCGGACTTCCCCCATGCAGCATCGGGATCGATCTTGTGGTCACGAGACGCCATGATGAGGTGGAAATGGGCCTGGTCCGAGGGGAAGGAGGGAGGGATGAAGTTGGTATATATACCTAGACAGATAGATAGGTTCAAAGGAGAGGACGCGATGGGTGACCCTGCATATCAGGAAGCCGCTGGTCAGGATCGAATCAGAGTTGAAGCAAAGAAAGACGCAGGATTCGTGAGATCAGAGAAAGAAGAAAAGATCCCGGCGAGAGGGAAAATTTTCACAGGCAGTTTGAAGCAAGCCAAGATACGGACGGACTGGGGGGGAAATTAAATTCTTACCTCATACGGACGAGAACCTCATTCGCCTCTGGGGGAGGACCAGAGTTCCGGTCAGGGGCCCATCACGAGGCACTAAAGCCCTAAACGGTCTTAGGGCCGCCCCCAAGCCACCCCAAGCGGCCCTAGAGCGCCCCCAACGGCCTCTGGCTGGCCCAAGGGGGCCCCACCCAACGCCCCCGCTGCGTCAGTGGCGGGGTCGCAGTCTCCGCGTGGCCGCGTTCCATGTGCTCCCAGACGCCCTGAAGAAGGTTAGCCGTCGTCTGGTCCTTACCAGATCGAAAGATAGTTCGGCGTGAACACGGCATCGTCGTTTTGGATGGAACCTTGAGTTGAGCGAATGGAACAAATTATCCTATTCGGGAGAAAAGATCCCCATTTGAGGTATTTCTTATACTCCGTACATACTACTGTAGTATGGACCTAGGTATATTCCCACGAGAATGGCGATAGTAAAGGCTTACCAAGAAGAGTACACGGTGAAGGGTTTCCCAAATAGGTCCTCTCTCATATCTATCTTTGCCGATGAATCCGGTATCTCAGTCGATGCCACTCCGTACTGACTGCTACGATGTACTCCGGACTACACAGGACTCCTATGCGCCTGATAACAGTGGACACCCAGGCTCCAGCCAAGACACGCCACAGATAGCCCGGTCGCGGCCTATTAAGCTTGGACTGTGGGGAGTCGGTATAGTACTCCGCACACTCCGACATCTTCTCTTTATCTTAGATTCAACCACTGAACCATTGTTGGTTCTTTCCCAAGTCTTTGTGAGTCTCATCATCGATCGCGTTACTGCCCTTAATGGTGCATGGACATCCAGTGACGGGACTGCCCTTGTTTGGGTGCCCAAGTACAGCCATGGAATGTGAGGTATAGGTAAACTCTTAAAGTGTACGTCATGATCTCCAGTACTCTGGACCCCTTTCTGCATTTTCCAGTGCTATGGAATGTTGGAAGCATCATTACTATTGCCAATTACCTTCTGATCCGTGTGTCCATACCTTATTCAAGAGACATCGTGTCTCGAGAAAGACATGTACACATGGAAGATCAATCAGTAGACTCCGAACAAGTTGGGATTGTGTGCATGTGCTCCAACCCATCATCCTTACTACTCACCTCAAAACATTCCTCCAATTTAGTCTCAAGCATCCTTGTGTAACGAACAACCACATTCTTGCCCCTGCCTTCATGTCACTCGTCTATAAAACGATGTAGTTTCCTACGCCGGCGATTATGCCATTTACCACATCAGATACGATTTCCCTCTTTCAGCAAACAGACCGTATCTGCTCACAATGAAATCCTTGATCTTCCAATTGCTGGCTATGGCCTCGGTCACTGTGGTAGCTGCACAGCTGCCCCAATGCTCGGGCACTTTGAAATGCTGTGAATCGGTCACGCGCTACTCCGATCTGAGTGAGGAAGAGCGTAATGACTATGGTCTGGATCCGGATCTCAACGATGCCAATATCTGTGACAATGGTAAGTATATCTAGTATCCATCTCTCTAGTTCCCGTCCTAAGCTGAACAATCCGCAGGTTCACTGGTGGAGGATGAGTTTGATCTGGCCATCTGTGACAGTGTTGACCATGTCCCTCAATGCTGTTTGGCTTTTGTGCCGACAAGAGCGCTTGTGAGTACAATCTAGCAGGACCCAATCCGATAACATCGCTGACAGGTGTAACAACAGCCGGATAACCTTTCCTTCAACTGCGTCGATGTTTAGGCCCGTAGCTGTTCTTCTGTACAGGCTGGGTGGATAGTGTCATAATTCAGATTTCACAACCTTAAGGAGTATTGCAGAATTATGTGCACGCATCATTTTCATCATAAACCTTACACTTTCGTATCTTCACCATCTAAATGACCCGTATATGTTACTGTCTTTCGCCATTTGCCCCCGATTGAGATCACTGGTAAAGAAATATATATATATATATACCCACCCTCAGGCGCGGACACAGTGTGATAGAACCACAGACGAGGACACAGGGTACAATATAACACTGGTATAAACAACTACCTATCTAGTCCAAAGGCACCAGGATCGTACGGTATAGACACAGACTTGACACCCCAGCTTCTGTCCAAGGACTAGTCGTGAAGGAAAAGATGCACAATGTTCGCTTATGTAAGTACATGCATTCACATTTTCGCCACATGGTAGAGGCACGCGTTCGAACCCGGGCACGATCAACTAGTTGCCTTTTCCTTTGCAAGTCACCTCGTTCCTGAATTTATTATAACGACTGTCAATTCATTTACGTTCGATTTGATACCATATATTGACAGTGCAATAAGTCTCAAGCATAGGCAGTCTCCCAAATTCCCACAAACCACACCAGTGCTATTCTCTCCCTTAGAAGAGCGCGACCTGCCCTTGGATGACTGTCGTATAGCGAAGATTGTACACCAACAACACAATGATGGCGGCTAAGTTCCTCTAGTTCGGAAATGCATAAAGCCAGTACCTTTTTTATGACCCCGTGTTTCTCAAATTCCCCTCAACCCAGGAAAATTCGAACATTCCCCCATGCGGCAGCAATAGCCCCTCCCCCGGAGAAGATCCGACAACCCCCCACGGGGAGATGGAGGCTGGGGGGCGTCTAATCTTTCCACTTTGGTCTAGGAACATCCATCCCCGCAACCTAGTCCAACCTAATCGGCGTTAGGGCTCGAGCTTGGCCTGCCATAGATGGTAGCAACCGAGTCTAATGCCTGAATTTTGGGGAAGAGTCTAGACGGTTATCTCGTGCTATAAATTCATCGTAACCTCCCTCCTCCATCTCGACAGCTCATGCTTGGGTAACGGCTTCGCAAAGCTTGCGTGAGGATCATATCGTCTCGATCTCGGCCACAATGACGGTCTTGGTGGGCAACCCCCTTAACTGGGCTATCACAGCCACTGCCGGCTCTGGATTCCTGTTGTTCGGCTACGATCAAGGAGTCATGTCCGGCCTCTTAACGGGAAGTGCATTCACGAGGACCTTCCCCGAAATCGACACCGAACGGGGCGGCAGTGCCTCTCTTCAAGGCACCGTGGTCGCCATTTACGAGATCGGTTGCTTCTTCGGTGCGATCATATGCATGCTGGTGGGCGAAAAGCTCGGCCGAAAAAAGTGCATTGCGATAGGGTGCATCGTGCTGAGCATCGGTGCTGCGCTTCAGGCAGCGTCGTTTGGCATTCCGCAGCTGATTGTTGGCCGCATTGTGGCGGGCTTGGGAAATGGGATGAACACCAGTACTATACGTGAGTTACGAACCGGCCGAGGTGCATGTGGATTATCCTAACGCTCTATAGCTGTGTGGCATTCGGAGCTGATGAAACCGAGCAGTCGCGGCAAAGGCCTTTGCATTGAACTCGCAATCAATATCTTCGGAGTCATGCTTTCTTACTGGGTGGACTACGGAATGAGCTTTGTTGAAAACGACGCCCAGTTCCGTTTCCCTCTGGCCCTGCAGATTGCCTTTGCTTTGAGCACCCTGTTTGGCATTCTTGTTCTTCCGGAGTCCCCGCGATGGCTCATTGCGCACGACCGGCAGGATGAAGCGAGGCAAATCCTATGGGCAGTTCAGCCGAACGCTCAGGCTGTGGATATCAATGACTCACGGCTGAACGAAAGCCTCAACGAAATTCAGCGGGCAATTGAGGAAGAGCGCGAAGCCGCGGCAGGCGGCAGCTACAAGGCTTTGATCAAAAACGGCGCGCAGAGGTTCCGCTACCGGACTCTCTTGGGCATTGGCGGTCAATTTATGCAGCAGATATCGGGGATTAACCTTATCACATACGTGCGTACCTCACCCTTATGGTATGTACTACATGAACTGACCAGATCCAGTATGCGCCGGTCATCTTCCAGCAATCCGTGGGACTTCCACACAACACCTCCCTTCTGCTGGCTGGGTTCAATGGTGTTGCTTACTTCCTGTCCTCCCTGATCCCTATCTGGATTATCGACCGCCTAGGTCGGAGGAAGCTCATGCTATTTGCTGCCGCCGGACAGTGTGCATGTATGGCGATTCTGGCAGGCACTGTGTCCGATGGAAGCAAAGCGGCAGGAATCGTCGCCACCGTCATGCTCTTTCTCTTCAATTTTTTCTTTGCAGTTGGACTTCTTGCTATCCCATGGCTGTGTAGGTACCAGGACCACCGCGGTCATGTCCACAGGCTAACCTTTGACAGTGCCGGCTGAATACGCGCCCCTTGCCATTCGAACACGCGCTGCCGCCCTCGCTACGGCCTCCAACTGGATCTTTACCTTTCTCGTGGTGGAAATCACGCCAGTCAGCATCAATAACATCCAATGGCGGACCTATATCTACTTTTCTGTCTTCAACTTCTGCTTCCTGCCTCTGATCTACTTCTGCTACCCGGAAACCCGACATCTCTCGCTGGAGCACATTGATCGACTGTTTACAGGAGAGAAGATTCTGCTGCATTGGAAGGAGAGCATGGGTGATGGTGCAGGCCCTGATGTGTTTATTTCGACTGACGTTTCCGTCAAGAATGATTCTGAAACGGGAGATGGGGGAAAGGTGTAGGGTTAGACAATCTGTTTTGTACTGCTCTTGATGTACAGAAATCGTGAAAAAACCTGTGGAACTCTGTAACTATTGCTAATTACAAAACTACCGGGAGTCTATGTAGATACTGATGGATCTACCACCCCTTCGTGCCCTCTCGGAATACATATCAATCGGCGGCGCAACGTTCCATTCAGGAGTATACCTGCAATCAGCGCCGGTGATTTCCATCAAAGAAATTGCCGGGGGGAGTTTGAATATGTTCATTGTAAGCTGTATCGTCAGATGTATATTCGATGTACATCGCTTTGTGAAGAGATTATATTGGCCCAAGTCCTGACTACAAGCCTTTTCATCTCGGTACCTTATATATTAAGAGCCTTTTATAGTACGGAATGGATCACGGAAATAGAGATATAACTCACAGTTGTAAATATAATATCTGAGTTTATACCAAGGGTCGTCCATCCTATACAACGTTTGCGTGGAACTCCTACCCCACCCGGTTACTCTATCAGTAAATCGACAGGAAAATCAAGGCTGATGATGTGATCAACCGCATTTCCTGGCCGTTACTGGTCCAGTTCTGGTCCAGTCGAGAGAATCTTTTCATATAACGTCACTTCGCAGATGGATGCTATGACATCATCCATGTGTCAAGGGTTTCACTGCCCCTCTTAAGGTACTCGAACTTGCTCATCTGCAATATTTCCATCCATATATCTTCCAGTCTTTCTTTCATATAGAAGAAATCCGACTACTGACTATTCCTGACTTGTGAAGACACCATCATCCGTGCAATATGGTCGCCAAAAACCACCTCCCCGTCGATCTAAGCCAATTCAAGAAGCTCAAGCTCGACCCGAAGAATCCGAAGCTCTCCGACCAACAGAAGCAGGATCTTCTACACAACATCAATGTGTTCCGAGACGCTATCGTCGCCTTCACAGCCACCGGTTCCGCTCGGGGACTGGCAGGCCACACCGGAGGCCCCTTCGACACCGCCCCCGAGGTATGCATTCTGTTGGCATTCATCAACGCCAACCCGAATGGCTTCGTAGATGCCATCTTCGACGAGGCCGGCCACAGAGTCGCCACGCAGTATCTCCTGGCCGCGTTGGATGGCAAGATCGACCCCGATCACCTGCTGAACTATCGTGATGCGAACTCGAAGCTGCCGGGTCACCCGGAGCTGGGACTCACGCCCGGCGTGAAGTTCAGCTCGGGCCGTCTGGGACACATGTGGGCAATGGTCAATGGAATCTCCATGGCCAACCGGGATAAGACTGTGCTCCTACTGGGCTCGGACGGGTCCCAGCAAGAAGGAAATGACGCCGAAGCAGCCCGGATCGCTGTTGCCAACAACCTCAATGTGAAGCTGTTTATCGACAACAATGATGTCACGATTGCGGGTCATCCGTCGCAATACCTGCCGGGGTACACTCTTGAGCGCACCCTCCAAGGCCATGGGCTCAAGGTCATCCACGCACAGGGAGAGGACATCGATTCGCTGTATGCCGCCATGTGCGAGACCATCAACGCTTCAGGACCAGCCGCCGTCATCGTCAACCGGAAGATGGCCCCCGGAATTGAGGGCATTGAAGGAACGACGAAGGCTCACGATGTCATCCCTGTCGACGCCGCCCGTAAGTACCTGACCAAGCGAGGCTACACCCAAGAACAGCTCGCCTTCTACGATGACATCAAGTCCCTGCCAAACCCGCACCAGTACTGGGGATCCACCAAGGACAAGGGATCCAACCGTGTGATTTTTGGCGAGGCCGTCAACTCTGTTCTGGATGAGCTCAGCAAGGAGGAGGCTGCGCGTCGGGTCATGGTCATTGATTCGGATCTCGAAGGCTCTACGGGACTGAAGGGTATCCACAGCAGTCACCCCGAGGTGTTTGTCGCGTCGGGTGTCATGGAACGCGGAAACTTCTCCGCCGCCGCCGGCTTCGGCTTTGGCAGCAATGGGGAGCGCCAGGGAGTCTTCTCCACGTTCGCCGCCTTCTTGGAGATGTGCATTTCGGAAATCACCATGGCGCGGTTGAACGGCTGCAGCGTCCTGTCTCATTTCTCCCACAGTGGTGTGGACGAGATTGCCGACAACACATGCCATTTTGGCCTGAACAACTTCTTTGCCGATAACGGATTGATGGACGCTGAGAGCACCGGCTTGTACTTCCCCGCCGACGGAGAACAGATGAAAGCCGTCGTGCGAAAGGTGTTCTGGCAGAAGGGCCTCCGGTTCATCTTCTCCACTCGCTCCAAGACGCCATACATTCTGAATGAGTCTGGCGATGAGAAACTCTACGGCGGAAACTACGAGTTCGTACCCGGCAAGGAAGAGTTCATTCGCCGCGGCTCGGCCGGATATGTCATCTCGTACGGAGATATGCTGTATCGCTCTCTCGATGCCGTTGAGCGCTTGCGGAAGGAAGGCTTGGACGTTGGTCTCGTCAACAAGCCGACGCTCAATGTGGTCGATGAGGAGGCCATCAAGGTCTACGGCTCGTCTCCTTTTGTCGTGGTGGTTGAGTCGTTGGCCCAGAAGACCAGCCTTGGCTCTCGGCTTGGTAGCCATCTCCTTGACCGCAATCTCACTCCCAAGTACCGAATGATGGGGGCCGTGAAAGAAGGCTGTGGTGGACTCTATGAACAAGTAAATGCTCAAGGACTCGGACCAGATGATATTATCCGCGTCGTGAAGGATGTTGCCCAGAAGGATTCATGAGGAATTCCTGACTGGAGTGGAGGAGGTATAGATATTTGAAGATACGCGTGCTTTACCGATATAAGGTCGACCTCCTTGACAAAAAGACGTTAAGTTGTTCCAAATACATAATAAAAACGATGCCTGATTTTACTGCATTTAATAGACGTCCCTAGAGGTAACACTGCTTCTTCATCGGATTGACTATGGGTTCATATACTAGTCACGGAAGCATTTTCCGACTGTCGATCAGACCTGTCTCCATGCAGTAACACATGATCTTAACGATAACATTGAACAACATATCCCCCATACCTCAAGGACACAGGAGGGTTGAATTGGATGGTCGACTGCTGCCAAGTAATCGGGCTGTCAACCGCTTCGGTAACCCCGGATGCCGACTAAATCACCCCAAGTTATCCAGTAGGAGTCTGTCGCGTATTCCGCAATTTCAGACCTCCTCGGAGCAGACGGAGTAAACAATACCCAGTTCATATATCCATCTGCTGTTTTGACGTAATTGTTTTTGATTCGGACAGTCGGCCGACGCTTGGTCCATGGTTCCTCTCCAAAGCCAGCCATCTCGAAGCCGATGTAGGGACACTAACCCGCCGTCCCTGGGCCTTTCTCGGACAAATCCCCATGGCTTTCCCGCATTAGGCACGAGTTTCATCTCGGACCAGCCGATTTCCACGTGATTATTGGTCATTGAATGGGCTGTTGAACGCCGGCGGGTCCACTATACGGAGTAACTAGACTGCATCGTCGGCCAGCCGGTCCACGGCATCATGGCTAGGCAGCGGCAGAGACGAGGCGACGATTGGCCAGGATCACAGAAACAACTGAGTCCCGGGTGCTCCCATCGGCTAATAACGGAAGGTCCAAGGCTGAACTCGATCAGACCGTGGGAATCGCGCGTTTCCCTCCATAAGACGCCAAGGAATCCTATACCGCTGCCAAGGGTTTCGCCAAAGTCGGAACCCTAGTGCTGCTTTGTCCTCCTGCGTTGGCCTCGATGAGCCACCCCCGACGCCTGCTCCAGTGGGACTTCCCCCGGCCATCCCCGCTAAAGAGGCTGCCGTTCCCCGTATCTTGGCTGACCCCCCCAATACATTTGGAGGAACCCTGTCTGCTCGGATTACCGCATTGATCGATCCGAGCAGGTGGGAGAAGGGTCAGAGTCCCATGCTATATAACCGACGCCGCATGGCCTCCGCTTCTCCGTCTCTACCCCAATGTCCCGTTCCTGTCACTCGTGCTGTGCTTGAGCATCATGTTTGGCATTCCGCGGTTCTTCGGCTGGCGAGGCAGAGCCCTCAACCTGGCCATCAGCTCTCTTGGCAGTCTTGACTTCTTGTACGGTGCCTCCCTCCGTCGTCCCTCCGGTATTGCGACTCACTGATCATGTCGAACATAGGCTTTTCGGTTATGACCAGGGTGTGACCGGTGGTCTGCTGGACCTGCCGTCCTTCAATAAATACTTCCCCGCCATCAATCCGGAAGATCCAGCAATCGAAGGCATGACGGATGTGATTTCGCAGCGCAGCACAAACCAGGGAATTGCAGTCGCGTCGTATAACTTGGGTTGCTTCTGTGGTGCGATCCTGACCATCTTCATCGGTAATCCTCTCGGCCGTCGCAGGACGATTTTCTGCGGCTGTGTGACCATGGCGACTGGCGCGCTCCTGCAAGCGACCTCGTTCCATCTGCCCCAATTCATCATTGCCCGCATTGTCACCGGCATTGGCAACGGTATGAATACTAGCACCGTGCCCACCTGGCAGTCCGAATCATCCAAGGCGCACGACCGGGGTAAGATGGTCATGATAGAGGGTATGCTCATTACCGCCGGCATTACGCTGAGTTACTGGATCAACTACGGTGAGGACCTTTCTCGTTCGTCAAGCAAAGTCAAGCCACTAAACCCCCTGCGCTAGGCTTTTCCTTCATCGGGGAGAGTGAGGTGGCATGGCGGTTCCCGCTGGCCTTCCAGATTCTCTTTGCCGTCGTGATTTTCACCTCCATCCTCAACTTGCCCGAATCTCCGCGTTGGCTGGTGATGCAAGGCCGGAATGATGAAGCTGTTGAGATTCTCTGCTTTCTTAATGAGAAACCAGCCGAGGATCCTTACATCAAGAACGAGCTGCTGTCCATCCAAGAAACGGTCAAGGAGATGTCCAAGGGCTCCTACCGGAGTTTGTTTGACATGAGCGAATACCGTGAATTCCATCGTGTCGCCCTGGCCTATGTCAACCAAATGTTTCAACAGATCTCGGGAATCAACCTGATCACCTACTATGTGAGAACCTCCCCAGCTGGTATATCGACTCGGTACTCGGTACTAAGACCGTTTCGCAGGCTCCTCAGCTATACCGACAGATTGGTCTGGGACAAGGCAACCTGCCAAAGTTGCTCGCTGCTTGTAACGGCACGGAGTACTTGATGGCTGCGTTTATTCCCATCTTCATTATCGAAAAAGTTGGACGTCGGCCGCTCATGCTTTTCGGGGTATGTCATGCACTTGCGCCACACTTTGATATGTCTGCTAACCATGCCTGATGAAAGGCCGCCGGCATGTCGATCTCTATGGCTGTTCTCGCGGGTTGTAACTATCGGCTGGTATACCTGGATGACAAACGCGCGGGTATCGGACAGGCCGTCTTCCTCTTCGTTTTCAACACCTTCTTCGCCATCGGTTGGCTCGGAATGACGTGGCTGTATCCAGCAGAGATCGTGCCACTGCGCATTCGTGCGCCCACCAATGCGCTTGCGACTAGGTAAGCGGATCTTCATGTTCTGACTGACCTGCGTTCAGAATGTTGTCTAACCATGCACCAGCGCCAATTGGATCTTCAACTTTATGGTTGTGATGATCACGCCGGTGGCTTTTGACAGTATCGGTTATCAGACCTACATCATCTTCGCTGTCATGTGAGATTCCATCTTGTGCATATCCCGTACTCAAGCTGACAGAAAATCCTAGCAACGCGTTCATGTTCCCGTGTGTCTACTTCTTCTTCCCCGAGACCCGCTACCGTTCCCTGGAAGAGATGGACAACATTTTCAAGAAGTCCACGAACGTGTTCAACGCCGTCACGCATTCGATCAAGGAGCCGTATCGTTACGATAAGCATGGCCAGCTCAAACCCGAGTACATTGAGGAGGCTCTGCGCCGCGAGAGCGTGGTCTCTGTGCACGCTGAACAAAAGCCGACGGACAGCGATGAGAGTGCTACGGAGACTAAGGCTTGAGGGATGGGAGGGAGATATCATTATTATGTATCCGCTAATGAGGGTGTATTTCATCCAAGGTCGTTCATCTTTGTCAATTGAGAGGGCTTACCCCGTTTCAATCTGCTACCACACCGATTCTTCCATCCGTTCGCTTCAATCGATGCCAATATTGCTGCCTGGAAGGGTGTATAGATCAAGGTTATAAGGAACGGTTCCTTGAGGGAGGTATCGTTCCCTCATCTGATCATATAAGTTGAACCGATAGGCAACTTCGTATCACTACTCTTAGTCCGCGAACCTCGACAGAATCTGAGACTCGACTACTGAGTCATCAGCATGTCCAACAATACTCGCAAAACAACGACGACCCGAAGACCCATTCCACCGCCAAGAAGATGGCACAGCTGGATGCCTGTCAATATCTCCGATGAGACCCAGTATCGGCCTTGGCATGGGGGCCAGTAAGTGGACCTGCAGTCCGTGTTGCTGCCGTTGTCCCGGGCGAGAGGCCTGATTGGGAGGCGAATTTTCCCTTTGTTTTCGTATCCCTGACCAACAACAACCAAGCTACCGCCTCCTTTGCGTCGAGGCGCCGCAACCGAGCTCCCACTGCGGCACAGTCATATCGCTTAGTCGAGAAGTATCTCTTGTTTCGGCGCGAAGGAATGGCGGAGCATGAGCCAAGCCTTGGCGGCGCTGCGGCTTTCCCTATGCAGGGAATCCGTGCACGCCTTGCCAAGTCCGCCGAGCGGAACCAAGACGCCAACTCTTGGCGGACGAGAACTAAGCACCGCATGCAGGTGGAAGTCCGTTGGAAGGATTGCACCCGTCACACCCAGGCCGGAGGGAGCGATATTGGCTGACGTAGGCTGACGTCGGTGGCTATCAGGCGTTGCTGTGCCGTGATAAGTGCTGTGGTTGTGTGTTCTGTGGTCACACCATGCACTGTCTCCAAGCTAGTATGCCGGCTCAGATAAGGCTGCCTATATTATGTGGACCTTGCCTTGGTCAAGATAGTATTAAATAGAACTGAATGTATCATTTACTGTCTACGCAGATGAGTATGCTATGTAAAGACATGAGTGGCCTCTTAGCATATCCTTCAAGTAGCTCTTGATTTCGCTTGTCAGACGACGGATATAGCTGTCCATATCTCGAAAACGAAAATTTCTTGTTTTCCTAACAGCTATTAGCATCAGCTGCTATGATTGTAAGAATTACTTGTTTAATTCTAGGCTCCTTAATCGTCGTAAATATTTCTGCCATATCTTCTCCAGTATGCGCTCCATGCATTTCGGCGAAGTCGACGACTCATTCATGATAGTGGATGTGACTGTCAAGCCAGTGACCAATTACCCCTAGTATCGACTTTGAATCTTTGCTTGTCCATATATCCAATGATAATACAATTGTCTGACAGTTCTTGGTCAGTAACATGATGAGGTGTCCTCCGGGCAGGATAAATTCAGGATCGACCCGGCGAGCGACAGCTTTAGAGGATGTGAATGGAAGGGCAATTCCTGGGAAGTCTTTGAAAATTTGTTGGGATGCGTGTTGTCCGGGACTGTTCGTCTAGTCAGAATATCCTTCTGCTTTTTTGATATCTCAAGTCTCTGCCATCTTCTTAAACATGCTATTTATGGATTGCCGCTTGATGCCGTTATATTCAACACCATGAATACTGTTAAGGAAAATTCTATGCTTCACAAGATGATTCTTCATATTTGAAATCGATGTCGCTCTCGCAGAGTCGGCAGCTTGCCAGCTTCATCTTCTGCTGATGTTTTGCTTCATTTCAGTGAGTGACCAGGGTGTCTCGGAAGTGGAGAAACGATAAAATGTGCCTAAGGCGGAATGTTGCACTGTCTGCCGCGAGGTGACGATAGAGTAGTGCGCTGGGATATTTCAGACGGACCCCAGTCAGGGAACTCGGTCTGCAGCAGTGATTCCACCGAAGAGCCCTGAGTCTGATCTAACTGACTCACAGATTTATCTGGTGTTATAGACTCCAGGATCCCTGTCAAACAGTTCAAACAAGCTCTTTTAAATTACGGTCCTCTTGTTGGCGGTTCGTTAAGGAAAACAAATATAAAATAGAACACAAGCTGGGGGGAGGCTTTCCATAAAGTTAAGACACTCCAATCCACAACAACCATCTATTCGAAATCCATCCTGTTTGTGTGGCTATCTCACTTGTGAAATATGTTAAGATACCAACTACTGTTGTAAAGCGCACAACTACTCCAAAGGACGGTACCGAAATAATCAGCAAGGCAAAAGCTAGATTCAATTCGGCACTACCAACTCGAGCTCAATCAAATGGGTCTCCCCCCTTGGTACAGTTCGAGATGCGCGTGCGTCAGCCTCGGAGGAAAATCCTTGCAGCTCACAGTACCATGTCATTTCGTTCATGTCAACCGCAAATGCCCCCTTGCGCTGAATCCAGGTCTGGTTTTGGTTGGAGACCGCCGATACCATCTCTTCGGGCCGACGCTCAACCCCTTCATCCCATACGAGCACCCGCACGTATCGGGTGTCTAGCATCCCGGGAGGGTCAAATTTGTAGTGGCGTACGAGTGGTCGCCCCTCCTCAAAAACGGTCGATATACACTGCATCACAGGCGGGAAGAGGTCTGTTCCCCAGAACGCCCAGTGATCCTGTATCCTCTGCCAGTCGAACATGACGATAACCGTGCTCGGATCATCTAGGGAGCATCCCCAGGCGGTTCGGTTGACGCCCTTGCCCCGGGCAGCGTTCATAAGAAAGTCCGTTTTGATTTGATTCAAGGTGGCCTCGCTCCGATCTCCCCGGAGTTTGAAAATGACGACTTCGGTGACGGGAACATCGAGGGCCGAGGTGTGCTGCAAGAGCACTTGCTCATATGCTTTCAATTGATCCACCGTCGCCATCGTAGACCTAGAGTGACGTGCAGGGAGAAAATAGCGAAGAGAGAAAGAGGGGGAAGGAGAGTCTTGGTTCGGTAGCGCTATTTCGGAGTCTGTGGGGCCTATTAAATGGGCTTGTGAGGAAGGCGATGTCAGTGGGAACTGATGTCAGTAGGACCTCAAGGCTAGTTCCTCTTGATAGAGCGTCAGGCATAAAGTTTGAGCTAACTCAGTCGTTTTCTTATAATCTTCCCGTAGCCTGAGCTCCGACGGGTAAAACGTAGCAAATCGTGCTTGTCCATCCGACACAAGTGGATACATCATTCAGCACCAGCTTTCCTAATCTAATACATTCCTTTTTCTTTTTTGACACCTTCCTGAGCTGAATCCAGACAATGTCGGTCGCCGAGGAAAAATTGAGAAACGGCGTCGCAGTGATAACTGGTGCTGGAGCGGGAATCGGCGCGGGTCTTGCCCGTCGTGCCGGAGAGTTGGGTATGACAGTCGTCGTGACTGACATCTCCCTCGAGCGGGCGCAGCAGACAGCCCGAGAAATCGTTCAGGCCGGAGGAAAGGCAGAAGCAATAATGGTCGATGTTTCCAAGCCCGAGAATCTAGATAAGTTGGCGGAGACAGTGTTCGAAACATACAGCAATGTCCGTCTCCTCATCAACAATGCTGGCATCGAGACGCTGGGTTTTACTTGGGAGATCTCCCTTGCGCGTTGGGAAGATGCACTCAACGTCAATTTGCACGGAGTAGTCCACAGTGTGCGAGCCTTTCTACCACGAATGCTTGCTACGGGGGAAACGTGCTGGGTCGCAAATCTGGCCTCAGTGGGGGCGTTTGGAGTGATGCCCACGCAAGCGGCTTATATATTGACAAAGCACGCCGTGCAGTCGTTCAGCGAATGCCTCTACCTGGAGATGCAGCTCAAGAAAGCCCCGATTCATGTATGCTCCGTCCTCCCGGGCATGCTGAAGACACATATCTTCGATGAGAAAGGTGGCCAGGGCGAGCCTTCAGGAGCGGCAGGGTATCGCCGCGCGATGCGCGAGATGATGGAGAGCTACGGAATGGATCTGGAGGATGGGTGTCGGCTTATCATGCAGCAAATTTCCGAAGGCAAGTTCTGGGTGGAAACACAGCCCTCAATGACAGAGGAAATTGCGAATCGGAGAATTGACTTTATTCAACGACGGTTGGCTCCAGAGTTGCCAGATAGCGCACGTGCGTTGCTACAGTAGAAGGAGCTTGTCGAAGTGTTGCTGGTCAATAGCTGTAGCTAGCCTTTTAAAATCAGAAACACAGATTTGGAAGTCGTCTTGGACGTCAGTCCCCAATGCCGCTTTTACCATACTTCACCACCGAACGTTATGTTGTTCCGCTTGAAGGATATATAGTGGAAGGATATCATATCCATTGGGACTGCTTCGCAATTGGAACCCTGTCTGTTCAATTTTCCTAAGCGGGTGAGCTTCTTTCACGGGTAGATACAGAACAGCCGCTGAGTAGCACCATTGGCGTGCCCTTGCGCATATCCAGGAAATTTTTGCAGTCCTCCTGCACTTTCTTCATTATATCATCCTGCATCAGGGTGACATTGAAGTTTCTGTAGGCTTCTTCGTCCTCGAAAACAAGCTCTGAGATTGCATCGAATGAAAAGTCGGTTTGGACCCCACTGACCACAGACGCGGAGTAATCCACCGTGCCGGCGTTCGATGTCCGATTGCGTTCCACGTACCACCGAGTATGTGACAGCGGAAAGAGGGCTCCTGTTAGCTCCTGGATAAGAGGAACATGGTTTCCATCGTAGTAGGCCTTGAATTTTCCGGGGTCGAGACCGGGTTTTCGAGTGGCGAGAATCAACACGCGGACAGTGATTGTCGGGACAAAGAATGGCAGTAATTTTATTCTTTTGATTAACGGTGAGAGAGGTCCAGGTTGACGTTACTTGCCCTTCAGATCACCTAGAAAGTGCCCTCTAATATCGCGTTGTAGTAACGAACAAGAAAATTAACATGGCTACTGTCACGGAACTGAGTCAGTTTGCGTCGCGTCAGTTCTACCACCCCTCGCTCTTCATCGGCCCAACGAATCCCACGTATAATGAATGCTCTCTATCTTAACTTCCAGGCAACAAGCAATTCATTGTACAAGATGACCTCATCCGACAACCATCGCATCCAAGTTGCGCTCAATCGGGCGATTGAGCTGGGTGAAATCGGCATCTCCGTTGCCGTTTACCACGGGGGAAAGCTGATGATTGATGCCGTTGCGGGGCATGTTGAGCGTGATGGGAGAGAGGTGACCCATGAAACATTGTTTCCCGTCTTCTCAGTGACCAAGGGCATCACAGCCTTGGCCCTGCATATCCAGGTCGAACGCGGACTGGTCGACTTACACGCACCCATTGCCCTCTACTGGCCCGAGTTTGGCGCTGCCGGCAAGGAAAACATCACGGTCGAACATGTCCTTTCCCATCGATCTGGCGTCCCTCAGATGCCGCCGGGGGTGACGCCCGAGCTCATGACGAATTGGAAGTGGATGACAGATCAGATCGCGCTGATGGAACCGCTCTATCCATCAAACACCGCGAATGCATACCATATCCTGGTCTGGGGCTGGATTCTGGGCGAGGTCATCCGGCGAACGGATCCAGCTGGTCGACCATTTGAGGTCTTTGCACGGGAGGAATTATTGGAACCGCTGCGGATCTCCCCGCGAGATCTCAATTTTGGCGTTGGCGACGATGATCTCTCCCGAGTGGCTGTGCTCTACGGTGGGGAAGACTTCCCCCTGCTAGACCACCACAATATCAGTCCAGGCACAGTTTTTCCTGGGGCTACAGTCCATAATCTCCCGATTGTGCAACAGACTGTGGATCCTAGCGCCGGCGTTATCGCGACCGCGCCGGCCATTGCTCGCATCTTTGCGCTCCTCGCAGAAGGGGGCGAGCTTGACGGTGTTCGCTTGGTATCAACTGAACGGGTGCAGAGTTTTCTTACCCCTCGTGATAGAGCCCACGATCCAGATAAGGTCGTCGCTATCCCCGTGTGGCTTGGCAAAGCTGGGTTTTGGCTCGGGGGTGAACCAAGCCGCTCCGACCCCCTGGTTGGTGAGCATCGGGAGATCATCTACTCCCCAGGAGCTGGTGGCTCAATTGCCTGGGCCGATCTCCAGAGGCGCGTTGCCGTCGCCATCTGTCATAATAACATGGACTCCCCAAGAGTGGTTGAACCAGAGAGAACCTTCGCTCCTATCGTCAAGGCCATCAATGAGATCATCCAGGACCGCGAGTCGCAGGAAGGAAGTTCTTAGCCTTTTATCTTTCTTCCGTTTGTCTCCTCATGGGGGTGGATGTTATGGCAAGAGATTTGCTCTGAGGTCAAGTAATTAGGCTAATGACTTGCTTTAAATTTTCAAAGTGACTTCTAGTAGACTATACGTTGGTAGAGAACTTACGCAAGTTCCTGATTTTGAATATGTCTATCTACACCCGCACCGCAGATATGTATATATATTTAACAAAATCGCCGCGGGTCACCGAGATGAATAAAAATATGAAAAGTATATGAATTTTCATACTATGTATTTTTATGATTATTTATGCATTTTTAACCCGCGCGATGGCCTGTCTTAAAGGACGCCTTTCTCCGCGTGTAGACCTCTCTCCAGCGTTGAATTAGGCTTCTAAAGCTTCCTGTGTTTAAGTTTGATAGAATGTACTAATATTACGCTTTGCCATAGTATTTTACGAGGGTCTGTTATTCGGATACATTGATATTACTAGCGCCGCGCCAAAACTTATGGTGCACGCTCCGTACACCGCACTTCTGCGGTGCGGTGGCCCGCTGCAGGGCGAGAATACGAGAATGCGAGAATACGAGCAAGGTCTAGAGTCGATCAGCCGCATCCTAAGGTTATGACAACACAAACTCTGGCGAATAGAATACGCCAGAAGAACTTTGTCAGTCTGGGGTATGTCAGTCCACCCTCCTGAATGACCCCCTCCCTACCATGTCATGTTCGTATCAACTAGCCTTATGTATTGTTATTATATTCTAGGCCTTAAAGTAAGTTCTGTGGGCTTCGCATTATCCCTTTTCTACATTCCTTACACGCTGGGAATGTTTCCTTTCTAGAGTTGTTCAACGATGCAGTCTATTCACCTTTCTCCAGTCAACTGGACGGGCCTCTATACAACCTGTTTCGGTCTTCTCGTAATCCATGTTTTGATTAAGTGGGTGGCTGACTATCGGAGAACTGTACGTATAACCCCCATTTGCTTTTTCGCATCCCGAGGTGTTCATTTTGCGTGTTAGGCCAAAGTCCCTGGCGTTGGATATCCTAAATTTCCAATCTTTGCTTCATGGATCGCAGCATATCGGTTTCTAAGAGATCCGGTCGGTCTGGTGCGCGAAGGAGTCGAGAAATACAAACGGAGTCCGTTTCGGATCTCTACGTTGCAGGGCGAATACGTCCTCATCCCTTCCCGGGAGATGGTTTCCGAGTATATTAGGGCCCCCGATAGCGTTTTGTCCTTTCAGGATGGCGCCAATGATGTATGTGATATTCTCTCCCCTTTCCCCCTCTAGAACAAGAGAGATTGAGAATTGAGGGCTGGTAGCAACAGCAAATCCCCTTCACCATGGGATACGGCGTCGCGTATCGAACGTATCATGTCCCGGTTGTGCGGATGAATCTCACCAAGAGCATCCTACATCAGATTTCTACCATATGGGAGGAGATCGAATGTGCCTTTGATGACCACATTGGATCTCCAAAAGAGTACCAGCCATTTCCCTTATACCAGATCATGGCCATGACCATTGCGCGTGCTAGTAATCGGATTTTTATTAATGAAGAGTTTGGTAATATTTCCCCCTGCCCAAATTCTTTTATCACTTGCTAACGGAATAGATGCTAGCCCGAAACAAAGAATACCTCCAGCTGGCCGTAGATTATGCTCAGGCAGTTGTCATCTCAGCTGAGCTCCTCAAACCCTTCCCAGATTGGATGAAACAGTACGAAAAGCAGAAACCGGAGTTGTTGTCGAGCTCGCGGTTAGTCCCTTTCTAAGCGGAGAGCTCGCTGACTGGAGGCTATATCAGGATACTTGTTAAAGCCGTGCCCGTCTCCTCATGTCGTCGCCGCGCATTAAAATACCTCCGCCAGGTTGTGCAGGAGTGCCTTGATCGGAAGCCTGGAGATGAGAGACCGGATACAATGATCCAATGGCTAGCGGATGCAGCCCCTCCAGCTGAAAGGAAATTGGATCTTCTTGTGGAACGGATCATGGCCCTGAATGTGGCTGCGATCCATACTACCACCATGGTAAGCCCTGAATAAAGAAATCGACAAAAAATTTTCTCTACCAAAGTTGTCCTCGTGTTCAACTAACCAAAGTCGTGCGTTCCTCTTCTCAGACCTTAACTGGTGCGCTACATAATCTGGCTTCCGAACCCGACAAATACCTACCACAACTCCGTGAAGAAGTGGAACAGCAGTGTGCAAATGGCCCCACCAAAGAAACCCTCACCAACCTGCACAAAATAGATAGCTTTCTCAAGGAAGCTGGCAGATTTAACAATGCTGGGCTCAGTAAGTTTGCTCCACTATACCGGCCGCTGTCCCCCGGCTGTTGACCCGATATCGCTCGATTTAGTGGCAATGCAACGTAACGCGAAGCAAAAATTTACTTTCTCAGACGGCACCATCATTCCTGCCGGAGCAAAAATTGGAACCCCCAGCTTAATCCTTCACCGAGACCCGACAGCATACGAGGATGGCGATGCCTTCGATGGATTCCGGTTCAGCAAAAAAGGCGCGGCCGCCTCTAGTCCACGGGAGGCGGCAAAGTTCTCCATGGTGAGCACAGCTGCAGAATATCAGATCTTTGGACATGGGAAGCATGCTTGGTAAGACTTAATCCTCTTCGGATATGGCCTTGTGGCCTTACCCTGGACGTGTCGTGTATGGATGATTTACTCACTGGGATTTGTAACTATTAGTCCCGGGCGGTTCTATGCTGTCAACGAGATGAAGATCATGCTAGCAATATTCATCTCCCGGTACGAGATAAAGGCAGTGCCTGGCACTGCCCCAAAGCAAACCTTTCTCGCTACCATGGCGATCCCAGATACGCAGCTGGAGACTCTGGTAAAACGGAGAGAAACCTGATCCCCATAACGGTTATGGGAAAAGAGATGATAGCAGAACATTTACCTCGGATGCGTGTTATGGTATAAGAACTTCTTCAGAGACGGTACTGGCTAACGTCTAAATTGTCTACAGCTTGAGAAATACTCGAGTACTATTTCGCGTATAAAGAACTGTCACTGCATTTGTGTAGCTTTTCGCTAACAAGCGAGTGGTTTTCTTATCCATAAACCAATATCTCTGTAGTATGCGTGGTAAACTTGGTGACTCTGGTGTTTGTAACTTCCAGGTAAAGCGTAGTGGACGCTTGGAGCCGAGGATATTTTAACCTGCCCTCGAACGTTCCTTATTCTGTCCAGTCAACCACTTGCTTCATATTGACATGGTTGCATTTGATCTGAGATCCATTGGCTATCTATGCGTACTAGCTCATACCAGTTCAGTTCCAAGTTTGTTCCGACAGCTAAGGGCACGGAACCACAGAAGCCCCGCATTAACCTGAGGGCTCCAGCTACTAGGTAGTCCTTAAAAGGATGGGGAATCACCAACTAGAATAGATCCACACTCCTTTTCGCGGGCGTTCCTTCTCTATGCAAATTGTTCCTCTTTGCTCGCACGACATGGTCAGAAAAACCAAAATCAGTATCTGCGCATCCACCGACGAGCAATCTCGCAAAGCGCGGAAACGGGCCACCGACCGCAAGGCACAACAAGAGCACCGTCTTCGGCAGAAGGAGTACGTCAGGAATTTGGAGAAAACAGTCGACGAGCTGAAGGCAGAACGACCGCGGGATGAGGTGATTCGCGAATTACTGGAGGAGAAATCCCGTTTACAGGAGAGATGCCATGCGCTTGCTACTAGGCTGTCCCGAGTACGAACTCTGGTCATGGAGGACGACAGCTTAACCCATGGCTCTGGCCTTCAGGGACATTACCCTTCAAGTGATGAGATCCGCGACTCTGATCCTAGCGATCCACATCTAGACGATCTAGCTTTCCATGACGTGGCGTCCATTATCGAAGGCGACCTCGTGCCGTCTCAAAGCGTTTGTTCCCAGCCAGGCTAACCTCATAGCTGTTGATACTGACTGGCCCAATATAGGGGACCTCCCTAGGGCCCTTCTTCACTGGCGTCGCGTGCCATGATACGGACGCCAATAACGAGATCGTCGTCGCTGATGACGATCGGGGCAAATACCCGTTTCTTTCTGGGCACGCGAAGAATCCACCTCCACCATCGAGAGCGAATGCCCCATCGACAGTGGATGACATTCTCTCAGATCTAACGCTTTTCGCCCCCGCGGATCACTTGGTGACTCTAACATCAGAAACCCCGACTGTTCCCCTCGGCCACCCTAGTAGCCTCGCTCTCCAGTATCCAGATTTCTGTGCCCCGTTCCCGCGATACTGCTCGCCAACTTCCAAATCAGACGCCGCACTCCTAGCGATGGTAGTGGAAGCCCGTGGGGAGCATCTTCAAGGACGATTCAATGTTTCACAACCATCCCTGCAACGGCTCCTGTCGGGAACCGTGACGGACACACTATCATTTCGGCTTTTCAACTGGCTACGCGAGTATGGGCCAATGCCATTACATTTACTACTTGCAATTTTCTGGACTCAATATCTTGTCTTAAGGGTCAGTGGTGAATGTAACCATAACATACGGTCCTACAACTAACAATGCATCACAGTGGCATGTCCTTCAAACACAGGAATCTTATGACTGCGTGCCGGAGTGTCTCCGCCCAACCCCAGTTGAGCAGGTGATTCCACACCAATTTTTTATTAGCATGTTAGTATGGTAAGTTCTTCCCTACCATTCTATATTCGTTTTTGCCTCAACTTGTATGCTGTTGGTAATATTGATCTCCAAAAAAAAGGCCCGAGATTCGACTGTGTTTGATAAAGCAAGGTATGACGAGTGATGCTGAGGGTATCGGAATCAAACTACTCCAACATTTAAACCCAAGTTGGTCTCCTGACGGAGCACCGAAATTACAGTTTACTCTAGATATTCTTGGTGCCATTGAACAGCAGGCGTATAGGCCTGATTTTTGGAGGATTGATCCCAAATTTTTTGTTATGCATCCCGAGTTCCAAGATTGCGGCAAGCTTGCATGAGCCTATCTACTAGTAAGGGACATTGGATATCATGGGATTACAGAACAGACGCTGGATGGAAAACATTATTGAGGGCGTCGCAGACCTCCTTCCAACAATCAGCCACATCAACTGCACGAAAGCCCTTATGTCCCTCCGTGTAGTGGGAAAACCCGTGTATTGCAAATGGATACTGTTTGATTTTCACACAAACCCCAGCCATTTCAAGATTGCGAGCATATAACTCAGCCTCGTCCTTCAGGCAATCCATTCCGGCTGTTAATATTAGAGCTGCAGGGACCTGCAATTGGTTTAAAAGAGCGGGATTGGCCAAAAGGGGGGCGACAAATATTTGCTCCTTCGCAACACTCGGGGGTAGGTAGGAAGCCTCCATTAACTCTGCGACAGCTATGGGCAGGCTTTTTGCCTGGACGTCCATGGTGCACCGCTGATACCTTGTCTGGTAGGAATGATGACATTCGACGCTGGGGTACAGAAGGATCTGAAGCAACTGACGGAAGGTAGGAGGGAGTGCTTCAGAGAACCTGGCACATGGACCGGATCTGAATGACAAGAGTAGAGATAATGATGCTGTGAGGTTACCACCTGCCGAATTACCCATGAAGGCAACACGACTGGGATCGATCGACACTCCCATGACGGCTTGTCCCTCGCTAGAAGTGGCCCATCGGACTACCTCGTATATTTGAAGTAAGGCATGTGGGAACGGGTAGCGAGGTGATTTCGCGTAGTCCACAGATAGGACGACTGAGCGCGTCTGTCCGGACGTCAACATCAGTACTGCGTTGCATACCCTGATCAATGTTTTGTCAGGACTGGTTTCTTCTTCCTGCACGAGAGAGAGAGACGCTCCTACTTACCTTGGTCGCGACGAGTCGGTCATTCCGCTCTCCATCTTCCGGTTGACCTAACACAAACCCGCCGCCTTCTAGGACAATAACTAAGGGAAATCGTCCCAAGTTCTCCGAGGGCTGATCACTGGGATCAGGTGATGCAGGAAAACTGAGAGCGCAGCGGACCTTGCCCGGCCCCAGTCCAGGTGTTTGGATCGTGACAACTCTGTCAAAATCCTTTCCAGTGCTCGTCATCAACCAGACAACAGTGCGCAAAATACCGGCCCCAATGTGGAGGTAGAGAGCGTATAGCCACCCGTACCCTCTTCCACTCGTGATCAGCGGCTGCGGAATCTCAGAGGGACTCATTGGGAAAGGATTGGAGAAAACTTCGCAACCCAGTAAGAACACTGTGCCAAATATGTTATGAAAAATATAAGCAGGAACTTGGATCACTTTTTTAACCTGGTAAACCTCGGTAAGATTGACAGTAGTTGAAGAGGGGGACTTTGTCAGCGCGCAATGAGTCAGTGCGGCAAAACGAAGTCAATCCAAGCGACGTAATGGACGCCTCCAACCTCTTGAATTTGGAGGCACTATTTCTATTAATACTTCCCGGAGGTATACTGCGTTTTAATCTGTCATCTACCTTGCATATATTCTCCTCTTCAGTCCGTCCGACCTCAGGTCAACAAGTCACGATGGTCAACGGTCTCGAACCCGACGAGTCTAAGCCAAAGATTCCAGAGTATTGGCATTCCCAGCCAATGCCTGTTAAGATTATTCATGTTGGGGCAGGGGCAACTGGACTCTGTACGGCGTACAAAATGCAGCGGCAGCTCAGCAACTACGAGCTTGTCTGTTACGAGAAGAACTCTGAAATTGGGGGGACATGGTTTGAGAGTGAGTCCATTCAAGGATAACATACGTCGCTGTATGTCAGGCAATGTTCTAACACTGGCAAAGACAAGTATCCGGGATGTGCCTGCGATGTGTGAGTGTGGATTTGCTTCTCGATTCAGAGCACTAAGCTCATTAAACGGCCGCGTGAAATCAGACCATCCCACGTTTATACCTACACCTTTGAACCAAATCCAGAGTGGATCTCCTACTATGCCGTGAGATAACCTGCGTAGGCGGCCTTGTTTGGGGACTGACTCATGACATAGCATGCACCAGAAATTCTGGAGTACTTCAGAGGGTTTTCTGCAAAATACGGACTGCAAAAATACGTGAAGCTCAATCATAAAGTAACATCTGCCCGTTGGTTGGAAGATAAGGGTCAGTATGAGGTTGAAGTGGATCATAATGGGACCATTCTCAAGGATTACGCTCATATCCTAATGAATGGGTCCGGCTTACTCAATAAATGGCGTTGTGGGTGAATCCAAAGACGAAGTCCGGACAACCGCTAATTTGGCTTTAGGGCCTAACATTGAAGGCTTGCACTCTTTCACCGGGCCTCTCATCCATTCCGCTAATTGGGACGGTATAGTCGGCCCCTGCCATCGATTTCGTGATATCGTAGGATATTGACAGTTAACAAAACTCTATCGTCTAGACTCCATTGAATTCAAGGGAAAGCGAGTGGCCGTGTTGGGAACTGGTTCATCTGCCATTCAAATTATCCCCGAGATGCAGAAAGGTACGCTGCATCTTAACAACTCCCATGTTGGATAAGCCCTTTTAACGAGCCCATTATTTTCTTTGTAGTCGCCAGCCATCTAAAGTGCTTCATGAGGTCAGGCAATCCCCACCCCTTCTCATTTGCATGGCCGAGTCTCGAAGGTGTATTAATGTGGTAAACAGAAGTAGCACCTGGATTTCTCCGCCAATGCCGAGGGTAAAAGTGGAACTCTCTCCTGAGGATGAGGCTCGGTTGACTCTATCCGAAGAGGAAAAGGATCCAGATATGATGCAGTACTACTACAAGAAGCCAGAAAAGGAAAAGCTCCGCTCCGATCCTGAGTTCCTGCTCAAGTATCGAAAGAAGATCGAGTACGGTATGAATGTTGGATTTGCAATCTTTTATAAGAACACAGAGGCCTCCAACATGGCAAGAGAGTACATGACCAACTCCATGGCTAGACGCTTGAAAGGAGACCCAGAGTTGATGAAGCATCTGATTCCAACTTGGGATGTCGGTTGTCGGTAAGTGCGGACCCATAGAAATTGACGAGAGACCGACAGGTGACTAACTACCAGACTAGTCGACTCACCCCAGGCGATGGATACCTCGAGGCCTTAATCAAGTCGAATGTACAGCCTGTGTACGAAGACATCTCCAGGGTCTACGGGCAAGGCCTGGTAACCACAGACGGACAGGCGCACGAAGTTGATGTGATTATCTGCGCCACTGGATTCGATATGGCCTGGACACCCCATTTTGAACTGTATGGAGTGAATGGCTCCAGAATTCAGGATGAGTGGGCTGTATGGCCAACGTGCTATCTCGGAATTGCGGCGCCGGGGTTCCCCAATTACTGGGTGATGAACGGCCCTCGTGGAAATCTCGCCAACGGCACTGTACTACCTTGCCTAGAAACACAGATTGAATACGTGATTGCTGCAGCTAAAAAGATACAGTCCGACCGGATCCGTGCCATAGAGGTTCGCCGCGACATCACTGAACAGCTGGATTCATACATTGATAAATGGCATGAAGGCAGTGTCTGGACTGCGGACTGTCGGAGTTGGTACAAGAATAACACGAAAGATGGGAGACCCCTGTGCTGGGGTGGATCTGTAAGATGATATCCCGTTCCACTGTCTCTCTTATATATACTAAGCAGTCAGCAGTCAGTCCATTACCTAAAGACCATCAAGTACCCCAGATGGGAACATTACAACGTCCGATATATTGACGATAACCCTTGGGCTTTCCTTGGCAACGGTCGTACCAAGGGCGAGACGGAGAGCGATTTTGAAGCTCTCACACCTTACATTCGAAATGCTGATGACGCTTGGGACATTGTTTAGGTTCTTTATTACCTGCTTGCCTGAATCAGACTTGATCAACTGTATTTACTCAACGCGGGCCATGGGACCGAAGAGTCACAAATAGGATTTCCCACAATTTGGGCCCCGCTCAGTTTTCATACACTCAACGGGATAGAGATCTCTTCTTGTAATGGTCCATGACTTGTGTGATTAGCATTACGAATTTGAAAGATGCCTTCCAAATATTAGTATTTACTAACGTAGGTCTACATACACCCAATGGATAAGGGAAAACTGTTGGTGGAGGACATCCTTATCACAGCCCCGTTCCGCGAGAAGGTATCTCCGTCATGATTCCACCATATTTGCTAAGTCACCCACAAGCCACTTTGCCTTCTCCAGGAACTCATGTGCGCATACATCCCCTGAGATTGATATATAGGGTGTGCGGACCTGTGTCCCAATAGATCCAGCGTCTTATTCTGCCTGCCAGAAAGTGGATCTTGTGAGCTCTTCTCTTGCTCTTCTTCGAGGGAGCCGCGTACTGACGGCGTTGGAAGGAATTAAGCCTAGGGGATAGGGTTGAGCCTTTCGAGTAAGTCCACGCAAGAGGTTGGTTGTCTATAACCAGTCCTAGTTTGATCGCAAATATGCAAGATTACTACACACGATGCGGCTCGAGGACTTGAGATCCATGGACAAGAGCCCCAAAGAGTCTAGGTGCGGAGTGAAACTTGACAGATGCATTTTACGCTGAGAATCTCAAGTGTCCTGTCGAGCTATGTGGTGGAATTTTACCACTATGAACTGGCTGATGCAGCGACCTCTCCCTCTATATGGTTGTATATGGTAAACCGGGTCAACTGGCACCGTCCGCGTTGTAACATGCGAATACTAGCTTTGGGCAATACGATGCTCTCAACAGCGATCTCCGGTATAGTTCTTCAATTAACTTGTTCAATTGGTTCCTAAGTACTAGCATGTATGGAAATCCCATAACCTATTATTACAGAAAAGATTGTAATATATTGTTTGGCTGGACATTCAAGATTGTTCAATATCCTATACCTCAGATACAGCCATACATGGCCGGGGTTTTAGAAGGTCATACTACCGGTCAGTCTGATATTCCGACTGCTCGAACCAACATACAACTTGTACTCTCCTCTCTGAAGATACCAACTCTGCGACTCGGTATCCCACAGACTAAGGTCACGCCTGGTCAATGGGAAACTGACAGATTTGCTCTCTTTGGGGTGAAGTGGAATCTTCTCGAAGCCTCGTAGCTGTTTAATTGGCGCATTTGGTATGCCCACATACAGCTGGGGGATTTCCGAGGCTGTAACTTCTCCGGCATTCGAGACTCTCGCGGTCACGATAGCAATGACGTCCCAAAGGGATTGGAGGCCACCCTCCATGACCTCGCCCGGCGGCGGATAAAAGGACGAGTTAGCCTCGGTATGGCGTACCTTAAGGTCCGAGTAGTTAAAAGTCGTGTAAGTAAGCCCAAACCCGAACTCAAAGCGAGGCTCGATATTGAGAGCATCGAAGCGGCGGTAGTCGATATAGGAGCCCTCGGTGAAATCCGCGTGTGTGTAGTAGTTCGACGAGTTATCTGGGCGCACAGGCCATAATAGCTCTTCACTGTAGTCGGATTCGTTCTTGGCGACTGTGTAGGGTAGTTTGCCGGACGGGGCCTGTTCCCCGTACATGATGTCGACGAGAGCGGGGCCGGCGTCTTGGCCGGGAAGATGGGCAAATATGACAGCTGTGACGTTCGGGTGGTCTATCCACCGATCCACGAGTCTGACCCCTGCATTGTGTATAGACACGATAGTCTGCGCAATGGATATTAGTCATGCACTCCGGAGACAGTGCGGGAAACGAATGGAAGGGCTGGAGGTGTTGAGCAGAGTGAGACAGGGGAGGCGGAGGTTACTAACGCTGGGGCACTTTTTGGCGACGTTCATAACAAGGTTATCAGAGTATTGATCGGCGAGAGAGACTCGGTCTACACCCTCAGAGGCGAATTCGTTAATGAAGACAAGACACGCATCAGATTCGGAGTAAGAAGGATCTTCGGAGTCAAAGTCCCAGTAGAGGAAGGTACCATCCTCATACGCCCGTTGCTGGAATGCGTCAAATGGAGAATTGATATACTGGGGAGTAGCTGAACCGCTTCCTCCCCCACCAACCAGAGTGCCAAGTGTAGCAGCAGATGGGCATTCGCCGACACCAACAAAGAGACCTTGAACCTGTGCCTGGGTTCTGTTTACGCTCTGGTATCCGAGAGAGTACTTGCTGTTCGCACCCGTTGGAGTGTTGACCAGAGGTGCGTGGGCATCATAGCCAAAAAGAGATAGAATCTTTGGCTTTTTCAACGGCAGGGTGTTGTTCACGTTCTTAACTAGTACGGCTCCTTCGACGGCTCCCTGACGTATGATATATTTGGCTTCTGGAGACGGGTCAATTGAGCTGCTTCCCTCGTGCGCTTTCGAAATGTTTGGGGGCAGTCCGAGCGGATTGGCCAGGTCGAACTGAGCGAATTTGAACCATGAGGTAAGGATTCTGTGGACTTGTCAGTGCCAGATAGTCCAACAAAGCAAGGTATGCTTGCCGTATAACCATATCATCAAGTCGGCTTTCTGCCAGTGTTCCGTTCTCAACAGCGACGGTAAGATTCTGGGGCCATACTGCTGATGGGGGCGTGACCAAGTCCATACCCGCCTGGGTGCTGGCAATGCCACCCCATCGTGCATTATAGTCGCTGATGATATATCCCTGGAAGCCGAGCTCAGTCTTCAGGAGTCCGTTCTGCGTCCAGCTGTTCTGACAGCTATGAGAGCCATTGACACGCTGATAGGAGCACATAACAGAGCCAACACCAGCCTTCACTGCATCCTGAAATGGCCATAGGTAGTACTCATGCATGGTCTTGTCATCGATATTGGAAGATACCGAGGCGTTGCCGAACCCAAACATGTTTGGGTTACGGTCGGTCTCCTGCTCGTTGAGGACAAAGTGCTTGGCCGTCGCAATGACGCTTTCCTGGATTCCCAGCACGGTTTTTGCTCCCATTTGGCCGCATAAGTACGGGTCGACAGAGAAACTCTCCCAGTTTCTACCGCCTGCCACTGTCCGGCCAAGCGGACCGATAGTCGGTCCCAGCAAGTTGCTTACTACCTAAATATCAGCACTGGTCCACATCAGAGTAGTGACGCTACCGACCTCCTTTACGTCTTGCTCCCTTGCCCATACTCTGTCCCCGAGCATGAGCCAAATCCTTGTTCCAAGACGATCCGACCGTTATGCCGGAGGCATATGCTGTAACTTCCTCCAGCGCGTTAAGGCCATTTGGACCGTCATGGACACGCAAGCCTGGAAAACCGAGCCGTGGAATGGCCGGCACGCCGCCATCGGACAGACTCGTAATATTGGCTTTTTCTTCGATCGTCATCTGGTTGACGAGAGCCTTCACGTGAGCGTAGGCATCTGCCCAGGTGCCGGTGCCTTTCACCAGGGCTATACCAGCAACCGTTAGTGTCACGGGATCTATACAATCTACATAGCAAGGAAAAGCGTACGGCTCGGGTAGACGGCGGGGCTCTTGCCATAGAGGGAGAGCTCCTGCTGGGTAATCAATTCGGGGGGTGCAGGGACCTGGCTGGCAATGGCTTCCTGATATACCTCTAGAGCCGCTGCCAACTCGTCAGTAGGCAGCGACTCGAGATAATCCCGTGTCGCTTTGTCAAGTGGAATACCATCGGGGATCTCTGGTCTCTGGGCAACAGCAAAGCTAGAGCCGGCCAACAGTAAGAGGGCATGCGCAAAGAGACGAACCATGACCCTAAGCTATGTGGCGTGGTTTGAGCTGTTCTGAATTGCTTGATAGGGAGAAGCTGGTTGGGTACATGGCCTTTTATATATGTTGATGGGTCTTTGAAGATCGCAAATGCTGTCCCCTATACTGCGTACGATGTACCAAAGTTGCTTGAGAACGGCCCACTGATGCGAAGCATGACGTCCGGTGTTCGTATGGGAAAGTTCTGTCCCTGTATACGAATACGGGAGGGGCCGCTGACCCTGATCTACCTACCCAGAGGTTAAACCACGGAACCTATCCATGGAACATAAGGCTAACTTAGGTAGATTCCACTAGTCCGAAGAGCTGACGATACTGAATCTAAAAGCCGGACGGCTCCGAAGAACTCCATTAAGAGTCCAAAAAACTAATATTAGGATCCTAAGTTTCGAAATAGTAAGGTAGAACTAAAGCTAAAAGGATATGTATATCCGCTTAAATTAGCAGTACCTAGTAGTAATCTAGTAGGTATTAAAGATACCTGAGTGCTATTAAACGCCAGAAACCAAACAAGAACTATCTAAATACATAGTAAAGAGTGTCCTCATATCTCTTTAATTTTGTAATAGTAGTTATAGTAGCTTAATCTACCTAGTTGCCTGACAAGGGTGTCGTAACACCAACATGGTTTCAGCTACCTTGGTACGATTAAAAGCGCTTTGCTTAATAATATCAGGACGCCCCGTACTCGTATAATAAGGAAATACGAGGATCTTCTGAGTTCCGCCGGACTTGAGGTTCGGCAAATCGGAGAGCAACCTTGTGTCCACATAGCATATAACAAACCTTAGGAACCAACGGCATGCTCCACCAGATTCCAGAACGCCCAGCTGGATAAGGAAAGAGAGAAATCTAATAAGTCTGCCGGGAGTTTGATCTTCGCCACATGGACGATTAAAAGGAGGCGTGGAGCCAAACATACCTCTTTGACCGACTCGAATTTCCTCACTCTCATTCACCCCATCTGGGTCAAGCCACCATGGCTACCAATGACAATCTGGAGATGTTTGAGCTACCGGCAGAACCCGTGATGCTCCCATCTTTGCCCGCCGCGGCTATTGGCAAAAGTGGCGTCAATATGGACGGTATGGTCTATAAGGCTCATAACGCGGTATCTGAAGGCAACTAATATGATATCTCCAGATGACGGCCGCGTGACTATCGACTGGGACTCCAGCTTCGTGCGAACATTCTCCAAACGGTACAGTCGTCCGTTTCTAGGACGACCTACGACACCCCCTCCAGCTTACTCCGAGCTGGCCCCGCAATCAGCCGACCATACAGTACACATCTCTGGACCGCCACCGGTATATCCCGAGTCTGTCGTCGAAATTGAAAAGAGCTGGAAGGTTAAGCTGAATATCGTCATCCAAGTCGTCGGGAGCCGAGGCGACGTGCAACCATTCATTGCCCTGGGAACCGAACTCCAGCGATACGGACACCGTGTGCGACTAGCTACGCACGATGTGTTTGAAAGTTTCGTCAGGGACTCTGGTTTGGAATTCTACCCGATTGGGGGCGATCCAGCCGACCTGATGGCGTTCATGGTCAAGAATCCTGGCTTGATTCCAAATATGGAGAGCCTGCAGGCAGGCGATGTCCAGCGCAAGCGCATCATGATCCGTGAGATGTTGCGCGGGTGCTGGCGATCCTGCATTGAGTCTGATATGCAGACGCAAGTGCCTTTTATAGCTGACGCGATTATCGCTAACCCGCCGAGCTTTGCTCACATCCATTGTGCGCAGGCGTTGAGCATCCCGGTGCATTTAATGTTCACCATGCCCTGGAGCAGCACAAAAGCGTTTCCACACCCACTGGCTAATATGAGCGGTGGCAATGCGGACGAAAGTTTGAAGAACTATATTTCTTACGGCGTGGTGGATTGGCTTACATGGCGAGGGTAGGAGACCAACGACATATTATGTCAAGAGCAGTGAAGGCTAACAAACACTTCCCAGACTGGGCGACGTGATCAACGAATGGCGACGAAAAGACCTCGAATTGGAGTATGTGGCTACGTTTGAAGGCCCCCATCTTGCAGAAATCCTAAAGGTCCCATTTACATACTGTTGGTCCCCAGCGCTTGTTCCCAAGCCTCTGGATTGGCCATCTTATATCGGTGGGTTGTTAGCAGATTGGTTTGTGCTGTGTCAACTGGAAGCTAACAGCACCCTTCAATAGATGTCTGCGGCTTTTTCTTTCGCGATACTCCAAAATACGACCCTCCAGCTGATCTAGCAACCTTCCTCGCTGCTGGTCCTCCACCGGTTTATATTGGATTCGGCAGTATCGTACTGGAAGACCCGGAACGGATTACCACGACTATTATCGAAGCGGTAAACGCAGTTGGCGCGCGGGCGATCGTTTCCAAAGGCTGGTCAAACTTAGGCGGCGCATACCACGACAACATCTACTTTATCGGGGACTGTCCACATGAATGGCTGTTCAACCATGTGGCGGCTGTCGTACATCACGGAGGGGCGGGTACCACAGCTTGCGGATTGCGGTATTCCAAGCCAACACTTGTTGTTCCCTTCTTTGGAGAGTCAGTATTTTGCCTAAACTATGATTATTCCGCCAACTAACGCTTCTTGATTAGCCAGCCATTCTGGGGCGCCATGGTCGCTGCCGCCGGTGCTGGTCCTGCCCCTATCCCACATAAGCAGCTTACCGTCGATGCGCTGGCCGCTGGCATCCGGTATTGTCTCAGCGAACAAGCAGCTGCAGCAGCCTCGACCATTGCGCACAAGATGAGCTCAGAGTCGGGCGTTCGCGCCGCAGTTGCGTCATTTCATCGGAACCTTCCCCTCGACCGTCTGCAGTGCGATCTATACCCATCACAGCCTGCCGTATGGTCCGTATCCGTACCCAAGAGTCGACGGAAGCTGAAGCTTTCAAAGTTCGCCGCAGAAACTTTGCTTGCGGACGGGTTGATCGACCAGAAGAGTCTCACTATGTACGTTGGATGACCCTCTACGTTTCTGCCTTGTTGCTTCTCAGCTACTGACGGACTCCTAGACATTCCACTAAACCCTTTTTGATCGAAAATCGTCGATGGGATCCTATCACGGGCGGAGCGTCTGCCGTGATGCACACCACCACAGACCTCACTGGTTCGCTTTTGGGGACATTTTACAAGCCTGTCCAGGAGTATCACGATTACCACAAGAGGCGTAAGAACCAGCGTTCGAGCAGTATGTCAAGCAGCGCATCTGTCGGGTCCACGTCGACGAATCCCGGGAAGGAGAAGGTTGCCGCGGGTACTGGTGCTGCGAGGAGCAATACTAAGCCGCAATCGGATCAAGGCGGAGGAAAGCTTTTGGCGAGAATGGCCGGTGCCTCCGCTAAGAGCCTGGGCGGTTTTGTCCCCACCGCCCTCAAGGGCATGACCGTTGACATCCCACTTGCGATGACTGAAGGACTGCGCAATATCCCTCGATTACATGGCGAGGAGCCTCGGGACCACGGCCCAATTACAGACATTAAGAGCGGCTTTGCCGTCGCGGGAAAGGGGTTCATGTGGGGAATGACGGAGGCAGTGAGCGACATACTCGTCAAGCCAATCCAAGGGATGCAGCAGGATGGAGCTATGGGTGCGGTTAAAGGACTCGGCAAGGGCATGTCGAATATGGTGTCAAAATCTGGCTATGCCATGTTTGGTGTCTTGATATACCCGAGCGCGGGTATTGCGAAGAGCTTGCACGCGTCGATTTATTCAAGGGCGAGGAAGTCGATTGCCATGGCCCGTCGTGGTGAAGGTGCATGGATGCGGGAGAGCGGCGGATTCACAGACACTGACAAGGACCAGGTTGTAACTGGATTTAGAGAAATATCGAAGGGTAAGAAGAGGAGGTGAATTGTCTACTGGAGGAGTCCATGAATTTCGGTAGTCTTGTACAGTTCCTAGAGCACGAATAATAGAAGTCTTCTCTTTCTTCTCCCAAGCTACCGCAATTAACCTCCCTTTGCTCTCCGCTTTCTACAAGGAGATTCATATGTAACATTCGATCCGTTCCTGGGTGTTTCGAGCTGTGGTCATCTTATTACTATAAGGTGGGTTTTTTAAAGGTAAATGATAACTAGGAGAAGATACTGCGAAGGGCAGTATTGGACTAACATGCATACACCAATACCTAGCGCAGGATCAAGCGGATCATACCGGAAGTTCAAATCCAGTCTTGCCCTTCTCTGCAACAGCACTATCGGCTGTTGTCGTCTCTGCCAATCTCGCAAGCCTCCTGGTCTCGCGGAAGACCATATACCCCGCCGCACCAGCCACAACACAAGCTAAGGCAACAAATAAGCCCGTCGTCCAACTGGGCCGGTTGAATCTGTTCATCCCCCACATGCAGCCAGCCAAGCAACCCTGGAATATAGTATTCCACATGTTACACCAGACCACAAAATCCATTTTCCACGTCGCCGTCGGCGGGGCGCGGCCCCCAAGAGCCTCGGTAAGAGCCGATGATTTGTTTTGCTCGCAACCACAGTCCCCATCACACCCAACACATGACACAACAATCGGTGTGCGATACCACGCTTGGTGAATGCTAGCCAAGCGCGTGATGCCAGCGAGGCTCTTCTCCCGGTCACTCCCCGCCATCCGCCAGCGGCACCACCAGTACAGATCCCGGAACCGCCACGGCGCCAGTCCGAACCCCGTCACGCAGAATAACCCGTTCAAGATCTGAGAGGTGGTCTCGATCCAGATCCGGCGGGAGGAATATAGATCGTTGCAGGACGGATGGCACATGGCTGGGGCGGCATTGCAGATTAGCAGGAACAGCATCCCGCCCCAGGCGACTATGTTCAGTCCGTATATGAGGATGAAGAACCCTTTCGGGGTTGTTATCCAACGCCACGCCGCAGTAAGCCAGGCTCCCTGATTCACTGCGGTTGTGACATGTTCGGGGGCAGTGTTGCCTGTACGGAGCTATCCCACCAAATCGTGTCAGTTCGCTTACAGACAGAGTTTTAGGCCAACGCAGACATTTGAGGATGCTGCTTACCGTGGCATGTATTTCGATTGCCTTGTTCTCTAGGGCTGGAGACATGTCTGGAGCTCCACACTCAGCCCTACTCAGCGGGTCGCATTGTGCCATGATCTTTTTCACGGGAATGCTTGCCGCAAGATAAGGAGAGGGACTTTTGTCAAGTGTGTAGTAATAATAACAATGTCATGGAAAGGACGCGAGAGTGAGGCGGCCTGGGGAGTGGTTCTATACTCCTGTTGAACCCTGCTTCTGGTTCTGGAACGCTAGCAAGAACTCTGCCACGAGGCCACCAACGCCACTGACTGGTACGAATAAGAGGACTGCCCCATGGGACACTCCTGGAGAGGCAAGACCAAGGAATAGGCATCCACGGGTGAAGAGACAGACTATAGTACCAAATATAGTCTCTGATGCCTTTTGCAGCTCCGATGCTCATCATGTGGGGCTCCAAAGGCTGTTCAAACTTAAATATGCTCAAGCCTGGCAAAATACGAATACGGGCGGGGCTGTTACCAAGATTTAGGGTGCTTACTATACCTAAGGTACCTAACTATCGATTGTCCTATAACGTTCCCGACCCGGTGCCGGAAAGACTACCTACCTTATCTACCGAGTCGGGTTGTCTTGCCCAGCCCTCCGTTAAGCCCCGCCTGGATTTGATGATGGCATCAACGACCTCACTCATCTCATCCATGGATAGTGTAACCTGAATTACAGGGAGGTTCGGGTTGTCTTTATCGATCACCTTAGTGGTGGCGAATTATCTGTCCGGACATTACGGGTACAACAGGTATCTGTTTGGGCAAGGGGAAAGAGATAGACTATAATATAGGTATCGGTAAAGATAGCACATTCAGCGAAGACTACATAGATGTCTGGTGCGATGTCTGGTTCTCTTATGACAATGGATAATCTTACAAAGGCGATCTGGTATATGAACTGCTAATTGGAGTCGTATTATTGTGTCTTGTTTCTCGCCTTAACGCAGTAGTTATTATCCAAATTGGTGAAAGACCGTCAATGCCTTGCTTGTACTACCTCTCATTATCTTGTTTAAGGGTCATCGCCATCGTACGCCCTATGTTGTTTCAGCCTATTCTCACACTAGCCAGTTTTTCAACCGTGCCACGACATCTGCAGCTAGCTGCTCGTAGTACGTGCCAAGAGGAAGGAACATGGACTGGTGGGCGGTGATTTCGTCCATCCCGTCCATGGAGAGAGGAACCCAGAGCTGCTTTTCGCAGGGTTCCTTCGAAACCAGACAGAAGTGTCGGCCCCTTGACATCGAACCTGAGTTTGAATCACCGCATCTGCTACCACCTCGATCTGAATCGCAAGAGCTTGCTGGAGGAAAACTACTGTCCGCGTCGGTGGGGGAGGGTACTGGATCTACCGACGAGTGAAATGAGTTGCCGTTCGTTCCCTTCTTTTGACGCTCTACGGGATTCTCATGTAGTCCCGTAGTCTTGCGACAGGCAGGCCGTTTCTCATTCCGCAGGCTCTTTTCTCTGTCAATGTCGCACTCCGGCGTTTTCTTCACGGGGTAGGCAGTCGTGTAATAATTGACGAACCGGAGCCGCCTGCCACTCGAACTGGAACCAGTCGATCCGCCAACCGTGGCCAAACGACAGAGCTTCTTGTGTCGCCTTAAGAGACCGAAATAATTGTTCAGGCACCCGGCGTGGTCATAGTATGAGAACACGTACTGTAGCGCCGAACGGGACAAATGACGTTTATTCTTCTCCAAAAAATGGCGAGCTCCATCCCAGCCTTTCCACCGAGGCTTGTTCACGTCGTTTGTCAGGACCGGATTGAATGTTGCGTCCTCGTTCGCGACGATGTCCCGTATGGCATCTTCCTGATCTTTGTCTTCATTATTGCTGTTCGTATCTGCTTTGCGATGAAATAACCTGCCAATTCCTGTTCCCACAACGCGAGGATGAAGTCCAAGGAATGGTGCATCGAACGCTACCAAGCCAGCAATGTTATGCCTCAGGTTCTTGGCTTCAATCTGACCAGGGCTAGTGCGAGATGTCATGAGGGCAACCTCTGCAGCGATAAGACCCCCTAGACTGTGGCCGAGGAGGATGACATCCAAGTCCGATGCCTCGTGCGGAGATAACCTGAAAAGCGCTGAGGGATAGTTCTGCGGGAAGGTAGGGGATTGCTTACCACTGGCTGATACCTTCGCAAGCGTCGTGTAATGGTCCTCGGGTCTTGTAGCGTGGATATATTTTCGAGTACACAACATGGGTCGCGACCAGTGAGACCGTCAGCAGGTCGTGGACCCTCCTAGGAAACTGATAAAAGCTGTCCTCTGACCCCAAGAAGCCATGGATGTAAATCAGCAGTAGCCTGCGCTTTCCTTGCTGCTTGGGAAGTTCACAGCGATCGGCGTCGGCGGACGGCGAAAGATCTGTCTCGGAGAAATAATTTAGGGGTCTGTAAGCCATCATCAGGTCATGAATGCTAGATGGTTGCAGGGAGTCAAGTGAATGGGAGTCGGCGACCTACCTTCATGGGTTCTTTGAGGATTTGTGCCTCTCAATAATATTGACGATTTCCCACCGCCACCGCTAAGACTTTGATCGTATTCGTATGTGAGGCCCACTTGGCCCGAACACTCAGGGTCGGAAGGCGAAGCACGACAAATAGGGGGTTCCATTAAGGACAACTTCGCACCTCGAATGGGCGTGGAACGTTCCAGGTTATCGGCTGCTAGACTATTATCCTACCAGTCCTGGTCCTGAACTGTGGGATCGCTCAATCTTCTTTTATGGTCGCCCTATTGAATGCCCGCTGGGTCTTGGTCTTTGAAATTATTCATAACCAACTCTAATTTGTCTGTCTCCGCCGTCTTGGGTTTATGTATAGGGAGAAGCTTCCTGGATTATAAATTCACTCTATCAGGATTTCCCAGGTTAGTCTGCTCGGATGAAGTAAAGTGACCGAAGTTGAGAACTAATAGGCAAGGTGCAATCGCCCTCTCACGCGCCGAGGTACCCGCGGTAGAGTTCTAAACCTGCTCGGCGGTCATCTCACACTGAACCGGGCGACACAATTGTTCACCAATCTCCTGCAGGTGAACCACATTGAAAACAACCATGGTCAGGAACATTAACAAAGAATCGATTATATATAAATATAACTCGTAGTACAGGAGATACCCACTGTTCCTTGGACATATTCGATCAGTCGAAACATGGAACGGATCACAATGAAGCAGCTCATCAGATAAAAACAATAAAGAAAGCGAAGAGGCAACAAAAGCACCTATAGTGATTGGTGACATAAACGCGGGATTTCATAAAACCCATTAGCCATACCCGATCCGTTGAAGTGTTTCGGTTCTGGTCATGGCTTACAGCGCTGCCATCGGGTTTTGGGGCTCGGCACGATTCCGTTCGAAAAGGATAGTGGGAGACTTAGGATCCATGGAAGCGGTGGGACTTAGTAGAAGGATGTGTTGACAACAATTTTCTAGTTGCAAGACAGGCAAGACAAGAGGCCAGAGGTTGAGCTGGGGGAGACATGGGGACCGAGGGAAGGAATATGGATGCTCGCAGGCTACTCCGATGCATAGCGCATAACACTACCACTGATCTGGTTAGGAACAGCTTAGTTTCCAAGAAAAGGATGATAAGGGGCAAAATGACCAGATTCTCCATTTGCACACACAAACATCAAGCTGGTAAGCAGACAGGCGTGGCGACGAGGTCTGGGGGACCTATCCGCCGTACTCTGGCTGGGAAATCTCTTTTGTATGTGTATTGATAGCCTCGTTTTGAGCGAGTAGGGGCACACCCGCACAGCAGGCGATAGGCCAGCTATTCCGGGTATATGAACTCAATAAAAAAACACAGAAACATCACAACGTCCTTATAGTCCAAATTATATTGCTTGTCTCATGGCCCATCTTCCTCATGAGCCTCGTCAAATTTTGGATCCTGTGCACCGCATATCGCTTATGAGAGAGTAAGCACCAGTCCAGTCTATGCAAGTGTAGTAGGTAAACGACTTCGCGAAACAATACTCCGTACTGTCCACTGTGCGTCAGGGAGCTGAAGGTCCCTTGCCATGCGATATTGCGGCTTGCATATTGTACAATGTGGCCAGAAAAGTCAATTTCCTCCAGGTGAATTATAGCAGCATTTGTCCGAGTAACTCTTAGGTCAATAAATTCCCACGGCATGTGATCCCAAAGTAATAGTGGAGGAGATGGATTCAACGCAGTTGAGGGAGTTAGCAGCCGCTCAGTAAATATATGCTACACGCTTCTTTCCACTCCATAGCCCTCTTTATATCGCGTAGTCAGCCATTATCACAACCCTTGAGAACAAGAGCCGGCCGATCGGAATAGTTCACTCAGCTCTATATACAGAAACCATCGCTTCTCTCATTGATCACCATGCTCCAAGAGAGGAGGCATGGCGGGCAATATCAATCGCCATCAGCTGATGGAATTTCTTGCCAGGGTGCAAAGAATTCCACCACACGCAGCTGGTACCATCATCGGCGTAGCAGGAGCCAGCAGTCGCATTGGGATATCCATATTTCACCGGGGCATCAATGATGGATGACATGAGACTGAAGGTGTCATAGAGGAAGACCGTAGCCTAGAGCGAGTATGTATCAACTTCGTGATCATGGTCCTTGGCAATATGAACATCATTGAACTTACATCTCGATGGCGTCTTTTGAAGTCTCGCGCAAAATTCGCAATAGCCTTATTGAGTATGGGCAGATAAGTCGCAAGCTGGTTGACAGCATCCGTTCCCTGACTTTCCCAAAAAGGACTGCGCTGAATTGGTGGTACGTTTAAGATCAAGAACCTGCGCCCTCCATCCCTGTATATCTGCTCGAATAAGGACTCGTACTTGTTTGCCCACACAGATGTAAAGTTCTGGGGGTCCGAAAACCACCATGAATTTCCAGCGCTGTAGAAAAGGTGTATCAGTAAGCGAGCATTCTAGATCAGAAACAACCGCGTCTAGCGGTGGAGACGCATACTCGTTGACTCCAATCCACGATCCAAATACTGCATTGGAAGAAGACCAGGGAGCATAGGACGGCTTGCTCTTGTAGACCGATTCAAAGAGACCCACTTGCGAGACAACATCGTAGGGATAACCTGGGTTTGCCACGATATTATTGTCAAGAGTCGCTCCCCCAACTGCGAGGTTGTAGCTCAAAAGGGATGTCTTGTTGTATTCGGTAGCTAGGTACCCGATCCAATTAACTCCCCCAGTAGTTGTTCCCTGTCCTTCATAGAGAGTTCAGCTTTCAGATTATGATACACTAACGGTGACAATGTACATACCAAGGACAGGGTTTCCCATAGGATTGGATGACGATGGTTGCTCCAAGCTGGCGTTGAAGCTGGTCATGGAGTACGAATCACCACTACATACACGCAATCAATGTTCGTATCAGCATGTGTCAAGTTGAATAGCTTTCGCTATGCATTAGGGACACACACAACGTAAAAAAGTAAAAAGGGCTACCATGGTGTGGCCGTCCTGGTGCAGCCGCCGCAGTCATAACCAAACAGCCCAATGATAGAGTACAAAATTTCATACTGCCGACGATAGTAGGTCAAGTAGGGTATCGAATATGAATTGCTCGCAATACTTCCGGCTATTTACCAAGGGGCTCAGAGGTTCACTTTATAGGAAACGTCCATGCTCGCCAGGAATCAATGCTGCGGGGATAGTGCCGGAGTAGTGGGAAATGTTTCAATTGGTGTAGTAATTTTTGGCCGGTGGCATGGCTGCTAACATTGAAAATACGGAGAATGATACTAGGTGGCTGCGGTCAAGCCGTTGGGCGGTGCTGGAGTTGAGATAATTTATTAAACAATCTACTGCTGTGAGTATATGAGATACGGACAGTAGGCTTCTCATTGACAGGTCTAAGTTCCGTTGATTCTTTGATTAAATTGCAATGTTCCGTTTTCAATGCGGAGGAAAGTCCGTAGTGTGTGGCTTTTTAAGCCACATTAAATGGGTTTGTAGATATGACCCAAGGTTCTGCAACAAATGATGTGGAGTGCGTCCTGTGAAGCATGATTTAATTGAAGAATCAACAGCGCCCTATACTAATTCCTGCTACCAACAACATACATCCTTATGCTGTGCGCAGATTCACACTGCGCATACATTGATGCCAGGTGGACGTGACTCCGACGCTAGCATTGGCCCCTTCCTCAATTACTTAAATGCAATTTCCAGGGTACAGAGAGGCACTACAATGAGTGAAACTATCTCGGTGTGGCTTGTGTGAAACCCGAAGCAATCTTTCGAGAAGGATATATTTCTCCATTGAACAAGATACCCAAGTTAGCACACTTGTTTTCCCTTCCGGTAACAGGACCCAGCAGTCACAACTTTCGCAAATAGCGGCATCTTCGTAGTACTTAAATTGACCAAGCAAGGGCCAAAGCATCGGGTTTTAACGATTTTGCAGTTTTCTTGCAAGTGATTACTGGTTTCACGCAGCGGAAAGCGCAGCTCACTTCTTCCTACAGGGCTGCAAGGGATTGAGGTTCATGTGCTGGACTACTTCTTTGTTGAGCTAAGCTAACCGAAAACCAATTGATGTCAATCTTAGATGTAAACCCTCGCAGTTTCAAGATGTGATTAGATGTTACCACTTTCTCCGACCCCATTACCTAGTAGGCCATTATCATCTTCGAACTTATCAGTTCAAAGGCGCATATTGTATATTTTGCGCACTTTCTTTAAAGAACTTTTGAATGATATGCTCCTCACTTGCATAACCATGGCACCGGAGGTGTCAGCTTCTTCTGGGCTGTTATTTCCACCTTGGATTCGAAGAAGGCCGGCCGTCTGAAGTTTTCGCGAGATACCCCAGCCAATCATGAGGACAATTTATGTCCCAGAAAAATATGATCACGCTGTCTCCTTCGCCGATGGCACCCTTCCTTAACCTCTCGTTGGCCGAAATGAAGTATACATTAGAACGTGACCGCCTGTCGCCGTTGTAAAGGTAACTATCATTATAATAGCCTTCCCATTTTGGAGAGACATTCCAGTAACAAGTCTCAGTTGGTGAAGTGTCTATCTAGCCGTACACGTGTTTCCAATATCGCATCTATATTCTTGCGGTTAGTATAGAGTTGAAACGGCATCACTTGACAAGAGTTGAATATACCTCTACGCTTTCTCCCGCAGAAAAGTAACTTGTGAGGCCCAAAACATCGGTGCCTGTCGTTGAGCTAATAGAACGGAGGCTACCCTGTGCTTTTGCAATCTTGTTTAGTACTTCATCCTGGTAGTCCGCAAAAGGCTTGATCTCGGAGACCCGATTATCACTTCCAAGGGGTGTCCCCCTAGACCCAATTTTAGGAGCTTCGATTAGTCGGATGGCTGTCTCAACCATATCATTTTTCTCATCGAAGTCTGACTTGACTTTCTCAGCTAGCAAGGAAGTTAGCGAACCTCTCGCGAGCGTAGGTTGGCACGATCCAGGTATCCTGACTCTAAATTTTTACTCCGTAGAGTTTATGTAGGTCCAGAAACGTTCACACTAGCTAGGGAGCCTTCCTTTGGATCTGTACGCTTCCAGGGGCACGGAAAATGGGTCTCAGTAATGTGCAATCTGCTGCAGAACATCAAGGGTTTTCTCTCATTCGTAGATTGAACATAAATCGCTGCCATTGAGGCTGTCTGCCTATGTCAAATTGCGAGCTTTCCGTATATCGTGTAGCCAAATCTGTCTTTACCCGTACTATCCTACGTATAGCCACATAAGAAGTGTGGAGGAAGGTAAGATCAATTAGTATCCATATGCACTAGGTTTCCAGTCTTTGTCTTGTTTATTCCCCCTTTTAGCCCTCTGACGTCTTATCGTATTGTCTACAAAATGCCGCATTGATGTATAGATATCCTCTGCAGATCCTGTATTCAGGCTACATTGACACGAATGAAAGTAGCTCACCACGGCAAACAGTGACTCCAAAAGCGATAATGAAATCTGTCTGTACACGCCGAGCCAAATCACAATAATTGTATTTGCTCCCCTTTCTGGTGCCTATTACTTCTAGGTGACGACCGTGAAAATGGACTCATTTCTACACTTTATTAAATGTTGGAGCTTTCGGAACGTCACTAGCTAGTCATTCCTGTTTCAGTACTGACCATTATTAGTAATGACTGTTGGATACATTGCTCGTTACATCTCTGTAATGTCACCCCATGCCTTGGTCCATATATCATGCAATCGGTCTGGATCATTCTACCATCTTCGGTAGTACACTGCAAGGGAATACAAGAGGACTAAAGTCTGCTTATCCTACGCAGTATGGTGTAGCGGTAAGTAAAGTGCACGATGCGACAAAGTGATCAATATCTTGACAACCCAGTCTAGAAGGCTTCGAGATCGTGTTCAATATGGCAGGTTTCACCATATTTTCAACTCGTAGCGGATACAGGACCTACTGGTTGTGTAATTTCAGACTCCTAGCTTTTGGTGGGTGGAATATAAGGTACATCTTCTCATATATAACTCGCGAAAGCAAAACAAGCAGAATGTAAACCAAATAGGTCACGTGTCGCGAGAGTGGTTTGATGAACATCCGCGGGAAACAAATGACCCTCTAAGGGCTATTCTGCTAACTTCCCGTTCTGAACTGGATACACGGATACGGAGCCGTTGTATCCTCTGTCCAACAAAGCAGCCTCCTTGCCATCCACGCGATCTAGACCCCCGAAAATATCGCGTTCCGTGGCCCGTATATCACGAGGTACCAGTAATATACGCGGATATTTGTAGACTTCACGGGAATGACAGGCTTGCCATGGTTTCCTCCTCTAAGCGAAAATTTGGAAGCCGCACAATCTGGTACGGACCCCGGACCGAACCAAAATGCCCAGACGGGATACGGCTTCCTCCGCCGTGTCTATTTTGGAAAGGTCCGGGGTCTGGAATCCCGGGGACTCCACAGTCCACGAAACTTCTCTGCACAAAGGCACAAACAGCGTGACAAACATGAATTTCGCATCTTATGATGTCTCAAGGCAGTATGGTACCATATCTGGCAACCCCACAAGAGGCGGGGTCACTCACTACCTAGTTCTTTTAGGTGCAGCCATCGGCTTAAGGGCCCTTTGGCAAGGTCTGCACACATGTAGAGAATGTCTACGGCCCATTTCGCCTTCCAGCTACATCTGCTAGGGACAAGATAGAGTAAAAGAAGAAAAAACATAGTAGGTAAGCCGCAAGCCGCAAGCCGGAATATCAAGTCGGTATAGCCCTGGGACCTCGGCGAGGAAAGCTTGCTCTTGTCCTGTCCCCCCTCAGGCCCTCCTTTCACTGGTAATTCTCCTCGAGGTAGTCCAATTCTGATCCAGTCGTTCCGTACCCGGGGTAGGAAGAGCGTTGGAACCCCCCGCACCATCGGACTCACCCGAAACCGGGGTGTGAGACAGTCGGAAACATCGGGTCGGCATGTCGAAATTTGGCCAGGCAGAGCCATCATGATCGGCAAGGACACTAGTCCAGATGGTTCGGGGTGCCGCGACCCGCATGCTCCGTTCCTTTTGAGGCTAGACTCATTGGTAACAAGCGCGTGGTCGAATGCTTGGTGGCCCTTCTTAAGGTATACTTCCCGGCGGGTCGCTCAGCAGATGGAAGAAGCATTCTGGAATTAACCATTGCATCTTTCGAAAGGTTGACAAGCAACTCCAGACATGGAGGCAAATGAGAAACGAGCAGAGAACAATCCTGCTCAGACATTGGAGCAATTGGTAAGTCAGTTCCCTATTTCCTGTGCTGTTGCTAAGGGACGCCTTCTGTATTATAGAAAGACACAGACATCCGTGCTGTGACAGGCAGTGGCGCCTACAATGAAGCCATCATACAGGAACCTCCAACCCTAGCCCATCCAACTACCCTTCTGTTATTCGCGTGCCTCATGGTTGGCTTCTTCTGCCAAACGATGAACGGTTTCGATGGCTCCCTCTTCAGTGGTCTCCTCGCCAACACCATCTTCCTTGACCATTTTCAACGGCCAGAAAATGCCAGGGATCTGGGCTGGTCTCGTCTCTGCAATGTACCAGATTGGCGGCGTCTGTGCGCTTCCCATTTGTCGGCCCTGCCATCGACCACTTGGGGCCGTCGGGTCGGAATGTTCCTGGGGAGTTTCTTAATCGTCTTGGGAACCCATCGTATGCGGCACCACCCATCGCCAATGCAAGCGTTGGCCCAGTTCATGGGTGGTCGCTTCTTGCTCGGTTTTGGGGTATCTATTGCTGCCGCTGCCGGCCCCATCTACGTTGTTGAGACCACTCACCCCAGCATACCGCGGTGTTGTGACCGGGTACTGCAATACCTTCTGGTTTATCGGTTCGATTCTATCGTCTGGCTCAGTCCGCGGTTCTATCACCCTCGACAACAACAACTCGTGGCAGATTCCTGTTTGGTTGCAGTTGGTCTTCGCGGGCCTGATCATTCTTTCCTGTTGGATGATTCCTGAATCTCCCCGTTGGCTATATGTTCACGGGAAGAAAGAGAAGGCAATCGATATCATGACGAAATGGCACGGCTATGGAGACCGCGACTCTCTGTGGGTCAAACTGCAGATCTCGGAGTACGAGGCTCATTTGAACATGGATGGATCTGTAGGTCCCTTTATCTAGATCACCAGTCCCCTATTGCGTGTCAGCTGCTGACTTATCTCTGCAGGACAAGCGGTTTTGGGATTACCGAAGCCTGTTCAATCGTCGAAGCAGTATCTATCGTCTTGCCTGCAACTGTGTATTTGTTATTTTTGCTCAGTGGGCAGGAAATGGGGTCCTAACGTACTATCTGGTCCCAGCCTTGAATGGCGCTGGCTTCACATCGGACGTGACGCAAGCGAACATCAACCTGGGCTATTCTTGCTTCCAGTTTTTCTTCGCCCTTTGTGGTGCTGCCTTCATCGATAAGCTTGGACGCCGTCCGTTAATGTTGTCTGGTATGGCAGGATGCTGTGTTGTTTGGATCGCAGTCTTGGCTGCCTCCAGCCAGGTCCGCGATGCCAATGGCAACCTCAATGACGCCGCGTCTAAAGCGACACTCGCCTTTATCTTCATCTTTGGCGGCGTCTTCTCGTTTTGCATAACGCCCCTGCAGGCCCTGTACCCTGTGGAGGTGCTATCCTACGAAATGCGCGCGAAAGGTATGGCATTCTCCTCGCTCGCTGTCAACGCTGCTGGTCTACTTAACCAGTTCGCGTGGCCGGTCTCTCTCGACGACATCGGTTGGAAAACCTACATCGTGTTCGTTGTCTGGGATGCTATCCAATTTACTGTTATGTACTTCTTTCTTCCGGAAACCAAAAACAGAACGGTATGTCATCCTCTTCACTCTCAGCCTTGCAGACGTGTCCTAATTACTTCTTCACTGTGTAGCTCGAGGAGCTTGACCAGATTTTCGAAGCGCGCAATCCCGTCAAAGCGTCCAAGAAAGCTACCACCATTGCAGTGGACCACAGCAACAATGTGGTAGCTGTGAAAGACGAGGCGTAAACAAATCCAAGGGCGCCATGTATGAGGATCATATAGTCATACTTGGATATCAATTGGACAGCTTCTCCATGCTCTTCGTGGTTTCATTATTATGTCTGTTCCACGCCATTTATATTGTAGAATTATGAAGATGTCGAGCCTTGTACGATTAACATATGATGCACCATAATACGTTTCCGCATTCGTGAAGGTTGCAGTCGGCTGGTGGGTCTACAGATCTAAACCTCAACGATGTAACAATTCAGTGTGGGACTCTGAGCTTGGCCCATGTACCCACTGCTCATGGAATGTAACCAGAATTTCATGCTGACGAACTGTTCTGGTGACTATAAGAGGCCTATCTATGGTCTGGACATTCTGCTGTAGTGCATCAGTCGGGCCTGAGTGAACACTGGTTGGTGTTGTCATATCTCAAGCACGGACTATATTTGCCATGGTGTTCGGTGTTATTTTGATGAATTATGGGCCCTGGAGTGACCCAGGCTGGGGCCCCATGAATTCCCGCACCTATATTGTGACACCAGACCGCGAAACTGCCGATCTACTCTATCGTGTTTTGATGGACAATGGGAAGAACTTTCCCCTTGTGCCGGTTGACTTTGATCGTAAACGTCCCTCGCCTCAATTATGGAGCTGGATGAGCCTACGCGGAGACAGTCAAGCTTCAATACAGGAACATCTGAAACTAGCTCTCAACGAAATAAATTTTGGGAGGGTCCCAATGAAAGAAGAGCACAGGAAGCATCTGCTTGGGAAGATTACATTTGACTGGCGCGGCAACTGGAATGAGAACGGCCAGCGTCTTCCAGAGATACCCCATCTGGATCTCCCGGATCATATCTCAGGGCGTGTGTTCAGCATTCGGGATAAGAGCTGCCCCACGCGATTCTGGGCTAAATCCACCAAATACCTCAATGAGGGCTGCATTGAAGTGTCCGACACGCGGAAGGCGAGATTCCGAGTCACGATCAAAGGAAGAGCGGATGGTAAAACGGTGATGGTCTTCGACGACGCTGTAACACTTGAGCTTATCGAACGATCCGGGAGGAATGTGAACTATCTTCCCGTCAATATCGATGAAACAGACGGGCGTCTCAAGGTCGGGGATAGCGGAACAGAATTAAAAACAATACCATTCGGGCGCTTGCTCAAGGGGGGACTCATCTGCGATTATCATGCAGGAAAAGGCGATGCTTCGGCGCAATGTCCGACATGGGTCGATGAACAGTTTCGTGGAGGCGATTGCTGGGAACTATGCTTCTGAGTGCCCTGTATTAAAGGAGTGCGCTATCATATGGGATATATTCATGCGCTAGCCATTCAATTTCAAATCCAGAATCAATTCTCAATTATTGAAGTATTCCAATTACAGACGTGGCATCTTAAAAAAGCCCAATGGTCACATCGCCCTGAATAACTGCATGGAGTTCCAGAGCAACATCGGCTCTTAAGTCCAGATTGATTCTCACATTGAGTGCTGAATCCTTCTGTTTGGGCTTCTGAGTCCCTGCCCTCGGAGATGTAACACCCCTGTCTCCCCACGGTGCCTTTGGAGCCGGGCCTTCCTCCTCAGGTATGGATTTAGGCTGCTCTACTGTTTCGCTCTGCTGTGTAGGAACAGCTCCGCTAATTCCCGCTCAAAAGTTAGCGTCTCAGTGACTCTGGTCAAGTATTTACGATATATTCAGTATCACGCGGTGTCGGTTCCTCACCTGTTTGGTTCTGCTTTTCCGCGGGGCATATTCTTGATGCAAAGAGGACGCGGTCAAGTTCTGATGTCCGGCAGAGTGGGTTTCGAAAGACCTTGTTTGCTCTGATTAAATGCCCAGACTGGAATTCTTTAAGTACTCAACAGTACCATTTTCAACATGACGTAGAAGTAAGGCATTATAAGGTTTCGATCTTTGTGCTATCCAACAACTTTGACCCGACAATATAGTACTCCATAGAATGCATCACCTGAAGAACATGCACCAAGTGTACCACGTCAGTAAGGCCAATTGAATAGGCGTGAAAACCAGCGTAACTTCATTCATCCATTGGGAACTGTGGGTAAAAATGTTTGGCGTTTCATCCGGCATTTCCGCATCCGGCGATGGCGCACGGTCTCGAATCTCCACCGAAGGTTACAGTGTCTCGTGCGTGGATAGGCATTTCTGGCCCATGATATTTAGATAGTTGAAGCAATTGATGCGAAAAAAGCTTCGAGCATATCTTTAAATCTGTATTGCCATCGTATCCATGTCATTCTACAATCTCGTCTACAATGTTGATCCTTCACAACAAGAGGACGGCTATCAAAGACAAAATGTGATTGTCACACCGAACCGAGCAACTGGAGACCTCCTTTTTCGATACATCCAAGAGCAATTGGATGTTGCGGATAAGGCCTCGTTCAAGGAAGTCAGGCGGCTGTCACCGCAAATATGGACATGGGCTGGGAAAGACAACAAGTTCGAAATTGCCTATGCTTGCCGTGCGATAAACCTGGGAACTGCAAAGGGGAACAAAGAATACTTGCGTAACCTTCAGGGGAAGGTATTCCTTTGTACCAGTGGCCCTACGGAGTTACACGCGACAGCGCCTGCCATACTGCCTCAGTTCGACGAACTCAAAGATCACCTCTCAGGGGGTACTTTCTGTGTTCGCAACAAACGGTCCCGCCAGCAATACTGGCTCAAGCCAGACGTTGGGGAAGGTCACCCGGGACTTCGATATATACAACCCTCAACAGAATATCGTTCAAAGTTCAAGATCAAGATTGCAAACGAGCATAAGGATGGGACATTGATGGTGGAAGACGATGACGTGAACCTCTACCTAGTTCATGACGGCGTGGACTATCTTATAACACAGGATGAATCGGGTCGAATCGGCACTAAGAAAGAAGACAACCCCCTTATCTTCAAATTTGGCCACCTTCTGAACGGTGCGTTTGTTTCTGACTCTCATGAAGGGGACAAAGAGAAATACATCTGGTATGTACCCGCAGAAGGAGAGAAGGGTCTATCAGGCGAGCTTTGGGAGCTGTGCTAGACCGTGGACCACGTATGCTCGCGATATCTATATGCCGCAATGTTGCTGTCTCGTCAATATTCAATACTGTGTTAATAGATAACTAAGTATTGCCTCCATACATGGTACATGTCTTGGTCTACTGCGGAATGAACAATCTTGTATAGAGAGCTTACGGGTGTATAAAAATGGAATGTGCAGAGCAGCGCAGTTGCTTGCATAGCACTCTAATCAAGTGGCCCCTGGACATTTGCAGAAATGCTTATCTGCACATACATCTTCTGTCTACTTTGTTGTGGCCCGTTTGTGGTTTCTCTTAGTCCGTGTTTGTCTACCCCTTTCACGGTGCAATTCAGTATACATTCAGCAAGCAGAAGGATTGTAATTATGATGCGTCTAGCAGCAGCAGGACTAGTAGTAATAATATTTTTGCGCTGACCCTCACTAAATACCTAGCCCGTCCTTGTTATATAGTAGCCCTATTTACCAGAGATAGCTGAGAATAAACTGTGCTATGAAAGCTTGTTCAAGCTAGTCTGGAATTTCAACCGCGGCGGCAGCTTGGGCCGTAACTTAATCTCCCCCCTCAAACACATTCCAGTCATCCAGTCGCAATAGAGAAACCTAACCAACCCTAATCAACCGAAATATCTGCTCATCTTCAATCGAATTATACACCTTTATTAAAGGAATAATGCCTCGGTCGCAGACCTTTCATGCAGGCCGAAAGCACCTGCAAGACCAACAAGTGCCGCTGGGTTCACCCCACCACATCTCTGGTCCTTTGGCCTGTTGCAATCCAACAGGGGTGCATTACCCATTGTCCACTCATCATCCACATCTCGACCAAGGAGCCGTTGCAGGGCCTCACATTGAGAGACTTTGGCGCTCTCGGGATAATCGGAAAGGACGACATGCGCTCACCATCCAGCAGAGACCGCCCGGAGTCGCCGGCAAGAGGTATCCGCGCAAAACAATCCACCCATTTGCCATCCTCCAAGGGGTTCTTCGCATGTTCACGACCTTTCCATACTGGGACATTTCCTTCTGTGTAGCTTTTATATTTACGATCGGTTCGGTAATCTGGTGCGTCAACGCCTTTTTCGTCTGGCTGCCGTTGGAGAAGCCATCTACCGAGTTTCCGAATGAAGTCCTTACGGGCGGAGGCGTTACAGCCTTTCTCGGCGCGACTGTCTTTGAAATCGGCAGTATTCTGCTGGCTCTGGAAGCAGCCAACGAGGACCAGACGGGCTGCTTCGGCTGGGCCGTCGGCGAAGTCGAACCGGCTGTCGTCCGGATCACGCTTGACATGGACTCGTGTCGGCATCATCATGCTAACCGCCGCTCGTTCCTGGCTCATCCGTCCACAGCCAAACAGGACTCGCACAGACGCACATCGACTGATCGAAAGCGGTTGTTCGCGTGGCTTCCCACTTTAACCGAACTCCGCACTCACTATCTCCACGAGATCGGATTCTGGGCTTCGTTCTTGCAGCTCGTTGGAGCCACCATCTTCTGGATCGCCGGGTTCACCGGCCTTCCGGGCATTATCAACCACATGAGCCAAGCAGTCACCAACGGCGTCTTCTGGGTCCCGCAGATCGTCGGCGGCTCGTGCTTCATTCTCAGTGGGCTACTTTTCGCGGTAGAGACGCAGCCAAAATGGTATATTCCCGCCATCCACATTCTCGGCTGGCATGTCGGGTTCTGGAATTTGATCGGTGGTATTGGATTCACTTTGTGTGGTGTCCTGGGACCAGCAACGGCGAACTCGGGGGTCGAGTATCAGAGCACGCTGGCAACGTTCTGGGGGTCCTGGGCGTTCCTATTGGGGTCTGTGATACAGTGGTACGAGAGTTTGGATAAGTATCCTGTGGAGGAGAAGCGGTAATGTGCTTCCGGGCTTCATGTCTATTGTAATTTGTATGCATGTATAAAACCGCCGAATGTAACCATTCGCCGTGCATGATCACCCCAATCTCCTCCTCAACAACACTCCTGCATCTCCTATAAGTTCACTCTTGGTGACACGCCATGCCCGGGGATATGAATCCACCGCATCAGCAGCTTCGCTAGATGAGGCCCCGTCTCCTCCACCTCGGGGGACAAGCACCCCGGCAAAGCCATCAACCGCGACGCAGCCAATGTAATCCGCAACACTGTTGCCATCCTACGCCGTCATTAGCATGATCCTAGCGTTCAGGGTAAATTATCCATGCGACAACGAGCAGGTCCACGTATCCACCAGCACCGTATGTGCACCCAGGACGACTCGGAACAGACCTGGCACCCTTCAAAGAGCTGGGGCGGAAAATTTTCCACTGTCGCGGAGACGGCCATGGAGAGCGCCCAAGAGAGGTACGGGCGGTAGATGACGCTCCTGCAGGTGAGGTAGCGCTGGTGGAGGAATGCACCACTGAGGCAGGCCAGCGGGCAGACGTGGACGGCGAATTAGAGCGGCGGAGGGATCATCAGCAGGCCAGAATGGCGCGCGTTGATCAAATATTAAGAAATTGTTTCGGGAACTCACTTCCGTGTGCCCTCTGGTCACCGAATAGAGGGCTGATCAAATCGGCCAGTCGTAGAAGATGCCGGCCGCAGAAGCACTTGCGGATTTTACGACGGACACCACGGGTTTATCGGGGTAGTGAAATCGACGTTCACGTATCAAATGGATGTGTCCAAAGTTATTATAGCTGGTCTGTTCTAAGGCACGCTTCCTACTGGACAACTCCGGCACTTCGGATTTCAGAAATAGCGTTGACGGCTGTGACTTTATGTTGAGACGATCCCTCGATACATCCTATTATATATCATAGTACTAAGCTTTTTAGTTAAAACCAAACTAGCTTGGATGTTTTTGAGTGCTTGGCTGGTTTACGTCGTTTGCTCTGGGCTCTCGCATTAAGGATGATTTGGAGGACACCATTATCATTGTAAGTTCAAGTAGACCGTACCACTTCCTGAGAAGAAAACGAGAGCCCCATCATCGAGACTTATCGTGGCCTCGTTGCCGCCTGTCTTTTCCGACCACCCCCGTGACGCGCGGCTATGGAACCGTTGTGTTGACTCTCCAAAGTTCAGGGCTGGTTCTAACATATCCCTGGCTACTGTAGACTTTGCTCTTAATCACAAACAGTGTTCTACACTGGACCTAATGCAGGACAAGCTGAGGTGAATCAATTACGCTAAGTGTAGCAAGTAAGGTACAGGGCTCGCTTTCATAGAGCCCAAAGAAGTGTACTCGGACGAACACCATACAGAGACATGGACTAATCCACGAGTATGCAAATACATTGTGACAATAGGCAAGCAACATAGGATACGCAAGTACCAGTGAGGAGGCAAACCAAAGTCAGAAACCCAAAAAACGTCTCATGCGCCCCTCAGCGGCCACAGCAGGCTCTTGCCGTCCTCTACCATGTTCGGACGTACCATGAGGAAAGATCTTGGACCGTCTCAAGGCGAAGCACTTCTCGACTTTACTGGCCATTTAGTCCGCCGTTCTGCGCGCACGTAAAGGTTGTTGGGCCTGATCAACTGGAACATTGGGTCGTACTCGATGGGGCCGTCACCCTCACGGGAGAACTTGTACCGGTAGATAAGTTTGGGCAAAAAGACCTTAATCTCCTGAAGCGCGAAGTTGAATCCAATGCACATACGAGGCCCCATTGCGAAAGGAATATATGCCGCCTTGTGCCTGGATTTCACTTCCTCGGTATCCCAGCGATCGGGATTAAACCGAGCAGGGTTATCCCAGAGATCAGGATTGTTGTGGATGTGATGCAGGGCAGGAATGATCACCGCGTCCTTTGGTAGCTTATAGCCCCCCGGCAGGATCAGGTCAACCTTCGCAGTCCGCCCGGGTTGGAAGGAAGGATTGTGGCGTCGCTGAGTCTCCTTGATATACTTGTCAAGAAACTCCAGTTTCTCCGTGAAGTCAGCAGTCATTTTGGTATTTTCATCAAATCCGTGGTCAATCAACTCTTGGAGAAGTCGCTCCTGCATGCCCTTGTACTCACAGAGGCCGTAGATGAGCCAGGAGAGGAGAGAGCTAGTAGTCGTAAAACCAGCGCCTGTAGCCACGATCAGCGCCCAAACCACGCTAGATTTTGGCAGCTTCTCGCCCTTGTTGTCGGTGGCCCGAACGGCATAATCTCTCGAATGTCAGTCTCGCAGCGCACATAGAAATCTGGTCATTACGGCGATAGATATACTTACCAACCATATTACTTGCTGTTAAGGCCGCGTCTTGTAGAGGAAGATCCTCGATGCCTGCTCTCGTCGCCTTTTTCATCGACTCCCCTACCATTTCCTCAATGCGGACTCTGAGGTTTTTGAGTCTTCTGGGGTCACCAAATGGCAGGGCGCTGTACCAGTCTCCCTTCGAAGTAACCTTCTTGTTGAGAGAAAGGACTTCGGCAATGTTGTGGACCATCTCATGGACGGGAGTATCGGGTGCATCGAAATGCTGGAAGTCCATTCCAAGGGTAAGCTTGCCCACAGCTTGGGAACCTAGCTTCAGCATATATTGGTAGACATTCCAAGCTTCACTCTGCTCGTCCAACTTGTCAAACACCTTGAATGCATCCTCCACAGTCTGCTGCATCGTTGGAGCGTAGTGTCGGACCGCCTTGGGGCCCAGAGCTGGTGGCAGGAATTTGTGGGCGACTCTCCATTCTGGAGTGTCAGTGTCGCCAAGAAAAACACCAGCAGCAGGAGTCTTCAGTGCATGAAGGGGATGCGATTCATTAATTTTCTTTGTGAAAAAGTCGGACTCGGCGAACGCAATGGCAGCGATTTTCGGGTCATTGGTCTGGTAGGTGACACGGCCTAGGTTACTTGTCTTGATGACCGGTCCATACCTCTCGAAAAGGCGTTGATGGTTTCCAAGATGATCCGGGTAAACTTCGAAGAAGGTGCCGACGAAGGGCAATTCTTTGGGGCAGGGTGGATCGCGGACGGGATGCCCATCAATCGTGATCGGCACAGGAGCCGTTGCTGCCAGAACCTCAGCCACTTCGGTCAAGACAGCGTCTGGTCCCTGGAAAGTAATTCCTTGATTCCATGTCAGACAAGTACCTTAGCGACAGGGTGCATTCGCCGGAAGGGACTACCAACCACTTGGGTCGACGATAGCAAAGTGAGCAGCGATAAGAAATTGTAGGCTCTCAAATGTTTGGGAAGTTTCTATCCCAACCTCCTTAGCCGAGGACAGACTTTGTCCAAGGAGGTAGAATGTTTGCGAAGGCATTCCGGTGTGTGGGCGTTCTCTTTATGTAGAAGATGACAAACGACGCCGCCGATAGTGGTTGTCTGGGCAAAGAATAACTTTGAGCAGCTTGGCGGTTATATAGTCTTAAGGAGTATGCCCTAGGGATGACCGGAGTCACTCAGGCCATCCATACGCTTCTTGTTCGGTGTGATGGAGTCGGATGGCTGCGTATGGATGAGCTTTCCGAGATAGAGCTCGGTTCGTTGCCGGGTTCCCTTTTCCTCGGAGCTCCTCGTGCTCCGAGGTATTTGGAACACCCGTCTGGTGTGCCCCGATATGGCCACCGAACCGGCAAGAGTTAAGCACCGCCGAGTATCCTCGGCTTCCCGAACGGAAATTAACCCCCTATTGGTCGTTCCAGGGCATCAAGTACTTGTCGGGTCCATCCTATAAAAACCTTCCGCAAAGCGATGTAGCCGCAAACATTGTTCATAACGCGATTTCGAAGGCACTGAACTATACCATCCTTGTCCTTCTACTTCATTGTCTTTGATAGGCATCTCCTGCAGAGAGCAACCATCACCACCATGCGGGAATTCACGCTAGAAGAGATTGAAGCGCACAAGAGCAAGACCGACTTGTGGGTTGCTATTCATGGAAAAGGTGAGCATCGCAATGTCTATCTACCTCAGCTCCGCTAAAGACAGAGGCCTTAGTCTATGACGTGACGAAATACACGAAAGACCACCCAGGTGGTGTTGACGTTCTGGTCGATGTTGCTGGACAAGATGCCACGGAGGCATACGAGGATGTGGGCCATTCGGAAGACGCCAACGAGATCTTGGAGACTTATCTAATTGGCACGCTGAAAGGCGCCGCGGCCTACAAGGCGCCCACAGCCGTACGGGTCATACAAGAGTCCCCCGTACAACAGCCACCGAAGGGTAGCTCTGGCGCTGCTCGCACCCTGAGCCTCGCCGCTGGCTCAATCCTCTCGTTATACTTTGCTTCCTCTTTTATCAGGCAACACCTAAGCTACCAGGACGTCAGCAAGAATCTTCTTCAAATGGTCCAGCTGCCATCGATCAAGCTCGCTGACTCCGTCGGACATGGGGGGTTTGTCAATGGAGTTGCCGCTGCTACCTGCGTTTGCGGAATGCTGGGTAGTGTATTGGTATCCAGGCTTTCAAAGCTCACGGAGATTGAATCGGGGTTCACAAAATTTCCCCCTCACATCAAAAGGAAAACAGTCTACAAGACCAACCCGCACCTCGTTCCTGGTTTCCTCCAGCCAAAGGATTACAAGACCCTGCCCTTAGTGGCAAAGGACCTTTTGGCTCCCAATGTCTACCGCTTCGTCTTCCAGCTCCCGCGCAAGAGCGATGCCATAGGCCTTCCCGTTGGTCAGCATGTTGCCATCAGAGCAACGATAGATGGCCAGTCTGTGTCCCGATCCTACACGCCCACGTCCAACAATCTCGATCTGGGCAGATTGGAGCTTGTGATTAAGTGCTACCCAGACGGCCTGCTCACGGGAAAGTACCTTGCCCACCTCAAGATCGGTGATAAGGTCGAATTTCGAGGCCCCAAGGGTGCTATGCGCTATAAAAAGGGCCTGTGCAATAAAGTTGGGATGATTGCTGGTGGCACTGGTATCACGCCGATGTACCAGCTTATTCGCGCGATCTGTGAGGATGACTCTGACACTACCGAGATTTATCTGATCTATGCCAACCGCTCCGAAGAAGACATTCTGTTGCGGGAGGAACTTGAAGCATTCGCAGTGGCCTATCCCAAGTCCTTCAAAATCTGGTACATGTTGGACAACCCCCCCTCAAATTGGCAGTATGGTAAGGGGTATGTTACACCTCCCGTTATGCGCGAACATCTTCCTCCACCGTCTCCAGAGACGAAAATCATGCTCTGTGGCCCCCCCGGCATGGTCAACGCCTCTAAGAAGAGTTTGGCCGGTCTAGGGTTCCAGACCCCTGGGCAAGTCTCCAAAATGACCGACCAAATTTTTTGTTTCTGAGAATGTTGAATTGTCATTCTATTGAGTGGTTTCCAAAGGGGCTTCTCCATGTTTGTTCCGATATAAATCATCTTTCTCTGAATCTTTCGTTCGCTTTGTTTCCATTACTGTTGCTTTGCTCTGGGCTTTTGCCACCTCTATTTGACTGCCAACCATATAGACATCGAGCATTGACTAAACGCTATCCGTTACAATAGAAGAACTATTTCTCAGGCTCTAAATATATTGCATAAATCACCAATTGTCCGTGGTATTTAACCTCATCAACCGTTATAGAAGCTTCCCAACTCTTCCCACTCTCTACGGGGAATGTCTGACTGTACTGGCAGGGCCAAGGTGCAGTCACATAAGCAGTATCTACTCTAGTTGAGCGGCATTCCACGACAGAAGTGCATTGACATGTACGAGATTGGATGATGTCGTTCCTCGCTCAGTTAGAAGACGAAGCCATGCGTGATCGAAGCAGCTTTCTCCGTGAAGAGCAATGACTTGACATTCAACGTTCGCTGACAGGAGACTGGGTACTAAGTGATTGCGTTCTGTTTCCCGAGGAATATAGGGTTCCTGGCCCACTTTGGCCGCCGGAACCATAAACTTGTCGGGTTGCCGAGATACAATTCAATGGGATTATTATCCAATTGGAATGAGTAATTCAGATGTAATTCTAGGTTTCTCACGAGCACCTATGTTGATCACTTGGAAACATGACGAAGCCATCTACTAGAGTGTCTACAACCCCGTCAGCGGCGACGCCGAACCGAGTGGGCGCTCTTGCTGCGCCGGGTTCCGCGGGCCGAATGGACATCTTTTGCCCCTGCCTTTCTTTCCACACTGGGGAACCGAAAGACCGAGGTTTCTGATACTGGAACTGTTCCTCGGAGACAAAGGCAGGAGCAGCACCGCGTCCCGAGCATCCGACCCTTCACGGCCCGAGATACTTCCTCCTCATCCACTTCACAGAAGCACTAGGAGAAATTTAAGATGTATTTGTCTGAAAACTACCTCAGCCCTAACATCTATATAAATGCCGAGTCTTCGGGCAGTTAGCTGGTTCTACAATCAACCTGGTCTCAAGCGGTGAACCTTCAGAGAGCTTTTGAGTCTTAACATCCTACGTGTACTATTTATCTTCCTTTGCCAAAATGATCCCTGATTGGCAGCCACCCCAGAACTACAGGGAACGCCCTGTAGCCATCCTTGGTGCAGGTGTCTTGGGACGTCGAATCGGTATGCGAAAAGTACAGCAATCTTCTCCAAGTACTGACCCTCTTTGTAGCCTGCATTTGGGCATCGGCAGGTTACGACGTCCAAGTCCGCGACCCGAGCCCGGAGCAACGCGCCGACTGTGTCGCATACGTGAAGCAGCATGTAGTTGCCTATGCAGAACACACTGGAGCTGCACCTGGCGAAGTCACCACATCAGAGGATTTGAAAAATACCGTCAACAATGCCTGGCTCGTTATTGAAGCAGTCCCTGAGAAGATTCAACTAAAGATCGACACCTTTGAGCAGCTTGACAAGCTTGCTCCGACAGACTGTATCTTGGCATCCAACTCTTCTTCGTACAAATCCTCGGAGATGCTGGACAAGGTGTCCGACTCCGCGAAGCCGCGTATCCTGAACATGCATTACTACATGCCTCCGCAAGTTATGGTGGTTGAGTTGATGACAAACGGCTTTACCGATCCATCCATCATTCAGTTTCTGGTCGAACGCTCCAAGGAAGCGGCTACCATTCCATATGTTGCAAGGAAAGAGTCGACCGGCTTTATTTTCAACCGCCTGTGGGCTGCGGTCAAGCGAGAGGCTCTAACGATCCTTGCCGAGGAGGTTTCGACACCTAGCGAGATTGATTCGATATGGACAGAGATATTCGTCAAGAGTGGTACTGTGCCTTGCAAGGCCATGGATAGTATGTGGTATCCTTTGCACCGCTCTTTCTTACCTGCATTCAGGATCCCCCAGCCTTTTCAGTCTCTAGGTTCTTGGACCACGAACTTGGATTTGATTCTGACCTTGGTTTCTCTTTAGACGTCGGCTTAGACACCGTGGCATTTATCGAAAAGCACTATATCGCCGAGAGAAACCTCCCTAGTGACAAAACGGTCGACTTTCTGCAAAAGAACTATCTGGGCCATGGCAAGCTCGGATCCAAGTGCTCAAAGGGTGGCCTTTATGAGCCTTCCGAAGTCACTCAACCTAAGGATTTGGCTCCCAGCCTTCTGGTTCTCGATCTTGGCTTGTCATCCCAGGAACCAGGATTCAAAGCCGGCGAGATCCTGCAGATTTCAGCAGATGGACATGTGCAGAAAGTTCTCGCCACTGGCCAAGCTCTTCCAGACGGAATTGTGGTGGACCCCAGCAGCAAGCGGATCTTTTGGACCAACATGGGTGTCCCGGGCAAGCAGGACGGGGCTGTGCTGTCGGCCAATCCGGATGGAAGTGATGTCCGGACTGTTGTGCCGCCAGGGGCCATCAACACACCCAAGCAATTGGCACTGGATGCAGAATCGAAGAAGCTCTACTTCTGTGACCGTGAAGGGCTTCGGGTCAGTCGTTGTAATTTCGACGGATCGGAGCTTGAAAATTTAATCCAGGCTGGCGACCCCAACACCCTAGATGCTGCGGACCTTACGAAATGGTGCGTCGGAATTGCTGTTGCTCCAAAGTTCGGCAAATTCTATTGGACACAGAAAGGCCCATCGAAAGGTGGAAAAGGGCGGATTTTCTGCGCGAATATATCCACCCCCGAAGGGAGGTCGGCATCTACTCGGGGCGATGTCCGATGCATTTTGAGCGATCTGCCGGAGCCCATTGATCTGGAGGTCGACGAGGAGACTCGCGCCCTTTACTGGACGGATCGTGGCGAGATCCCTTTTGGAAACTCATTGAACCGACTCCGCCTCGATCACTTCGGGCTACCTCTGCCTCAGATGTCCCATTTGGGCTACGAAGTACTCAACAGAAATCTGAATGAGGCCATTGGCTTGAAGTTGGATCTGCTTCATAACAATATCTACTTGACCGATCTTGGCGGAAATCTCTATCGTTGTGACAGAGATGGAAAGAACAGGGTCAAGTTGTTGTCGGATGAAAATAGGGCATTGACTGGGCTCGCGTTCGCTTGATGGCCAGAATGTCTTGATTTCTCCGCAGGTTACTCTTGTCGTTGCGACTTTTATCCTAGGTTGCCATAGATTCCAATTGTACTTCTCCATCGTTTAATGATATATCTTCGGCATAGTTAAGAGTAGGCGTACGTACGTGCACTCTACGTTATATATTTGCCCCACAGTTAGCTCTTCGCTATATTTCAAATTCTTTTCTGCGCCTATTGTGAGACAACAGTGACATATGATTTCCGTCGACTCCCTTTTCTAAGCTCACTTGCCGGTCGAGTTATGTTGCCACTCGACAATCTCCCGGAACGGCGTCATCGCTTCAAGTATGGAGGCGTTGGGGACCGGCTCTTTTGGCCCATATCCTGGAATATCTGCGTAAGCGCATTTACTGTCGCTTGGAGCTTTCTAGGCACAGTGGCTGGTCGATTTGTCTTAGTCTTATCCCAATCTCTGCCGCTCGTAATTCTGTATGGGACGGATCCGCTCTCAGGATACGCTCGGCATGTCATATGACTCAAGAGGCATCAATTCGCCATCGCTTCATCCCCCGACGCTCATGTGGACACTTTAACTGGTTACATACCAGTATCCTTCCGATGGGGTAGGATGGCAGATAAAATTTTGCTTGGTTGGACCTTCCTTTTGTATAGTATTCAAATATAACCCAGCTAGCAGATTGGTACTGCAGAGCTGATCGAGAACACTCTGTTTCGTCTCAATCCTAGAATATCGAGCATAGCTTGGGAGTTTACAAACGCCGACAGAGGATCTTTCCCATTTTGTTACAGCTGGCTGGATAATCAGCCTTCAACCACTTCCGCCATCGAAGGCGATAATTTGCTGATACTGGAAGCGTCAGCCTGGGCAGATGTCGTGGCTCACCATTCTCAATATTGTTCTAGAAACTTGTCTCGATGCACTTTCGTAACCCGCTGCTCTCGGTGGGTCTGATTGATCGGGAACCTCGGGAGGCGCCCATTTTCTGGGCCTCGGCGTTACACGAAAATCGCTCTACTTGGTGCACCACTAAGCATTCCGTGCGAAATGTTATGCAGATCGGGCTTCCTGGGAAATGTGAGGCGTGAGTATGGAGGAAAGCGAATAGTACTAGGAGCTTTGACATCCATGGGTATTCAGCAATAGTTGCATTTAGGTCAAGAATCCCGACTAACTAGTCCACTGTGTTTAGAGCATTGCTTGTTGTAGTCCTGTGGGACAAAAGGCGATCACTAGCGGGTCCAACCGGATATCGTCCATTAAATACCGAGGTCCTGGACTCTTGTCCGAGGATTCTCTCCAAACCGTGGTGCTTTTAGCTATTGCTAACTCAACCTCCAGTCACCTGGCCGTAGTTCTATTAATCCTCGGAAGTTGTCACATCAGGATGTCCCCGATGGAGAACAACGTGCGGCCGAGACCTGCGAGTCAGCCAGCTCGACGCCATCGCTCGACCGTAGCGTGTGATGCCTGTCGGCAGCGCAAAGTGCGATGCAGCCTTTCGGTGACCGGGGTGCCCTGCACTGGATGCATCCAAGACGGTGCTGACTGCGCCGTGACTGCGAGGAAAACAAGAGGGTGAGAATCGCTTGGAAGCCATCCCATCCATGGTTCCATAACTGAACAATGGTTCTATTCTAGCGCTCCTAAAGCCAGGAGCCACACAGTCTATCGCTCGCAACGGCCTTCCTCAAGGGCGCGGAGGCTCCCTGTCAATGGCGGTATCATGCCAGCCACGCACTCGGGGCAACCCTCTCCGCGTCGAGAGGAAGAGTCGGTTTACGACCAGAATAGCCAAGACGAGGAGCAAAATGGACTCGAAATTGCCTCTGCTGCCTTGGGACAGTCGGAAACAACTGGCGGGGTCCCTTTTTATACGGGTAACTATCCCCAAACACCACCCCGGAGTGAAGCTGATTTCCAGCAAAGGGGAACAGACAGGGCCAACGTCTGCATTGGATTTCTGTTCACCAGGCACAGCTCTTCCAAGACATTTACTCATCCCGTCACGGGCTAAAATATCCCTGCCGGAGGAGGACCGGAACTTTCTTCTAGCCAAGGGTGTTTTCTCATTGCCCGGGAATAATGCCTGCGCGAGCCTCCTCCGAGCCTACATGTCCCACGTCCATCCAATTATGCCCATCATTGAAATTGATCAGATCTTGAACCACTATTATGATGGGCGACTAAACGAATATAACATTCTGCTCCTCTGGAGTGTTTTTTTCGCTGGAGTTAATGTACGTCGCCCCCCCGGATTCTCGAATGTGTGTGTGACTAAGGCTTCGCGCCAGTTTATTCCACCGTCCGTATATGAGGAGGAAGGGTATAATTCGCGCAAGGAGATGAAAAGTGATTTGTATTCCCGCGCCAAGGTACGCAGGCCCATAGAGGGCCGGCCGTGTCCACTTTGCCCATGCCGTACCCCGAACTAATCAGTTCGCCATACTAGTGCATGTACTACAACGGCGGAGAGAGAGACAAGGTCACTCTTCTGCAGTCGTCGCTTCTGCTGGGCTTCTGGCATTCTAGGCTGGATGAACACATGCAGCCCTGGTACTGGACCGGAATCGCCATTTCTCTTTGTCAGGTCCTCGGTTTACACCGCAACCCGGACGAGTCCCGATACAATTCTACTGTCACTGAACAGCAGCGAATGCTATGGCGCCGTCTTTGGTGGAGTTGCTTCTTTCGTGATCGATGGCTCGGGCTCACATATGGGAGACCAATGCGCATCAACCTGAAAGACTGCGATACTCCGATGCCACTGGCCTCTGATATTCTCTACGACGTAGCGGCCGTATCAGGATCTATTTCTGATGATTTTTTGTCGAATGAAATGCCGCGGCTGGCACGGTATTGGATCATAGTCGTCGAGCTGAGCAAGTTATTGGGTGAATGTCTTACCCTGAATTACCAAATTATGAGACCTACGCCCTCTCTTGATGAAGTTGAAGCCCTCGAAACAAAGCTGCTTCAGTGCAAATTGCCTGACCAGTACGAGAAGGGGTTAACTCGATTAGCCACATTCTACTGCTACCACGTCCATTTACACTACCAGTAAGTTCTTCAAGCTTCCGAGTACTACCTTATGCTGAATTTTATGTCCCAGGGCACTTGCAATCACATTTTACCGACCATTTTCGTCGGAAACTTCTGGCATGCTTCCACCCAACTACCCAGAAGATTGGTGTCTCCGCATGCGACTCAAAGCCGATGCCGCAGCTTCTCAGACTAATAGTATTTTGGAGACACTGGCTCAGAATCAACTGCTCAATTTCGCGGGTCCAATGACGTAAGTGTCTAATCGTGGCATCCATTGTGTTTTCCAGGGAGAGTACATACCATTTACTAAAGCTTCTTGCATCCGACCAGGCCCCCGCTTCTAGTTCCTGCGATGCAGACACATCTGCTATTCTGCCGGTCTGCGGACTCACTCTCCCGGAATCTTAGACTCAACAAGATTAACATGTTGATGTTAATCTTGGAAGAGCTTCAGAAAACATATAGCGTTGCGTCTCTCTACCGTGGAATATTCTTGAAAGCCATGCAACAGATGTTTCCCAATTACCAGCCGTGCACATCTTCTGGTCACGCTGCCGGTCCTGATCGAGGCCACACCACGGGGTCATCAGCCATATTAAACGCAGAGCCCGTCACGGAAGACCCTCACGAGGAGGGCCCCCACGAACTGGGCTTAGTCTTCAATGATGGATTCGTGGATGCACTCATGGACGAGGCGTCACTTTTTAACCTCTGGGAACACTGGAGTTCGGTCTAAAGAAGGATTTATGCAAGTACACACGGTAGTTATCGTCTCCGCGCCAGCTTACATCAACAGCATGGCTAGTTAAACGGACTTCATATTACCTGCATAATTCACGGGCCATCGTGATAAAGGCAAAATGATCACGACCAGGCATCTTGGCGGTGAGACCCAGAATTGAAAGGGTGTGGAACGGTGAAGCTGGATTTGCACGTCCTCGTAGTCTTACCGCAACGGCAAATTTTCTACGAGCTTTATACAAACAATAAAAGAAGGCCAAAGGGGGACCCTGAAACGGTGCATCTTCCTACTTCGTGCTGCTTTCAGGATTGCCTCTTACTCTGTGGTCTAAAGTCTAACTAGCACCGCCAGGACAAATCTGATTCCGAGGAAATAATCCCGGCGGTATGCCGAGGTGGTTTAGCCAAGCTTCCGAGTTACATACGTAGTACAACTAATTCCGAGGGGCGTGAGAAGTTCCGTTTTCCGATTTGGCGCTCTTCTCATGCAATATGGATTCCAATCTAGACAAGTTAGTCGTCTTGTCGTGGATTCCATTCCAACCTTCCAATTATTAAGTTATTTTGTAGGGACTCGGATGTAAAGAAGTTGTTGGATTCAGTTCATTTGCCCCTTGCCCAGTATGTATGCTAGAATAGTTCTCTGTACAAATATAGAAAAGTGCTTTTGTATTGCCTTTGATATAATCTCGCATTACTTATGTTCGACTATTATAAGTTTAGAAACTATACTAATTCCTTAGACGATCTTAAGGACGCTTTTTGGTGTATTGTAAGCTAGATACTAACTTGTCACGCTTACAGGGAAGAGGGCTTGCCGCCACTTCTTGGTCTGTCTTATACAGAGCTTAAGTGTATAGTATTTGTATAGGGACCTGAAGTGCCCTGAAGGAAGACTGAATAGGGTGGCATGCCACCCACACAGACCCTGGTGACCGAATTATGCTGTTGTCTGTTTTCGTTTTCTCCTTCCAGGGTAAATAAATTCTCTCTCTGGATTAGGGTGGGAGTAACCAAGCCCTGTAGTCATAGTGGGAGCACGCAAAGGATATAGTACATCGTAACAGGATGTGTATACAGAGTGGCCGTGGGTCGCCAGATTATAAATAGTGGCTAATGAACAAAGCTGAAGATGGAGACTACTTCAGTTGGTATGTCGATAGCCATTCAAGGTCAGATTATAGAAAACGAGCTAGGCATGGCTAGATAGACATTCTTTTCCCGAGCGTAGCTGTAATGATAGACTACTCTTCCCCAAACTCTAAGCTGGCTACTGAGAATTATAGTTGTTGGGGAAGGATCACTACTGTCTCGACCGTACTATGTTTCATTTCCAAGTCCATCAGCCGGACAACTCAAAACCATCCGGGATACGCCTGAACAGTACACTCGATCTTCGGCTTAAAATAAAAAAAAAATAAAAATAAAAAATTTATTTTTGAAAAAACATACAACAGCCGGGATTCGCTGGTGGTCACCCACCCAACTACTAACCGGCCGGCGTGTGGCTTAAGTACGGCTGAGCGGACGGGAAGCCATGTTTTCCACACCCTGTGGTCGTATGTGATTTGCAATTGTAAGTCACAAATTATATAGGAATCTATCTACCTAAAATCCAGCTGCTCCGGACATATCGAAAGGTAGGTACCGTTTGGGTGAAACGGGGGGGTAGGTATATCTAAGCATACAACTCCAAGAACATGCCAGGTACAAAGGGACCAGCTTGTTTTTACAAGTCATTCAAAAACCTGCGTTGATCATTGATATCATGCCATGGCGTCTATATATTTATCAATCACAGCCATAGAGCAATTTGCGGCTTGTCGTCAATCCATCTCGAATGTTGAGCGCCGTCATATACGTTCTGTAGTCAGGAAAATGAACTCGAGCTTCTTGAGGGTTACTTTAGTAGGTGCTATTTCAAGCAACTTCTCACCAACCTCACCCTCAAGCATAATATAGTATAGCTAGCACGTTACTTACCTTAGTAACACTAAGTTTACTAAACTTTTCACTATACATGAAGTGTTTTCATTGAAACCAACAGTTTTCCTCTCGTCCCTCTTTTGCAACGTTGCTGGTTGTTATTTCCTAAACAAATTTAGCTATTTTCATGGTTCTTGCCTGAGACCAGAAAAGAGCCTTTTCGTACCATGAAGTTTTGCCTGCCAACTTCCGCACGATGGTTGCTGAACGGGATAGGAATTTTCATGTTTATTGGTCAGTCCAGAGCTTTGGATATCGGTAGTCGCTTTCGCGTTGAGCTGGGCCAAGGGCCTGTCACACGAACTGGAAGCGGGACCTACGGTGGAACCTGTTATGGCGCGGATGCGGATTTGAGTGCCAATCCATACTGAGGCAATCGACCTTGCTCAGGTGGCCTTGGATTCCTTGAACAGTTATGCTACCAGTGCCACGGTACGCGCAACTGTGGAGACATTCTTTGGAATAAGACCCCATTCATCGTCACCTACCACGGTGTCAGCCAGTGACTCGGCACAATTCGCATACGTTAAATGTTTGTTGATATTTCCATTTGCGTTATTTATTTCTACGCTGAGAGTTTAGGGGCAGATTTTGCATTACCACCTGCCTCTCACTCTACTCGTCATTTGAGTAGAGGTAGACTCCAGGGTTGACGTACTTCCTACTAGATATTTTCAGACAAATCGTCGCTTTCTCGACAAGCACAGCGGATAAAGAGATTTCAAAGCCGGGTTTCTTTTGCGACGATAGCTGGCGATGGAAGACGGAGATGGACTATGGATTTGACGGACAAATGAATGGCAAGACAATCTCTCAGGCGACAGGTGAGTTCAAATCAATAATAATCTATTTGAAGCCAAATTTCTAGCCTGAACCAGCCCTAATATTATGGTTATCATAAAGGCGGTGCTGTACAATGGAGCTGGTGGTCTCCTTTGTACAAAGCGTTTCTGGGTACCGGCCAGGGCTGTGTCCACAACAGCCAGGAAGCAACATTAGAGTTCACAGTCGTCACCGACACACAGAAAGTCTACACGATTACCATGTGTCCATATAGCTTCACTCGAGCTAAAAGAAAAGATTCCCTTAGTGCTTGGCGCTCTAAGGAGAAGATCATAACCGACGGAACACCACTAGGGGCAGCTCTTTCAACATCCGGTACGCTGATGCATGAGCTAGCACACTTGGTCACTAAACGGGGTGAGTTTAACCTTCTGCTTTTGTTGTAAACTTGAACCCCCATAACTGATACTCATGAAATGGTTAAAGTTATCACCGATGAGACGGTCAGCAGTAATGGGCAAAAAGCTTACTTTCCTTCAAATGTGGCTAAACTTGCCGAGGAATCAACAGCCAAAGCTGTCAAGAATGCTGATAGCTATACCTGGTTTGCCACTGCTATGTATCTTGATCAATGTGACTGGTCACGACAGATCTGCGCTCAGAGCACCAGCACATCAACTGTCGCTAAGCGATCGAACAATCAAACCATCACCAATATGCCACTGATGCGAAGATCAAACCGACGGACGTTTCTCCCTCGTCTAATAACTGGTCTGCAGGATGATCTGGAGTAAGCAATGTTTGTTGCGGTGAATGCACAAAGGGTGATCTGAGGAGGCACTAGCGGAGGCGCCTTAAGTAGGTATTGATGCCAAGATGTACCGGTACAAATGTGGTGTTATAGAAGCCGAGTTAGGTTGATAGATGTCAGAGCCCGTTCGATTCTGCTCTCAATCTATCTATCTTTCTACATGTCGGAATGTAACCCGTGTCCTCTTTATCTATTTGCGTCTTCTTCATGTTCCTCTGCTTCTCTTCCAGCGATTCGACATGCACTACCTCGTGTTCTGCAATACCTTCCCTGGGCGACTTTGATCGGCCCAAGCAGTCCCTGCTAGTAAAATTACTGAAAATGAATTTATTCAAAAGTCCATCTGTTTTTCTACAGCACTTTTAAAGGACCATTGGTGCGACCCTCCTCAACCTGCTCTGCCATTGCTTTCCTTCTATAATGATACATCTGAGTCGTAAGCTGGCAAACATTCTAAACGCTTCATCGCTTCAGGAGATATAGGTCGGGGGGGCTCTGGTACGTAGTTCTCCGGTGCATAGTGAACAACCTCCACGAATTCAACATGCCGCGATTCGTACCCGATCATCCCGAGATCTTTCAGCTCGTCAAAGAAATACACCATGACGTCCCAAGGTGGCCTTCCGCGTGGATTATACCTCACCTTTTCTTTATATATTCGTTCTCCTTCCTCGTCGGCGAACGTGATGAAATAAGCCAACCGCCTTGCAGTTTGCCTCTGGTACTCACAAGTCCCCTCTATCCATGCAGGAGTCTGGGACTTGAGCGCGGCCGAGGGATACTCAGCTGGGTCTTCATCGTCAATGTGCCAGCATGGTAAGCCTCTGAAGCTTTCGATAGAGGAGATAGCTCCCTGCTCTAAGTCTGCAGGGAAATAGATTATCAGGACCTCATAAAGCCTCTGTGGAGGGAAAAGCGGGTTTGCGTGTATAATCATCCCCTTATCAGGGATCGGCGAGGCAAATTCTCGACTCCATGAGCGATGTGCGAGGGCTTCATTCAATCTGAGGCAAAGCTCCGAGGTAAGAAACTCTTCCCTGTCTCTGCGGCTTCTCCACTCTAGTAGTTGGTTAATTATTGGATATGTAGAAGACGGCATAGCATCTTCTTCCATCGAAAGGTTAATGCTGCTTACCAATGATCAACCACTCAGTCTCGCTTAGTTCACGTGGACGGCCTCGGGCGATAACGATGCATTCGTTGAGTTTGTGTATCTCCTGGAGGGTCGCAAAAAGTTCATCGCTATCCGGGATAACACCATTGGGTGAATCTTTGAGTGATATCCATTCTAGCAATCTGCGGTTCTGAGGTGGCCTTTTTCTTGGATACGGATCTTTGGCGTTGGTTTTCGTGGTAATGTTGTTGATAGCATGCAAGTGATTCTGTTGCTTTGAAGCGCGTTTCGTTGTGGTCTTCTCAGCATTCATTTGACTGGCACGTGTGGCCGATCGAGTAACAGGCATGGTGGAGTGAGCCAGTAAGGCGGTGCTAAATAAAAAGAGGTTGAAGAGTATCAAGCAGAGAGGGGAGAGGTTATGTGACGTTTATTTGGGCGCCAACCTAGAAACGGCAAAAGTAACCACATGTAGTAATTTAGTTAACGTTTTCAACAACCAAGCCGCGCCCTTTCCACCAAAATATCTACTCTCTTAATTCAACGCGTCTTTTCTTATCACCGCCATTGAGACGGGAGTCGGATGTTCACGTGACCTCAACAGGTGCGGGAAGCCTAAGGCATAAGTAAACAAATGCTTCAGGTACAATGAGATCCACGTGATATCCTATCCGAAAGGGGCGTAGTGTAGATTGTTATCTCGGTTTTCTGGAAAAGTTACACGAAGGGCAGTACAATCTTAAAGATGGACTTGATGACGGCAAGCCTTGGACACCACGCGATTCTCAACTTGTTTCGTCATAACTACAAACATGGGCTCCAACCATCCATCCCGACTACAGCACAGACTCAAAGTCCTGGATCTGCCTTGGTCTCACCCGGATAGCGAATACCTCCGACGGCTCCAGCGGGAAGAAATTCATGCGACTTACGGCCGACCCGACAGTGAACCAGGAACACCGCCATCGGCGGACGACATATCTGCCTTTGTGGTCGCATACCTTCATGAATCCCTGAACAACAGTACGGAGAACTCTGCTTCTAGTGGTATCCCGATTGCGTGTGGAGCTCTTCGTGCTTTATCACAAGAAGACCAAGTTCCCGGAGATGTTGAAATCAAGAGAATGTATGTCCACCAGAATTACCGGGGAGGGCGTTGGTCTGCAGCAAAGGCCGTGCTAGTAGCACTAGAAGAAAGAGCGAAGGGAAGAGGGTGGACGAAGGTGGTCCTCGAGACTGGATCGTTGCAGACAGCGGCGATCAAGTTTTATCAACGCGAGGGATATAAGGAGATTCCCAAGTTCGGGGCCTACGCTGAATCCGCATTATCGCTGTGTTTTGGTAAGGTTTTGCCTGCGAATTGAGAGTGTACCTATATATATATATATTTGACAATCAGCATAAAGAACGGGGTATAGAAACACAGATATTTGTCAGTCCGTAGGCTAGGCGTTGAGATACTGGGAAAAACGACAGCAGGGTTCAAGTACCTAGTATGTAAGACCGGATTCTTTTCCAGCCACCTACTAGGTAATGCATAAACCCTAGCCCACGGGATCAAAGGCGAACTGATCCCGGTCACTGCACTGTTGTGAGCTTGCTGGCGATCATATTGGGGATGCCAGATTGCAGGAGGCTCTCACTATATAGATTGCTGCTGGCTGGATTCATGCAAACACTATCTCAAAGATAAGCCATGTTTGCAGCATGTACAAAGGTGACAAGGTAGTAGAGATGACATAATTTCCCCGCCATGTCAATGTGACCTCAACTCTCTCCATTATTAATTTATCCACAATTTATCCACTTAGCCATAGACACCTCCCCTCTTTCTCTCCTCTGTTCTCTCTTCTCTCTTTTCTCTTCCTGCATTCTTCTCTTCTTTCACACCATCTCTCCTCAATTGACCCCCTCCAGTCATTCACCAGCTCGACATCATGGCTCCCTACAACGTCCGGTGGGGTATCATGGGTGAGACCCCGCAACAACCCCGAAGACACCACTGGCAGCTAACCACCACTCCAATAACCTCACAGCCACCGGCTGGATCGCCGAAGGTAGGTTCTATCCCATCTCCCTCCCGATATACCAGCTAACCCGCCCAGTCTTCGTGCGCGATCTCCTCCGTGACCCTGCCATCCGCGGAACCACAGACGTCTCACACACTGTGGTCGCCGTAGCCTCATCCTCCAGCAAATCTCGCGCGGAAAAGTTCATCGCAGACACCGGCGTGCCAGCCCCCTGCGCCGCCTACGGCTCCTACGAGGAGCTTGTAGCCGATCCTGCCATCGACGTCGTGTACGTCGCGACGCCGCATAGCCACCACTTCCAAAACGTCATGCTAGCCCTGCACGCGGGCAAACCCGTGCTCTGCGAAAAGGCCTTCACGGTCAACGCGGCGCAGACCCGTATTCTGTGTGACACAGCCAAGCAAAAGAACCTCTTCCTCATGGAGGCCGTGTGGACGCGCTACTTCCCGCTTAGCGTGCAAATCCGCGACCTCATCCGTGCCGGCGCTATCGGTGAGGTGCTCCGTGTTGTCGCGGATAACAGTTTCGGGGATAATGTTGAGGAGAAGTGGGGGACTACCCATCGGATGGTGAATAAGGATCTGGCAGGGGGATGTTTGCTCGATTGTACGTTTCATTTTCTTGCTCGCATGGTCTTTGTCAGTTTACTGTTTGGGGAAGCCTCAGCTAATTATCGACAGTGGGCATCTACTCCCTCACCTGGGTCTTCCAAACCCTCTACCACACACTTCCCCGTGAGCAGCGCAAACCACCTTCCGCCGTATCTGCCCACATGACGCTGTACCATCTCACCGGTGCCGACGAGGCGACCTCCATTCTCCTCAGCTTCCCCACCACCACGCCGTCGAACTTGCCGCATCCGGGCCAGTCGCAGGCCGTCGCCATGACGCACATCCGCGTCGCCACCGACCCCGACGAGACGAATGCTGCACGCCCCGCCATCCGTATCCAGGGTACTAAGGGCGAGATCCAGGTGGACGGCCCGGCTTTCCGGCCCGAGCGCTACCGCATCATCCCCAAGAAAGGCTGCGGCGAGATCAAGGAGGTCGAGTGCCCGTTTCCCGGCGGCGGGAAGGGCATGTTCTACGAGGCAGATGAGGTGGCGCGGTGCCTGCGTGATGGAAAGCTCGAGAGTGAGACCATGCCATGGGAGGAGAGTATTGTCATCATGGAGGTGATGGATGAAGCAAGACGTCAGGGTGGGTTGACATATCCCGAGAAGATTGAGTCAACCGTTTATCCTACGGCGCTGTAGATAGTAGCAGCTACTGTAGGCAGGCGCATTGCACATATAGTCAAACTACAGTGCAGGGTGTCAACTGTCTCTAGATTAGAATACTTACTATACACAACGCCTGGCCACTGAGAAGGGAGCCCAAAAGGCCAATCGAATCACACTGTCCCAACTGCCTCTGGAGAAAGAAAGCTATGATGAAACATTTGCTCATCAAGCTCACCTCCTCTTTCTGATTTGGGCCAGGGAGGGGCCAGCGAAAGAACAGGTGGATAAGCTACCCAAGAAGTCCAGTAAGACTGATGCATGATTTGTGAGCTCAGTGGTACGTATAAGGGTCGGTATAGTCCTCTTCCGAAAGCATGTCCCTGTTCGGCAATCGATAATGACAGTGTTATCCACATCTAATGTCACTTTATGCTTGTTTTCTCCGCACTTTTGATTCTTGGCTGCGTGCTGGCGCCTTTTCGGGGCCATTTCGGCTCCACCCCCGCAAAGAAGAAAAGAAACCTGAGCTTGGCAAAGTTAGCAACGGGGGAATAGGCACATCGTACGGATGGAAAGCTGGCCCTTTACTAGCTATCTAGCCATGCCAAGTGCATCAGACGCCGATGGCATGGCAGTCAATTGCCGCTCTACTCCTTTAATACCAGGTAGCAGACCACGTCTCCACGGGTCTACTCCTGGCGATAGTCAGACTTCTGGCGAGCTCTACTTGAGTCTGTCAGGATGAAGTTTCTCATAGGGTTGTCATTGCTTTCTCTGGTTCATCATGCATCCTCTATACCCTCAATTATCCAACCACGTCAATCGGTTCAGCAGAGACCAGCAATGCTGAAGCCCCGACAAACACCTTTCAGAGATCTGATCTCTCTCGACGGGCTTTGGAAGTTTGCTCTCGACTCCGGTGATAATGCAACAGCCGCACCCTGGACGGGTCCATTGACCACAGATCTCGAGTGTCCCGTTCCAGCCTCTTATAATGACATCTTCGTCGATCGTCAGATCCGTGACCATGTCGGATGGGTTTACTACCAGCGCGAGGCTATCGTCCCCAGAGCCTGGTCACAGCAGCAATATCTCGTAAGGGTTGATGCCGCCACGCACCAAGGCCGCATCTATATCAACGACAATCTGGTCGCCGAGCACAGGGGAGGCTACACCCCTTTCGAAGCAGATATTACGGGTCTTGTCTCTGCTGGTGACAGCTTCCGCTTGACCATTGCCGTCAACAATGAGCTGACCCACGAGACTATCCCACCAGGCAGGATCGAGGTGGAGGAGTATACAGGTAAAAGAGTACAGGTCTACCAGCATGATTTCTTTAATTACGCTGGGCTTGCGCGCTCCGTCTGGCTGTATTCTGTTCCGCAACAGCACATCCAGGACATCAAAGTCGTCACTCATGTGAAAGGCTCTGCAGGGCTCATCAATTACCTCGTCACGGTCTCCAACTCGACGACAGGCCGCGTCAAGATCGACGTGATCGATAAAGATGGCACGACAGTTGCCGAAGCATCAGGCGCACGTGGCTCTGTCACAATAGACTCCGTCAAGCTGTGGCAGCCGGGTGAGGCGTATCTTTACCAATTTAGAGCCAGCATAGTGGGGTTGAACGACAGTGTAGTCGACACCTACTGTGTTGAGACGGGTGTGCGCACAGTCAAGGTCAGTGGGAACAGGTTCCTCATAAACGACAAGCCATTTTACTTCACTGGCTTTGGGAAGCACGAGGACAGTGCTGTGCGCGGAAAAGGCTACGACCCAGCATACATGGTTCACGATTTCCAGCTGATGGATTGGATGGGAGCCAACTCGTTCCGCACCTCCCACTACCCCTACGCTGAAGAGGTCATGGAATTTGCGGACCGGCACGGAATCGTCGTCATTGACGAGACGCCCGCCGTCGGCCTGGCATTCTCCATTGGGTCTGGAGTTTCCAGCGAAGACAGTCCGCAGACTTTCACCCCGGAAGGGATCAACAATAACACCCGCGAAGCTCACAAGCAGGCGATCCGGGAGCTCATTGCTCGGGATAAGAATCACGCCAGCGTCGTCATGTGGTCGATTGCGAATGAGCCTGCGTCGCAGGAGGTGGGAGCCCGTGAGTATTTCGCGCCGCTGGTTGACCTGGCCCACGAGCTCGACCCAAGTCGCCCTGTTTGTTTTGCAAATTATGGAGACGCCACGTATGAGGTGGATCGGATCTCGGATATGTTTGATGTCCTCTGCCTCAACCGCTATTTCGGGTGGTATTCCCAAACCGGGGAGGTTGAGGAGGCCGAGGCGGCTCTCGAAAAGGAACTATTGGGCTGGGAAGGGAAATACGGCAAACCTATCGTCATAACAGAATACGGAGCTGACACCATGGCCGGCCTCCATTCTGTGCTTGCTCTTCCATGGAGTGAGGAATTCCAGGTCCAACTACTCGATATGTATCATCGGGTGTTTGACCGCATTGACTCAGTGGTAGGAGAGCACGTCTGGAACTTTGCTGATTTCCAGACGGCTGTAGGGATTATTAGGGTGGATGGAAACAAGAAGGGTGTCTTTACCAGGGAAAGGAAACCAAAGGCTGCAGCTCATACATTGAAAACACGGTGGAGTGGTATGTTGGGCGGGGACCACTGAAATGGGTCGATCAATCAAGACTCCATGAACCTGGGGTAGCCTATCTATCAAAGCAATTAGTTATGCGGGCGCTTCGCCAAATAAAGTAGAAACCCAGAAATCTAGTGCCAGACGCCTAAAAAGCTATATAAATCTACAAAGGAGATAAAAGACAGAGCAATATTCCAACAGCTAAATAGCACTACATAATTTATAGCCGGCTTCGCAGCTATGTGTCTTGAGCATCGTGAGAAGAACTTCGGATTAGCCCTGGTAAAGGCAAGGCGCAGGCGGGGCGCAGGCGGGACGCGCCGTTCACTCTTCCGTCCATCAGAGCTGGCAGGGCCGACAACACCTGCCGGCATAAGTTACATACGGCCTAGGCGCCCACTATACTTCCTATTTGGCGCTTAACTTTTCCCCAGTGATGGAGCATTATTACACCACGAGGTAGCTAATCAACATATCTTTTTTTCACTGTTCTAGATCTGTCCACACCTGAATAGTGACGTTCACCGTACCACAACATTAGCCATGGTCTGAATGAAAATAGGGTTTGCCGACTGGGCCCCACCCAGAGCGGATAGATAGCTTAGGTAGTTACTTGATATGGTTACATCCATACGCGGACTTCCGAAGGTCTAGAACCACTACGAATGGAAACATTACGTCGTATACATATCTAATGTACATCTGCTTTATACAATATAAGGCGACTATACATGCTGCGAGCGCTCGATTCAGTCGGTTATCGTGTGTACTGCCTAGTCATCTCCTAGTTCAATAGCCTTTGGTCTTTCGCTTCCCAGTCCGTCGGCTACCTCCGAAAGAATGGAAGACAGCAATACATCACCCCTCCGGATTGCTTTAATCGCGGAGCTACGGTCCGCATACCACCAACTCGGTTACTCAGAGGAAGACTGTGCCGCCCTTCCGCACAGCGGTGAAGTCGATTCGGTGCTGACTACACTAAGAGAGCTTGGCCATCATGTCATTCTGGTCACCGGAATCCGGTCACTTGTCAAACTACTCGCTGCTGGTGACCATGTCCATTGGGATCTGGTTTTTAACATGGCGCAAGGGTTCCACGGAACCTCGAGAGAGTCGCAGGTGCCGGCGCTTCTAGACGCGTATCAGATCCCATACACCTTCTCGGATTCTAATACTATGGCACTGTGTCAACACAAGGCAAACACAAAGGTAACGTGCAACAGACGACACTACCCACTAACTAGGATTTCAGACCACTGACCGGATAAATAGGCTATTCTCAATCATTATCGGATTCCCACTGCTCCGTTCTTCTTGCTCTCAATCGGCAATGTCTTGCCCAAAAGCTCCTCAGAGATCCACACATCTGCACTGTCCTTTCCAGTCTTCCTCAAACCGGTCAGCGAAGGCTCGTCTAAAGGCATCGACGACTTCAACAAGGTAAATGACATTGCGGGATTGGAGACAGCAGTCCAGAACCTGAAGTCCAGATACCCAGGCCAGGATATTTTGGTCGAATCATTTCTGTCTGGCCCTGAGTATACGGTGAGCATTCTGGGGACCGGTACCCATAGCCGGGTAGTCGGTGTCAGGGAACATATATGGCAGAACAGAATCAAGGATGATGGTTGCGGTACCAATCTGAACTTCGCCACCAGGGAGAACAAGTCTACGGCAGGAACTGGACTAGCATGGAGTGATTCCCACGACATGGCTGATCCTCGGATAAAAGCCGCCTGTCAAGTTGCGTTGGACGCATGGAAGGCCTTCGGCTGCCGTGATGCAGGACGCGTTGATATCCGATTCGACTCCGACAACGTTGACGCTATTCCCAACGTCTTGGAGGTGAGCATCAAATATCAATACGTCTCGAGAGCATGGGTAACGTCTCGTTTATCTAGATCAACCCTATTTCCGGCCTGCTTCCAGATCATTCGCCTTTGCCGGCGAGCGCAAAGGCTAACGGGATTTCTTTTGAGCAGTTGTTAGCAGAAATTATAGCCAGTGCTTGCAGGCGGACGGTATTTTCGTCACGAGACAAGGGCGTTGAGCAGCTTACATACAGTTGAAGCTTCTCTGGAGCAATTTCTGCATGCCAATGTGCACGGGTTTAATAATCAGATGTAAGGTTTCATGGACACATTTCATGTAACTACCATCTGTATCCGTCTTAGTCGATAGTTTCTTTGGCCTAACAGTCATTTTATCTATAATTTCTAGGAAAAGCGGACGGCGAAGCTCCTAGACACCGATGCTGATAATAAGATTACATAGGGCTGTGTAGTAGGTCGGCTATATTGCAGATCTGCGGGCTGCATACAAGCGCATCTAGAGGGGCTGATATATAGGCGGCAGGCTAAGCAACAGGCTTTAGCATCGCTTCTTAGGATTTACGACGGCGCAAAAGGTGCTATTAATACGCGGGCTCATCATATATGTGCATGGGATTAGTTAAACGAGAAGCTTATATTACATATCAGCAAAAAATAGTCCACCAAGAGAGGACTAATAGGGGTGGTGGACACTCCCGGCCTTACCAGCTGAAACACTGCAGAATTATTATTAGGTCCAATGAATCGTACATAAAACTGTAACCCTAAATTTTGTATCCCCCAAGGAGACAGATTATAGATACGTTTTTACGATAATACTGTAAGGTCCTCAGTTAATCTTATAAATCTAGAGTCTACCTATTTATAGTATATTAGAGATACCTTCTATAACTAGGTAACCACTCGGCGTAGCGAGTGACAAATAATTTAGGTCCAATCCCAGTCCTCATAAACGGTATAGAGATCATCTATAACTACATAACCACGATCCAATCATTGGCTCTCAAAATCAACGTCGGGAAGCCGTGCGTGTCCAGATCTAACACAAGCCTCTATATAATGCTTTCGCGAAATTAGATTAGTGCTATTTGGACCGGAAGCACGTCGGTCACTATCGGATCTCCGCGGCCTTCCTTCTCCGTATTGCTATACGTTCATTCAGACCATCCAATCCTTCTCGGGCCGCAGCAGTCCTCTACACAATACCGCCTGCCATTACAGATATTCTAAATTATGTATTATTTGTCTATTATTATTTATATAAATCATTTTAGTAAACTTATATCTATTTACTTATAGGCTCAGGTTCGGGGTCCTTTCAAGTTGGAACCTGAATCAAGTCGCGGTTCTGTTGAGGGCCAGATTCAGCATGACCGGTGGGGTAAAGCCCCTGCCAGGGTACGAAGGATCTTGACCGATTTGGGAAAGCTCCTCAAAACGCCACCAAACCTCCAAGAGGCCAGTAGATCAATATCCCGCACAAGCCACCAGCCGCCAGCCACCGGTGAGGTGTGCTTAAAGTGCTCCGAGCTTCGACTCTGACAACTGGGCAGGAGAACAAGTCGCTGAAATTCCGCGAGGAAATGGACAAAGTTTCTTCGTTAAACGCAATTAGACAGTGAAAATGCTAGTTTGATTTGTTCAAAACTATCAATAATACAGGAATCTAAGCAAAGCACCTTTTCCTGTCTAGTTACCATCCCACCAAGTGTAGTTATTCGTCTCAGCCGGCGTGTCAAATACAAGCACGGAGCTACTGTTCAAGGGTCGCTGAGGCCAGACGTTGAGCAGACCGTCCCAGATTTGAATGTCCGAGTACTCGACATGAGCGCCAGGGGCAGAGTACAATGAGAAGCCGTGGCTGTCCTCTCGGCTGGGGTAGATGCGGCCGGTCAGAGCAAAGCGGTCATTGACAAAGACCTCGACCATGGAGCCATCAACAAAGATGTTCAGTTCGATGGGTTCTGTCCCCGTGCGGTCCAGTTGGTAGGGCTCGAAGTGACCGGCCAGCGTTGTGTTGGGGAACATGGTGATCTGGGAGGAGTGCAGGCGGTCCAGGGAGATGGAGTGCTTAGCTGGGTCGTAGTAGATGTTGGTGTATTCCTCGCCGCCGGGCGAGGCAGCAACGGTGACGCCTGTAGCACCAGTGGTGTTCTTGATGACAAGCTTCAGCTCGTAGGAGTTGCTGAGCTTGCTGGGCAGCGGGAGTTGACTGGTACTGTCGCAGATTCTGCGGCTACAGTGAGTCTTGGTGTGGTGGGAGCCACGGCGGAGACCTTCGACGACATCGCTGGCTGGGCGGACACCAAGGGTGCTGGCGGTCCAGGTGCCGTTGGAGTTCTTGAAGTAGCGGGAGTTTCCAGGGGTTGTGTCGGCAGGGTTGTGCACGACGCCGACGGTGTCTTTGATGAAAAGCTCGCGGGGCAATGACAGTGCTCCCTGGTAGCCTTGCTGCGTGATGCCAAAGTTATCCATGTCCTCCGCTGCCCATCCGTACTGAATACGGCGGTTGTTCTTGGTGTCGTTGAACGAGGTAATCTGGCGTATTATGTTAGCTGCTATCGTCTGCTTGTGGCCGTCTTATTCTTACCGCATAGAGAAGACCCCAGTCGGCCGCACCACCAGAAACAGGGTTGAAAGAAACACTGCCGTTAGAGCGAGCTGAAACAGTGCCTTCATTCCACAAGGACCACCGTCGGTCATGGAAGCTCACTTCCCCACCTTCAGCACCCATGCTGACGAAGTAACGGCCATCAAGTTCGAAAAAGTTGGAAACTTCAAAGTTGAGTCCGTAGGAGCCGGTTTCCACCAACGAGCCTAAGGTGCTGTTCGCGGCCGGTTCCCAAAGAGAGCCGAGGAAAGTCCAGTCGGTGAGATCAGAAGCAGGAGCGCTGTACAATGGCATGCGAGGGCCAACGCCCTTGATGCCGGAGCCGAAGACAGCATAGTAGTGAGGCTCTGCGTAGTTAAGGAGCGTGTCCAGCTTTGGGATTGGAAGGAAGAAGGGATCACGCCAGCCAGTGATGTTCCAGCCTTCAGGGGGTTGGCCGATGATCGGGTTGTTCTCGTATTCTTGCCAAGTGACGCCACCGTCAGTAGAGTATGCCAGACTTTGGCTTTCTGTTCCATTCAAATACGGCAACGTGTATGAGGTTGGCAGTCTTGAAACGGATGTATAGAAGGCGAGAAAGGTGCCGTCTGATACCCCAGAGAGGTTGACAGGCTGGGCTGTTCCGGAGAAGATACCCAGGTGATTGTACAGCGCCGGGTCATGGTGGTCGCTGGTCAGGTTGGTGGTCACAAGCGACTGCGCTTGACCATTCTTCCAGGCAGCGAGTCCATCAGTGGGAGAGTTGTCAACATCCGTCCAGGTTAGGAGGTCCGGAGAGGTTGCGTGCCCCCATGAAATATTGCCTGGTTAAACTTAGCACCTGCAGATTAGGAAATCGATGCATACGTACCCCAGTTGACGTGGTTCGGGTTAAACTGGTAATGCATATGATATAAACCTTCGGCCGGATCGTACATGGGGCCACAAGGATCCTAGATTAATGTTAGTATCAGTCAATCTGACGGGAGCAATGAAGGGGAATATACATTCATCCACCCAGCGGGAGCAAGGAAATGGGAGTAAGGTCTCCAGCGTGTGAAGAGAGTGTTGTTTCCCATCTTCTGAATCTTCTCATCCGTCAGGGTTTGACTCCATGCGGTTGAGATGGTGACACCGAGCACCACACCCAGAACTGACAAGACGGCCATGTTTGTTGATATGATAGACTTCTCAGGTTGCCATTGACAGGGCTAGGACGCCCTTATATGTATTTTAGAAGGAGGCTTTTGCCTCCCTGGGTCTTCGTCGCAATATCTTCGGGCTTGGAGACTGCTCACAGGGTATCAGAGACCTTGGATGCTCCACCGGCAAATTTATGATGGGTCCGTGAGCGCCACTTCGGTGCGATTCTAGATGGCTTCTTGCTGAGGAAGCCTTAAAGTTCTCATAGGAAGGTAAATAGATGGCAGGCGATGACGGGCGATGCTTGGCACCAATGGCCGTGGACTCGAGTAATGTTGGGGAATCTCCCGAAATTTCCCCGAAAGCTTTACCATCGCTGTCATCCCCGCGAACATGCTCCAGGCCACACGTGGGGAGGCTGGAGATCGATTCGTTGGGGGAATTAATCCACAAACTCGTAAACTTGCGTCTTGATTCTCCGGTGGCCTTCTGAGGGGCGAAATTTCTCCATGTTTTCACCGCCACATGGGCGGGGTACTGTAGACTGCTCAGAAGAAGGTCAGGCATAAAAGTACTGTGCTCAGTGAGATGGATATCACATTCAATCCCCCCTTCATCTATTTAGTGATGCCAATAGTGTCCCTCAATCGATAATCCTCTTAATCGGCCATGCTTTCCCATATTCCCGAAGCCGCGGTGTACCCTACGTAGGATGCCGTTTCTCGCCCTATTCGCGTGAAAAATGCCATTTAGACCTCTATGTCCTGTTCTAACTAGGCACTAGCGGTAAGGCCACAGAGTAGATTCATTAAATCTATTTAAGTATGCGAGATAGGTTAGGCCTGCACTATTTATTAGAAAAAGCGGAAACGGGTATAAAGTATATATTTCTAATATATAGTCAAACATCGCTAATGGTATTCTAGGATACCTCTATACAGTGAGTAGATTAAGATAATTTCTTACTGTGTCTTTAGTAGATATAACAATAGGCGTTGTAAGCTAGGACTTACGTATATTAAAGATCTCTTTGTCCTAGGCATAGAGATGGATAATAATATTAACCAGCTCCGCGCAAGTGTAAAGGAAGCACCCCCGCCCCCTCCGGAGGACAAGCTACAACCCCCTTCAGAGTTTCAGAAATATACTATTGATAGACGGCCGCGACAGACGGGCTTGACAGGGGATACAACCTAAGTTACCTTCTACAAAACATTCTTATGGATTATAGGAATGGAAAAAACACACTTTGGTCATAAAAGAGCGGTTGGAATATACATAATACCCTCCATCCCGTTAGTCTTAACTCTCTCTTCTTGCTGGCCATGTAATCTCTCTGTTTCTAACCCTATATGGGAAGCGGTTCTGACAGTGTAGCCTTTCAATATATAGAGTTTCAGAAGGCGGGTGACAACGATCTTGCTGACATACCTAGAGATGGGTCCGCCCCATGCGTACTAGCCAAGACCACACCAAAACCTGTGCTCAGTTACCCGTGGACAGTCCCTCCCGAGGCTGAAACCTGACCTAATTTTTTGTTTTGGCAGGTCTAGCTGATTCAATATCCATTAGGCTATTAGATCTAGACTTTTTTCCGTGTAGTGAAAACTACAGCCCCAAGAAACAGGCACTGCTATTTCCGGCGGCCTCTGCACAACCTTATGATGCAAATAAATACTTGTTCCGAGGTATTCGGCAATGATCCTTGGTTATCCCAGGATGTATGACTTCACGATGGCTCTAGCCATTACTAACCTAACCAAAGGTAGTCCCTTCACCGTAGTGATCTCCCCTAGTATTAGGCGTCAAATATATTGTAAGTGAAGAAATAAATTCTAGCCCCTCAATTCATTCAATACCTCCATATATTGCCAGCAAGTACCTTTCTAAATAAGACCCAACATTTGGTATTAGTTTCAAAATCTGCAAAGATACCCGCTATGGCACGGCTCTCAGAACGACAGATTGGATTGGTCTTTGCTACATTAAGAGTCATACAATGGCTAAGTACAGCTATTGTCATGGGAATCTCTTCGTACTTTATTGCAGTCGGGCCACGCAATCAGCATGCATTGTACTGGGAAGTACTTGTAGGTTTGACCTAGATAATTTCCTCTTGTGTACAGTGGAATTGACGTTACAGTCGGTTGTGTCTGTTGTTATATTCTTTCTCGCCAGCGCTTTATCCTACCTTCTATTTCGAGATATGGGAAGGTTTACATGGGCATACTACGTGATATTTACCATTGACTTTACCTTTTCATACTTGTAAGTCACCACAACACTAAAGAATATATTCTAACCAGAAACTGACCGATTATATAGGTGGTTAACAACATTCATCTTTGCAGCCCAAGATTACAACCTCAATAACTGCAAGCTTGGCTCACCTTTAGGAGTCTCATGCGGTGTGAAAAAGGCGAATGAGTCTTTTATGTTTATAACATTGTAAGAACGTTTACTCCAGCGGTAAAGTCTTGTTAAGATCTAACATATACCTTTAATTTAGCATATCAAGCATCTGTCTTGCTCTTTTCCTCGGAAGTCCTTTATCTCCATTCTCCACTTATTCTTTTGACGAGTCCCAAACACAAGATGCGAATAATTTTCCTGCTATATCTGAGAATGAAGCTCGTTAATGGTTACTTTTCAATATTTAATTGCTAGTGGAGCCGACTTATTGCTATTTTTGGACTTAGGTCCTAGTTAATCTGAGACTATGTAAAAGCGAGGAAGATGAGAACGAAGATCTATAAAATTCCTGTTTTCATCGCCTGTGCTTCTCGGACAGCTCCTGTTCGCTTTGATGGGTTTAAATTGTGATTTTGCGGGTTGATGCGTATGATGAACTGCCCCCAACGGCTATCCAGCGAATCAGTCAGCCGATGGGGGTGGAAGGTCGTCACCACCTCGGTGGGCAACGGTTCCCTTATGAAGCACCACGGCTAAGCTGATTGCCACGCCTCAAAGATTTCATGCTAGCAAACGTTTTTCTGGAATATAGAATCATTTTTGGTTAATCTTCAACGGGGCTCCGGTATCTGCAAGGATCCGTTCCAATTCATATCCAATCGCTAAACCGTTACCTGCCGCTTCAGCCTCACGGAACCCCAGAGCATAACGGTCCACATCGTCGCGCCGATTGTTCTCAAAGATTTCCACGAAGGGGCGCCGCATATCGACCCTAAACTTATGAGTACCATCCCACCACTAGCATAGGACCAACATCACTCACGGCTTCTCTTCCAAAATCACCTCCGGATCCTCATCTTCGAGTCTGTCGTTCTCCATATATTCGAGCACCTCATCCAACAGTTCTGAATTGGCATGAACCGCGAGAAAGAAAAGCGGGAACTCATCCATGAACATCTGAGCCCGCCAAGCCCTCTCTTGCCTTCCGTTGTTCTGGTATTGAACCCAGAGACAGAGTCCCGTCTCAAGAGTACGGTCGTCAATTATTAATTTGGGAAAGAAGTCCGAGAACCGCAGAGTTCCTTTAACCGTCACACACATGTCCAGGAAATCGGGCCGCGCGAGACTCTGTCGGAATTTAAATGTGTCGAGGATATTTCCTTGGTTATCTTCCAAAGGATAGTACATTGACATTGTCGTGGTCATGTATTCTTGATCACCCATCCATCCGAATAACGTGATAAGGCACTTCGCAAGCAGAGCTTGTGTCTCAGGTGTCCATTTTGTGAGACAGATGTGAACATCATCCAATCTTTGGATCAACCCTGTGAGGCATGCATCCTGATACTTTTAGACTCACGTCTAGAATAAGAGAGGGGTATGTCTTACATCATTAGGGTCTTCGAATTCACGCCCATCCTCAGGTGCTCGGGTTTCATAGTTCTATCTTAGTGTTAGTCATTGAGAGGAAATCCATTCAACCACATCAGAATTTTGACCTTACATCGCGGAATGCCTGGTCTGCTGTTGCCCATCGCACAATCAATGTTCGTCTTTGTTCCTCCGCCGCGACATCTTCGACATCAACCCACTGTTCACGGAGAAAGAATCTCCATGCGCGAGAGGCGGCGGCTACATCTTCCACTTGTTCCTCATTTCTGTGAGGGAATGAGGGGATGCCACCAGGCCAGTGTTTGTTCCACTTCGTTAAGGTCACAGGGCCCATATTTGGTGGTGGTGAGGTGAATGTGTTCAATGTGAGAAGGAAGTGAGGAGTGGGACAGGGCTGTTTAATTAGATTCCGATGTTAGTAGCTGACTGATAGTAAGGCTTTGTCTCTAGGATGCGCTAAACCCCGAAAAATGCTGGAAGTTTCGAAGCAGTGTTGGGTGTAGCAAAACAGGGCCACAATGGTACTTCCACCTCGTCTTCCGTTATACTGTACTGTCGGAGTAAGCTGAGACGGTATTGGCTAGTAATCCTAGTAGGCGAATAAGGTCGAGGATGAGGTCAAACGGAACCAATTCAGGATGATTGAGTTGATTGATTGAAGAAAAGAGCGAATATCATGGGGCAGGTTGAAATACCCCATCGATGGCTAAGGTACACAGTGTTACAACAACTGTAATGACCAGAGTACTAAGGTATACAAAACATAAAGAAAAGTAGGTCGCTGAGCATAACCCATGTCTTAGCAGTAAGTCACCACTCCATGTCTTGACATATACAGTAAGTACACATTCATGTATCCACAGCATCTCCAGTCACCTAATAACCACGCATTCTTCTATTGTTCTTGTCCTTAAGTGATTACGGCCCTATTACAGTGGCTGTCACCAGTGTTCCGACAGCGGAGTCCATACCACTAGCATGCATAGTCCCAGCCTAATTTCTGTTACTCGAGGGATGCAAAGCACGCCAGCTTTGTACAACGTCTCTTCTTTCCTCGAAAGAAGAATTTCTGACTTCTTCAAAACCCTCCGCGATTCGAGCTTCCTTAATATAAGTCAACTTTTCTTCCGCCAAGGACTTCTGAAGGTGTTCGTGAAATCCAGCCAATGGGTACGCGGCCAAGCCACACAGTCCTGTTCGGAGTCGAACACATCAGTGTCTGCCTGTTGCAGGGTAGTGCTTGGTCAACGACTGAGGGTACAAACCTGCCATTGGCTTAAGAAGCAAACCCGCGGCTCCATTCCCAATGCCTTTGAAGAGGCCCTTACCGTCTAGCTCTTTGAAGCCGCGATAAGGGAGTGTAACGAGCCCACTGACACCCTTGTAGATGCTTAATATAAGCTCCTGGTGACAACGTTAGGAAAGTGTGCGATAATATGTGTCCGCTCATACCTGCCCAGCGGTCTTCATCCCATTCCGTGCACCAGTCACCTTTGGGACCCTTTCTACCGTGTCATCATGTAGTAACCGGGGGGCATTATGGATACCCCTTGTAAGAGTTAATGTGATTTCCGTTGGTGGGATGACGATCAAATCGAGAATCTGTCGGGATAAATGACTTGTATAGCATAGTATTCTTCGCAGGCGACGCCGGGTTACCGGGATGCGGATGTTACTGTTTCTGGATGGCAGCTGCCTCCCTTGATCAGAACCTACTTCCACGCGTCCATCGGAGCTTATTAGATCATTCCTCTGATTCATCGTATTACTGTCAGACCTCACAGAGTATGTTCTGCTGCCGTTAATGTGCTCAGCCAGAGATTGCGGCGCATAGAGTGAGCGGGCACTCCGCTGAGGCAAAACGTCCTTTATGTTGGAAACAATATCACCTATGTCAGTTACAAATTTCGAAATGCTACCTAGAAGAGCTTGAGATGTTGCACTGAAAGGATTCTGAGGGTCTCTGCTAGTATCGTAATGGACAGCTCGGTACCTGGACGATCAGCTTAACGATCGTATAAAACTCGATATAAGAAGGATTAGAACAATTCATGTTAACGTACAATTCGAGATCACGTGGCGCGAGTAACCCAGCTTCTACTAGTACGACCATTGCAAAGGCGCTCAGTACGAGCCGGGACTCTTTTACTTTCCATACAGCTGGCCGAGCAGGACATAGTGCACATCGCATTCGCGCTTGTGGTAAATGCCTGTGAAAACTTGAGACGGCATTATCCAGCCCAGATTCTCGGCTCATACGATGACTGATCTCCCGAGCTTTTCGCTTCAAAGGCGGCTTCAGAGCCTCCCGGATAGCATCTGCCAGTCTGTCTATAGTGAGCTCCTTGTATGGAACTGGAATCGGACCGACTCCGAGATCGGCGATGATAGATCCCCAGAAGGGCTGGTCGCCAAAAAAAGGGATAACGACGGTGGGACAGCCGAATTTAAGGCCAGTTTGAGTGGTCCCTGCACCACCATGGTGGACCACACATGAAACATATTGAAACAGCCAATTATGAGGACATTCGCCTAGCAGGAAGATATGGTCTGGGACAGTTAATGCACCGGTATCTAGCCCTGACCAACCTTTAGAGATAATGGCCCGCTGTCCGGTTCTCTCAATGGCACCGATAACAATATCACTCAGCTCTCGTGGATTATCCACAACGATAGACCCGAATCCTATATAAATTGGGGCTGGTCCCATTTGTAGAAAAACGAACAAGTCGTCTGGCGGTCGGTAGTCGACCTCTACAGGAAGGGAGGCAAAACCACAAATATCGATATGGTCACCCCAGTCCGGAGGCTTCTCCAGTAGAGCAGGAGACCTAGAGAATGCGATTAATATCCTTAATAAGAGTCGGGAAGGCATCTGCATACCAGAGATAGGCATTGGGGATACGTAATCGATGTAGTATAGCGACCGCTTGAGCTGCATCCAGGATATCTAGACCAAGAGATTTCCTGCGCAACGTGTTGATTATGCCACCGAGACCCCCCCACAGAACCATATCCACAATGTTATAGGACACAAGATTCGCGATTGTTGGTCTCGTGTGATGTCGATGCACATTCGCAAGCGGGTGAGGGAACGCTTTGGTGGGTGACCAGGGCATTCTGTCTCGTCACTCAGCATCAATGACTCTTACATTTCCTCTGGACATTCACTAACGTGAATATAATAGTCAGTGGGACCCCTAGTCTCTCAGCGCAGTGGATATGCGCCATGCTGGGGGGATTGGCAATAATTGCGTCGGCTACGAACGGCCGTTGTCCGTCATCAAGCTTAATGTTATGATTTAGAATCGAATCAGATGATGTGCCATCTCCAGCCGTAAAGCACGATCGCCAGCAGCCATTCATAATGTCCTTCATATCCTGCCGTTGCCGTCCGACAGCTCCCGTCCGGACTGTCTTAAATTCGGGAAGAAGTCCTGCGTTCTTCACCATGTACGTCATCAGTTCGGTCGGGTTTCCTCCTATGCTGAAAAATTCCAACCCGTTGTCCCTTACCAAACTCTGAAATGCAAGGTGTGTTGCCAGCCGGACGCGATGGCCACACTTCTTGAGGCGCTTCCCTAGAGCAAGGAACGGTTGAACATCTCCGCGCGATCCCACGACATGGATGACAATGTTCAGACGGAGATGTAGTGTGTCACCACCAACTGGTGTTGTGTAAGGTAAAGCCGACTGCTCCCTTTGCTCCGGAAAGGACTGGCGACGATGATGCTGCTCTAAGCGAGCCAACCAACCGGCAAAACTCCTGTCGGACAGGTCGATATCTAAGCGTCCATTCCCTGTAGAATCAAGTACTTCTGTTAGCACCGGAGATAATTATCCCGTCGCAAGTTGAATTGCCGTCACGTCAGGAACGCTACGGGTTACTACAGGAACGTCTTTTGTCTCACCTAGCACCGCAACACCTGAGTGTACAGGACTTGCCAAAAGCTTGGTTTCATTCACGGAATCAGCCATGTCGGGCGGTAAGCCGTCTGAGTGCTGTGTAGACGATATTTTCGGTGACGCGGGCTGTCTGCAGGACGGAAACCTGTTAGATGCCAACCGTCACGAATTCAAAAAATCTATGCCGTAGGGAGATATAATCACAATAGGTGGTAGGGTATCCTGTCCGAGATGCGAACATTACACTGTCCTGTAGCCCAAAGATTCTGATGTCTTTATGATATATCGCATCACGTATCGCCTGCACTGTGCAAGGATCAGATGCCTTAAGAGAATAACGGGTTTCTTTGCTAGACGAAAAATTCATCTGGTGACGCACGGTATGTACGGCTGCAATAGCCTCCTAATCATCTTGCCCGTACCCCAAAGTCTAATAGAACCTGGAGGACGGTCCACGCGGGATCATTTGCTCAGAAACTCAAAATGTTGCGTTGCCTGCTGAGCATGTATGCTCGCTGACAGTATAACGCCACAAGACAGATGGCGTTGATGTCAAGCATGTTCTACTTTTGTTTCAGATATTCCATTCCCACTCAGATTTCATCATTGTTAGTTCCTGCGACTGGCTTACATATTGACTCTAGAACATGGTCAGTTGCGAACAACCTCTTCTAAGAACCATTGGATCCAATGGTTTCGGCCATGGCTAAAACGGAACGATGAAGTCATGGCATCAGGCCACCATCCGTGGGCCCACAAACCCCTTTATGGCGATATAGGCGTATGCTGCATAGTCTAGAGCGACTTGGAGAGCTTTCTACCCCCAGAAACGCAAAAAGCATATACTAGTCCCTCCGTCCCATAACACCTAGCTAACCGTTCTGTGGCCTTTTTTTTTTTTTTTTTTTTTTTTTCTCAGTGGGCTGTCTACCTCGTGATCTAGAACCATCGACTACGACCTCAACGACAGAAAAATCACTGAGTTGGTCATCCTGTCGACAGCGGAATTGGGCGGCCACACGTGTCGCTTGCTCAGATCATAATATTTCTGATCGTTGACCGCTATCCTCAACAACGTACCTGCCTGTTTGAGGCTCAAAGAGATCACCGTCTCAGCCAGTGAAACATGTCTACCGCGTCTTCCAGACCCACGATCAGCGGGAGCGGGACTGAGAGAAGCGTGTCCTTGTACCAACTGAGTAGGCTAAAGACGAAACTTGGAGAGAATGACTGGACCGGTCCTCCTTTCAATGTATTGGAATGTCGCCGGAGCTATTGATCCAGGATCCGCTGATACCATTTTCAGGTGATTTATGCGGGAATTGCGGCTCGGTTTAGCCGCCTGCTTGGAACGACTATCGCGATTGCTGTGCGTGATTCCTCGTACTTGCTCGACTTCGCTCAGTACACCTATTCTATGAGCAATCAAAGCGATGATAAGGCAGGAATCACCCAGTTTATTATAGAGAAGGTGAGGGATTATCAGGGAGAGCATGGCGAGAAGCTGATAGGCTTGGCCATGCCATCCGACCTGGCAGAACGGTGCCCGGATCTGTGCTCACGCCTGTGGTCCGAACTGGATATCATCCCTATCGTGCTCCGCAAGTCGGAGGAGAAGGTGAGCTGGGGTATGTTTGAAGAACACTTACCACAGAGACCATTGGATGAACACACCGAGTCTATTGCGAGAAAATGCATCCGGTGAGTGCCTTCCTCCTTAAAGACTACGATAGAATCTCACTGCGACATCAACTCGCAGATTCTTTGGCCCCGCCCATGCTCCGGTCCCCGAAATTGGTGTCCGAGGCCTCGTTGAGGTAGATGCTGCCTTCCACGTGCGGATTACGACTCTTGCAGACTATGAGAAAACCGTAGGAACTGCTACCTGGGCAGCAATAGAAAAGTACGCGAGTGACCTGCAGAAACGGAGGGTAAAGATCGCCTTCTTCAGCGCTACTCCACAAGGTGGTGGTGTCGCTCTGATGCGCCACGCAATGGTCCGTTTCGCAAATGCACTCGGGGTCGACCTTAGATGGTAATGCTCCGTCTCCATTTCAACTCTCGGTGACCGGTCTAGTTTTCTGGCATCTGCTCAAGCCTCCTCAGGTATGTCCCCAAGCCAAGACATGGCATTTTCCGAATCACGAAGAACAACCATAATATACTGCAGGGGGTCGCAGCCCCTGGCGTCCGGTTCACCGCCGCAGACAAGGATTTACTTCGGGATTGGGTGATTGACAATGCGGAACGTTGCTGGTTCAAGGGAACGCCTTTTCCTCCGTGGTTTCAACAGATTGCCCCTCACCTCTATACATGGGTCAGTCGGCATGGCCCGCCCCCACCGGACTGGTTTCAAAAGAACGGCCCGCTAGTACCACCCTGGGAGGGGGGTGCCGATGTCGTAGTCATCGACGACCCCCAAATGCCATGGCTCATCCCACTTATCAAGGCTCACAGCCCACAGCGGCCTGTCATTTACCGCAGTCATATCCAGATACGAAGCGACCTAGTCGACACACCCGGCACTGCCCAGGCAGAGGCTTGGGGACTCATGTGGGACGCGATCAAAGAAGCAGACATCTTCGTGAGCCATCCTGTTTCTGCGTTTGTTCCGCGGATTGTACCCAGGCAGAAGCTTGGGTATATGCCTGCGTCAACGGACTGGTTAGACGGATTAAACAAACCCATGACCGACTGGACCGCTAGTCACTATGGTCGAATCTTCAATGCGAAATGCCGGGAGCAGTACATGCCAAACATAGAATATCCAAAGGGTTGGCCATCCATAGGCTCGTGCTAATCTGAAGATAGCTTCCGACTGACAACTGTGCTAGAGGATTATATAGTCCAGATCGCCCGGTTCGATCCGTCAAAAGGGATTCAAGATGTTCTTATATCGTACGAAAAATTTCATACGCATCTGGCCGCATGCTGTCCTGATCTGAAACCCCCTAAACTGCTCGTCTGCGGCCATGGGTCAGTAGATGACCCCGACGGCTCGGTTGTCTACGACGCTACCCTTGATTTCATCGCGCGACATCTGGCGCACATCCGGTCTATGATATGTGTCATGCGCATTGGCCCCAATGATCAAATGCTTAATTCTCTCTTGTCCAGAGCAAAGATTGCCATGCAACTTTCCACAAGGGAGGGGTTTGAGGTGAAAGTGTCAGAAGCACTGCATATGGGAAAGCCAGTGATCGCGACTCTCGCCGGTGGTATTCTGCTTCAGATCCAGCACGGTAAAAGCGGATTTCTCGTGAAACCTGGAGATACAGACGCAGTGAGTCAATATCTGTTCGCGCTATATACTGACCATGAGATGTATGATCGTATGAGTCAGTGTGCGGCGAACAGCGTAAGTGACGAGGTAAGCACCGTCGGTAACAGCCTCTCATGGCTTTATCTGGCGTCCAAGTTGTCACAGGGCGAGCACATCCAGCCTGGTGGGCGCTGGATAAATGACATGGCTCGCGAGGATGCAGGTGAGCCATATGCCCCTGAGGAGCAGAGGCTCAAGCGAACGGTAGCAGGTTGCGAAGGGTCGTGAGTGGAAGAAGCATTCTGTTGTGGCAAAATCTTGAATTCGCTTTTCATTTGTATTTGGTTTTCTGATCTTCGATTCTATGGTGTAGTCTGTATTGACAGTTCGCTTATTACTAGCAAGGGTTGTATATCATTACGGCGAGAAAACACGGCTTGAAGCCAAGAGAAGACTGTCTTATAGCAAAAAAAAAAAAAAAAAAAAAAAAAAAAAAAGGTCACCCACACTTCTCCTTCCGTCATCCAAGCAAGGATGTCAGGGACGTCCTGTGGCGCTTGGGGAAACCCCCTTGCTACTTACCATGCTGGGCATATTTGCTTCTCATCCGGATCCTCTCCCCGTAAGTATACAACAAAAAAGGATATGGCATGAACACCACAGTCAAACAACCAAGCAATGTACAAGCCCAGCCAACACCCAAATTATGAAACATCTGGGACGCAAACAGGGGAAAACCACCGCCAAACGATGATCTTAGGAAGTCGTTTCCGGCAAGGACTGAGGCTGCGTATTTCGGATACGCCTGTGTCTCGTAGCAGAAAATGCTGTTAAAGATAAGGTATCCCCCGATGGCAAAGAGCGCGGAAGCAAGAATAGGCGCAATCCAATGAATACTTGCGAAGTTGCCAGTCCAACCAAACCAGAAAAGAGAGATCGGTAGACACACAGCCCCAAGACACGCCGGAGGGAGATGTTCTTCGGGGGAGAGGTAGCCGTCCGGATCGACATGTTTCGATTGCCAGCGGTATTTCCAATAGAAGTATCCCGGAAGGGCAATGCATACAGCCCCTATCAGGATACCCAGGAATGCCAGCCCGTCTTCGCCTGGGTTGAAGCCACGTTTTTCCTCAAAAACGATCGGGAAGGCTTCGAACCAAATATACAGAATTCCGTAGATCAGCGCGATGTAAAGATTCATCAGAAGGACAATGGGTTCGAGGAAGCACAGGGCAAATGGACGGATGAGACATTCAAATAAGACATCCTATTGCCGACCTATTAGTTTGACTTTCCGAGGCGGAGCAAACGACGTCTCCGACGAAGGCTCACCCTGGAAGCTACCTGCGCGATCTCAATTTCGGGCCGGGAGGCATATTTCTGATCATTCGTGATCCGACGAATACGTCGTGCTCGACGACTCAGGATGTTGGGCGCAAAAGTCTCAGGTAGGAAGAAGAAGAGAATCACCAGGGTAGCTCCAGACATCCAAAGCAGCTCCCAGATAGTCCACGTCCAGCCCTTGGCGGAGGCAGCAAACCCTCCCACGAGGGGACCCAGCACAGGAGCAGCAATGGCAAATGATGCCCAGATAGCAATCATATAATCGCGGACTTTGGGATCCCACATATCGCCAATGGAGGCTCCCCCCGTTGCGAGAACGGGCGACCCAAGGAATCCTGTTAGGAATCGAAAGGCCAGGAGCATGCCAAAGTTCTTTGCGTATATGACCGCGAATTGGAAGAAAACAAACACAACTAGTGTTGCAACATATACCGGACTCCGACCTACTGTGGGAAGCTCTGATATTGGAGCCCAGACCATGGGTCCTGCATAACACCTAGTTAGCACTCAATAAGATCCATGCAAAGTCTGTTAAATGGACTTAGCTCACCCAGTCCGTAGCCAACCACAAATAGTGTCAGACCGAGAAGTGCTGCTACGTTACTTACACCAAACTGCCCAGCCACACCTGGTACGCCAGGCGTGTAGATAGCAGACCCAATATAGATCGAAAATGTAAGCAGACAGACAAGGAGAGTGGTCAGCGTCTTTTTTGCGATACTCCAATTTTGAGGATTCTGCTAACATCAGCCCGGAATCCCGCCTTGATTAGCAGGGATACACCGTCCAAGTATTCTGTGACGGCTGCATACCTCGCTATCATCAGGCCCTCGCCAGCCAATTACCTCTGGCTGACCCTCCTTGACCCCATGCCATGGACCTGCCAAAACGCTTTTCAGAGGGGGTCGTTGCCGCCTCCGTCGAACAGCCTGCGACATAACCGTATGTAGGCTTTGCATCTCGTAAAAGTCTTCGCCCCTAAGCGGCGTCGAGCCTTCTTCCGCGTAGGCCTCTGGCGTCTGTAGATATCTCCGCCACGTAGAATCATCCATTTCCTCCGGGTACAGTAGGAGACTGTAACCGCTCAAGAAACGGACTAATTTGCCAAAAGCTGAGTCACGAATAGTCTCTATCATGGCATCTTTTTGTAGTGCATATGTTCGTTAGATAATCCCATAAATGAAAGTTGAAATCTTGCATGTTAGATTCAGAGTCACAGATTCAACCCAAAAATCTCTGCGTCCGGTAAGATACAAACAACACCATCTTAATATGAATGTCTTATGACAGCAAGCTCTCAGTCACACGGTCAGTATTTTGCGTGCCAATGACGTCTACTGTACAGACAATAAGCTGTGACGAACTGTTGTTGAGATATGTGGCGAAATTAGAGTTTCTCTTAACGTTTGTACCCAGCTTACTGACGGGTTCGATCTCCACAGTATTATTGCTTCGTAGCACCAAAAGGTTCGTTGATCTGTAGATGTGAGCGGACCGTCTCTGCGGCCTTTGTGTTCGAGACTGCTCGAATCCTGGGTAGACCACACCGCTGCCCACGATCCGATATTAGTGCATGTCTCAAGTAAGTTTAGTAGCCAGCGCCGATTATCTTAGGGTGAGTGTGGTTTACAATTGATTTGGGGTGAAGTAAACTGCGAACTCCATGGTCGTGGGTCCTAGGATATGTTCATTTGCATGTATTCACGGGGACTGGCTTTCCGTGCATCGTCGTCGACCAAAAGTACAACCGTTCTTCTACAAGGTAAGTGTTCCGGTTTTATCTGCGAGTTCTGCGTTCGTGGGCTTTTTCGATTACTGGCAACTGGTGGGGACGTCTTCGCGGGAGCGACTCGCAATTCTTTAGGTTTTGTATGCACGGCACTCTACATAGTGAAGCTAGCCTTCAGTTGGATACTATCCGGAAACTTAGTATACCTTAAGGGATACATGGGCCCAGGTCTGATGTGTAGACTAGAACCCAATTTCCAGTTAGATAATGTGGTAGAAGGCAAACTACACTTCAAGGAAAGCTTCCTCGGAGTGTCAGTGGCTTGATCGGTTTCCACCTTAGCTAGACTATGATGCACTTCCATTCAGAGGAGACGCCGTACCATCCAAACAGGGGAGATTTGAATTTTCCCAACTTCTCTCACGGGAAATTCCACCTGCCGTCGACCCAGTTCTGTCGGAGTAAGCGCTCATCCCTTCTTATGATGCCCTTATATAAATCATACGCCTTCATTTCAGGGAACGGTATGACGGATGTACACCCGCTCACAATCACCCAGTATGAAACGTGGCTAGTATTACCCACCACAACGAGCGCATACTAAACCGATTGTCGCCTTCTTCTCGACAAGATGTGGCTTGTGGTGGCAAGCTTCCCCGTTGTCTCTGTACTTCCCCTAATCCTTTGAATTTCAGGCAAAGTCGAGCTAACTTTCCCTCCAGGGAACATTTTGTGTCTTGGCCATAATATTCAATATTTGCGCTCTATCGCAAGGATGGCGAGAGATAATAGAAGCCAACGGAAGCATAAGAATCATATATCAGCCGGCTTGGTACGTTCAACATTTTGTCTTCTAAGATAATCAGCTACTTCGAATTGACTTATTAATCAAAACCATCAAGGGCTGTCACCCTAAAATCCATGTCATTGGCTATGGGCGTCATTGCTCATATCGTACTTCTGCTTACGATGATATCCAAACGTGATCCGGTCAAGGGATTTATCGTGACCGTACTATGCTGGTGTGCCTCAGCGATTACACTACTTAGTGTCATTGGTGTTATAGCTGGTCGCGACCTAACGGTGCAACCTCAGCAGACGCTGAGATATACGCAAAGCTTTTTCTATGGGACATTCGCGGCGGGCCTCTACTTAGTGATTGCTGTGTTGTTGGCAGCATACGCTGGCAATGTGCGCTCAGTACATCTCACCCACGAGGAACGGCGAACTATAGAATGCACGAGAATTATCTTGCGAGTGACGGCTTTCGGAGCCTTTCTGCTCGGGGGTGCTGCTGTCTACACGGCCATTGAAGGGTGGAGTCTTATGGATGCATTGTACTGGGCCGACTTTACCCTTCTAACCGTCGGTATTGGAAACATAGCTCCCAAAACTCACCTTGGGCGAAGCTTACTTTTCCCATACGTCTTTGCGGGGCTTATGAATGCGGGCCTAGTCATCAGCGCAATAAGTTCATTCACCGAAAGCATGAAGGAGCTGGGCATCAGGTTCAGGATTGCTGAACTGCGCCGTGATATGCAGAGCCGCCAACACATCAATGGACCTACTGGCAACAGTGGTAATGATAAGGGGAAGCAGCCGCGAGATCCGCCAACAGATACTTGGTACCCAATTAAAGCTGATATTTCGCGGTTGCAACGTATCAAACATGACTTATATCGGAGACACCGATGGATGACCTTAATCTTTTCCGGAATAGCTTGGTTCTTTCTTTGGCTGGTAAGTGCTGCTATCTTTGGTCGCTCCGAGAGAAGACAGGATTGGAGTTATTTCGCATCTCTTTATTTTACATTCACATCTCTGACCACGATCGGCTATGGTGATCTATACCCAACCAGCAATTTTGGAAAAGCATTCTTTGTGTTTTGGTCTCTCCTTGCTATTCCTGTGCTGACTAACCTTGTTGCTGCTATGGCACAATCGGGTTTTGAGGAGTTCACTTGTTTGCTACCCTATATATGGAGACTCAAAAGCTCCAGACTCCCGCATCAGCATGCACAAAGCAGGATGGATCCCAGTGCTCCCGGTGAGCGGGAGAAAGGGAATTCATTGTCAGGTCCACATGGTAGCAGTCATGTCTCCGGGCCCGCAGAGGCCAGGCAAACATATAGCAGTGGACCAAGCGGTAGTGCAACCTGTAAGGAAAGGGAGTCATGTGAACCACTTATACAAGCCGCTCAACGCTCCCTTTCTCTCGGCGAAGAAGCAAGCAAGCTCATCGCAGTTCTACAAAGCCCCTCTACTACCCACCTGGATCTTTCCAGTGAGTGGGCTACGATTCTCGCACTGCTCCATCCTGAAAGCAAGGAGGATAATGTGTTGGATGCCACGCCTATTACCAGTCCGTATCGACATACGACCTTGGCTGAACTGCTAGACTCCAACATGTCGGCCACGGAAAGAAGCAAGGAAATCCTATGGATGCTCGGGTATTTAGTGAACATGATTTGTTCAGATCTACGGGAGGGTTTGCAGGGACAACAGATTGATTCGCCGCACCCTTAAGAAAGTTCATTTATAGTAGTACTCATGATCTATTTGAGTCATACAGTAGTCAGTGAGATTTGCAGCGATTGCAAAACACCTGGATCAGAGACTATACTCTATACCAGCTACATTCCGTGACAAGTGTTTTGATCCGGTTACCAGAGAGATACCACGAGATGGACGGGGCGTCGCGTCGCAACGCCGTAAGGCCCTTGTCTTGGTTACTTCCAGGCTGGCTGCTTTGTTTGCAGGTGGCCGCAGGCATCTTCAACGGGACGTCCAGGAATGAGCCACTGGCTGACATTGACGCGTCATCACGAGCCGCGCGACCTCGAAGTCGACGGTCGTTGCGTTTCCTATAGGCTCACCGTCGACAGCGATGGCGCTTAAGGGTTGTTGCTTGGAAAATAGAAGCAGTCAGCGAGAGCTTGTGAACACGAGAAGTTCCGAGCACTGTCAAGCGGGTGTTTGATGGAGACTACTCTGCGCTGTTAGACCATTGCACGGAGAGGAAGTCTTCTCGGGATTGACCTCTTTCAATCACCGATACCATGGTAAGAGAAGGCTGTTGAAACCCCAATGCCGACGCATTGTCTCATGGAAACCAACCATGGTCCTAACCTGAGACCCACCGCCAGTCCCGGGGCAGTGCGTAGGCAGCGGTGATAACTTCGCGAAGGACGCCACCCCTTGAACACGACGAGTCCTAAAGATACCACGCGGCACTGTACAGGTGGCGTACCTTTCGATGACAGTTCCTGATAGGGCCCAGAGCCTGTACAACCCCCAGAATATAGAGTTCTGGGGCTGAACGAGGGCCAATGGCACTCGACATAATCGTCAGCAGCCAATTTCCCAAGCTTTGTCATCTTTGATGCGCCCGCTGTAAAGGCCGGGTGGCGCCCCAATGGGAATATATCGATCGATCAGGGTCGACTTTTTCTTCACTCGAATGCTTCACTCAAATGCTGTACTGAACTGTTACCGCACAGTGGGACGATCGCCAACATGTTACTAGCAACTCCACGTGCTTCGGCACTTGTTCTGTCGGGTTCGTCGGGTCCCACTGCTTGGCTCTCTTGGCATCTCCAGGGGTCCCCCTGTTTGGACGGGTTTGACGGCTTGGCTAACAAAGTGTTGCTCTTCAGGCATCCTCTCTCTACTAATCCCCCTTGTCGCTGCAACAACGAACTCGAATGCCGTGAGCATCTTCAATCTTCCCCTCCAGTCCAATACCGCCAACTACACATTCGCCCTGAACATCCCCGATGGCTCCACCGACCTCTACTTCCACCTTGCAGGCCCGACTGCATATTCGTGGATTGCAGTCGGAACGGGGAGCGAGATGGCAAACTCCATGATGTTTGTGATGTATTCGGATGCGGCTGGGACCAGTGAGCTTCTCCAGTCGCGAAAGCATTGTGCGTGTCGTGCTAACAAGTTTTCCTTACAGACGTCACGGTCAGCCCACGACTCTCTTCGGGAGAACAGGAACCAGTCTACTCACCTTCCATCACCATCGAACTCCTTGACGGAACGGGGATATACAATGGAATGATGACGGTGAACGCTCGTTGTTCAAACTGCACCTCTTGGAGTACTGGTTCGCTGGACTTGCGGTCTACCTCTCAACCATGGATTTTTGGCTTGGGACCGACTGGCAGTGTAGCGGCCATGCTGCAGAGCAACTCCAAGACTGCGAGTATTGAGAGGCACTCTGAATACGGTTCGTTGAAATGTTGGACTCGCCATTCCAAAAAGATCCATGATGTGCTGACCTGGTGTCGATTTGTAGGATCCTTCACGATGGACATGGTCCGAGCAACCGGTGGTTCCGGGGTCCTTCCCACTTCTTACAAAACTACAGTGGGCTCGGCAGTCAACGGCGAGATTTCAACTGACAGCAATTGGCCCAGTATCATCCACGCTTTGTGCCTCTGTGGAGCGCTCATCCTTCTGATGCCGACGGGTGTCGTCTTCCTCCGCATCTCGCCAGGGAGTGTGCGATGGCACTGGATCAATCAAAGTCTCGCAACGGTCATCGCCGGCATTGGCATTGCGATCGGATTCTATCTGAGCACAATGTACACAAAGTCGCAGTCCTACGGCTCGGCTCACCAAATTCTCGGAATCGTGGTGTTGCTCGCGATTGCGGCCCAGTGGGCTCTGGGGTTTTGGCATCACTACATGTACAAAAGAACTCAGTCGCCCACCCCGCTAGGTTCGGTTCACCGCTACTTTGGATACGTGATCTTCTTTGTGGCGATCCTGAATGGTGGCATTGGACTCACCTGGTCATACGCGTCCAAGTCCGTCGTCATCGGGTATTCGGTTGTCGTGGCCATCCTGGGCGCTGGCCTCATAGCCATCTTTGGCTGGGCCCGATGGATATCTGCGCGCGACCAGAAAGGCATGTCACGCAGCCCTTTCGAGTTACGGCCTCTCAAGCGCCGCGAGGATTCCGAAATCTGGCAGAGCGGCGACTCAGACAGACCGCCGGCTTATCACAACAACTACGACCGACTATGACCTTCCGACCTTCATGTGTATTGTCATTTGTGTGCATCTTTAAGACTGCCGAATATAAACTTTCTAAATATTCCCTGTGCATGATCACCCCAATCTCCTCCTTAACAACACCCCTGCATCCACAATAAGTTTCACACTCTGTAACATACTTGGTGACACGCCATCCCCGGGGATATGCATCCACTGGGTTAGCAGCTTTGCTAGATGAGGCCCCGTCTCCGCCACCTCGGGGGTCAAGCACCCCCGTAAAGCCGTCAACCGCGACGCAGCCAAGGTAATCAGCATCACACTTGCCATCCTATAACTTTATTAGCATGATCCTTGAGTTCAGGGTAGATTAGTCATACGACAACGAGCAGATCCACGTATCCACCAGCACCGTATGTGGATAGCTCCTCAGGTTCTGCGCATGCAGCCAGCACGCCTCGAGGCAGACCTGGCACCCTTCAAAGAGCTGGGGCGGGAAATTGTCTACCGTTGCGGTGGCAGTCATGGAGAGCGCCCAGGTGAGGTACGGGCGGTAGATGACGCTCTTGCAGGTGAGGTAGCGCTGGCGGAGGAACGCGCCAGCGGTGCAGGCCAGCGGGCGGAGGTCGACGGCGAATTGAAACGGCGGAGGGAGGAGGTCCTTCCATTCCTCGAGCTGGTGAGCGAGTTCGGCGACGACGGAGGGGAACTGGTGGTTATCAAAGGCGACGCCGGTGTCGCGCGCGTAGAGAAGGTTGTGGACGCGGTTGAGGAGCCGGCGCATGGAGATGCAGGCGAGAAAGTAGAGGGAGGATTGTTCCTCGTCGTTTTGCGATAGGTGCGTCTGGAACTCGCCGGGCAGGGGCACGGATGACTCGATGTCAGCGATGCCCGTTTGAGGGAGTGCGGAGAGTTCGGCGAGGTAGTCACTTCTCTGGTCAGCTGATGCTGATATTCAAGGAGGTGCATACCTTTCTAGGATGTAACAGGACCAGAAGATCCGACGAAGGCATTCTTGCTCTGCGAGGTTGGCGTCGGGGGGATTGTATGCTAAGAGGAGACGGCATTTGGCGGCAGTGGCGTGAATAAACGACCATGCTTGTAGAGGACGCTGGAGGAATGCAAAGAAGATGCTAGAATAGTCAGAAGGTGTCAACGCCTTGGTATGACGGGGAGCCGGGATCTACGCTGTAAAGAATAGAGATTGGACTGCATCCACCGTGCACTCGGCCTGCGCTAGGTAGATCTTTTTGAATGCGCAGTCAAAATAGAGCTGGCCCATCGCGCACCGATGACTACGGAGCTCCAGCTCGTCCGAGTCCGGATCTTCATGTTCCTCGTACGAGCGGACCAGTTCACTTGTGCAGCCCAGGGCCATTACCAAAAGAGCCAGACAAGACTTGACGCTGTCGGCGAACATGCCCGCAGCTATGTGCACTTGTACCTCGGCCGCCTGGGCTACCGACATGGTGGGATACCAAAAATTGACGTTGCGCTGGAAACTCTGCACCACGCGGTCTATTTCGCTGCGGCTGGCATAGGGATGCACCGTTGTTGCACGAGGCGCGAGTGGCGCACGGCTGGACTCCAGGTGAAAGACGGAAAGACTGTGATCTTTGCGCAGGGACGGGAAGTCATCAAAGTGCGGCCAGGCGAGGATCGACTCGGTGGTGGAGGCATGAAAGGCTGACAGCGTGGCATTGGACATGTGGTCTCCCGGACTGTCGGGGCGGTGGCCCACGTTGATCGTGGAAGGCGAGATGATGGCCGTGGGAGATGTATGATACTGCGACGAGGCTTTACCGTCCAGCATTCCCGACACCCTGGCCTAGGCGGGTCAGTGGAAGGAATGCATTCACGACAGGGAGAGCTACTAATTGGGCCGACAAATCTTGCAGCAATCGCTCGGAGCGAGCGGCCACCTCCAGAATTAAGTCGCTTTTGTTCTTGCTGGAGCGGGTCAGGCACTGCACCATCAATGCATTGGAGGGACATACTGACGGGACTGCCTCGGTGCCGTAGACACATTCCTCGCCGGTGTTGGCGCATGTTGTGCAGGGCTGCCGGCCATCGCATCTGCCTACTCAGCTCTACTCCTAATCGACCGGACACGGAGAAGACATACCTCACTTTTCTGTATCGACAGGAGTCACACTGGCTGCTGATTAGCATGGGTCACCCAACTGGGAAAGGTCGAGCAAACCGCATGGGAAGTTCTCTTGCGCTTCCGATATTCGGGCGTCTCCTCTAGCGACATGATAAACTATTTTAGTGAAAAGGAACCGAATCACCAAGCGGAAAGAATCTAGTAAGACACAGTGCATAAAGGAACCAGCGCGATGGACCGGAAATGAAGACTGAGGATCTTCCCCCCACATTCCTCACAGTCTCTCCCCGCCTCGGCCAAGCACGGGCCAGCAAGAGTTCCCCAGAAAAGGCAGGATCAGGGACCTGTGTCAACCGAGATGAGAATCAAGTTGGCAAAGGCGTACGGATTTAATTAGATATATATTTTATTGGAATATATTCAGCGATTGAAAATGATTAACTCGTAAAAACCCTGAATAGACTATACTTTAACGTCCCCCTGAACCTCCAGAGTGTTCAAGACCGAGTTAATATCTCTCTTCTGCAGACTCTTCTTGACCGGATTGGGCGCCTCAAACACTTCGGCCAGTTCCTCGAGCGTCCGTTCCTTCGTTTCGGGGAAGTAGAACCAGATGACTGCCGCCTCGACCAGATCCCAGCCGACAAACACCAGATAGAAGTAATAGTGGATCTTGTCAAAAGCCGGGCCAGAGGCATATTGGATGATGGTGCTGCTGATACTGGACATGAGATTGCCAAAGGCAGTACCTTTGGCTCGAGTGGTAGTCGTGAGAGTCTCGGCAATGTACATGCTCTGCAACGGGGTCCAGCCAAACGAGAAGACGATGCCGAACAGGTAGATGAATGCGATCGCCGTGTTGGCCGCATTGGAATTATCCGGATTGTCAGTCGCAATTTTTGAGGTTCCCGTAATGATGGCAAAGGCCACCGAGCAGAATAGCAGCGAGTAAATCATCAAGGGCCGACGGCCGATCTTGTCGGTCAACCGAGCCCCGGTGACCGCAGCCACCAGGCAAATGGCTGGGTAGATGCCGTTGAGCATCAGTTTGGTCTTTTCATCGTTGATTCCGGCGTTGGCCACCATGTTGGGCAGATAGTACGAAGTCACCGAGTTACCGGACAGTTGTCCAAAACACGCCATCCCAACGACACAGATCAGCCTTCGACGGGCAGAGTGCGTATCGAACAGCTCCCGGTATTCCCACCATTTCTTGTCCGAGCCATCGGTCGTAATCTGACTCTGCATCTCCTTCGTCTGAAGCGTCACCATGGGATGGTTCCGGTCGCCTTCCCCGTGGTATCTGGCCAGCACGTTGACGGCATCCTCGACACGATCCTGCGCCATAAGCCAGCGCGGCGACTCCGGTAGGAACCAGACCCCGATGGCGACAACCACCGACGAAATGAGCTGGCACCAGATGGGGATGCGGAACCCAATATGGCTCTTGATGTTGGCGCAGCCGTATGACACCCAACTGGCGACAATCGACCCGATATACCAGGTACAGTTGTAAAGACCGGTCAGGGTGCCTCTCCAGGCTGGATGCGCCATTTCGCTAACGTAGCAAGGCGCACTGACACAGCAGAAACTGACGCCAAACCCGAGGATGAATCGACCGGCCATGAACATGCCATGGTTTATCGAAGGTGCTTGGATGCATGTGCCGATGATGATAATGACAGCACCGGTGAACATGCCCGCGCGGCGGCCCAGATAGTCATTGACGGGACCTGACAGGACCACAGCTGGGATGGAACCGATATTGTAGAGGGCGAAGACAAGGCCTGTGCTCGAACCGGCGGTTTTCCTGGCGAGAGACATCAGCTGACTCCCTTAGTTTTCGCTTGGCGCGGTCAAACATACATATGAAAGTAGTCCAGATAGCTCTGCATCGCGTTCAAACTGCCCATGAGCGATCCATCGTAACCATTCAAACAACCACAGAGATACGCGATGGTAAGGCAGCCATACAGCCGGAACATACTCGGAGTCCATGGGCTATACTTGGCCGATGCGGCTTGCTGGGCCAGTTCAATGGCATCCCCCACGTCTCCCTCGCGCGCGGGGACCGTCTCATGGAACTGCGAGTCGGTTTTTTCGCCGGCTGCCATCGTGAGTGAAAGGCACCGCGAGGAAGAACGGATTCAAAGATAGTGAAGGAGGGACAGGAGCTTCGCTTTTGTAGCGAATACCAAGGCATCTGGCGCTGCGACCACGGTGGTTATATCCTGGACGGACGTACATTAGCCCATGATCAGCCAGAAAATCTGGGGAAATGCGGAAAGGGCCATTTTTTACGAGACGAGCTTTAGTGGTTTCTCGGTTCCGACATCCCCAACGAATCATGCTGGATACATACTTTAGAGTCAATGGGGGCCGTTGCTGGTGGTCTGCCGGGGAAATCGGAAGGACTTGTCGCACTTTTTGAGAACAAGGGAACACAGCGCTCTTAGCACTGTGAGTTGCACTCGAAGGTTATGATTTGCACGCTAATCTGAAGTTAACCGCCCCCTGGTCCTGAGTGCGGGGATTGCTTCTTCTTCCATCCGACATCCCCGGCGGAGTGCGCCACGCAGGACAAAACCACCAACAGCTGAAAGAGAGCATGGATTTCCCCGCTCTCCAGCAGCAAAGCATAGGTCTGCATCAGGAAGATGGATCAATCATGGTCGGAAGTTGGTCCGAAGAGGGGCGTTTGTTACGGGTTTCGATGCGGGTGAATGCCCTCAAGCCCGGCTTTTCTTCTCGTCCAGCTGTTATTCCACGAATCCGCCTATTTAGGAGGGGAAACTGGCCTGCTTCTTGTTCTCCTTCACGCAATTCAACTTTCTTCTTCAGATCCTGGTCCGTGGCTTATTGAGACCCGACCGAGCGAGCAGGAGTTACCGTCTTACTTTCTCTCGCCTCCCTTGTCTGCCATCATGACGCTGTCCTCGGCCCCCGACTACGAAAACCAGCATATCTTTCAGCGCAACCGACTCAATCCAAGAGCATATTTCCTTCCGGAGACGTCTCTCTCGCTCAATGGTCGCTGGGACTTTAACTATGCAGCCTCTCCCGTGAGCGCCCCCGAGCCATCATGGTCCAAGGGCCCCAAGAGCGCCACGTCCGAACTCCGCCGGGATATTTACCAATCCAGCTCTGACGGCGCAGCCTATGAGACATCGTGGGCTCCCATCACTGTCCCTGGCCATTGGCAATTGCAAGGTTATGGCCGTCCACACTACACCAACGTCATTTTCCCCTTCCCCGTCTGCCCGCCATTTGTGCCGACAGAGAATCCGACGGGAACCTATCGTCGCACCTTTCACGTTCCGGCCGAGTGGGATGCTTCTTCCCAGCTACGGCTGAGATTTGACGGCGTTGACAGCGCGTATCATGTCTGGGTTAATGGAGTCCAGGTTGGGTACGCGCAAGGGAGCCGCAACCCGGCGGAATTCGATGTGTCACAAGTTGTAGAGCGCGACGGCGCCAATGAACTGTTTGTCCGAGTCTATCAGTGGTGTGATGGCTCCTATATTGAAGACCAAGACCAATGGTGGCTGTCAGGAATTTTTCGCGATGTGACGCTGCTCGCATTCCCTGGCCCGGCTCGTATCGAAGATTTCTTCGTGCGCACCGAACTCGACCAGGATTATGTTGACGCGACGTTGCGCTTGTCTTTGAATCTCTCTCTGGAGGCGGCAGCCGTCGTGCAAGTGACCTTGAGAGATCCTTCTGCCGGCAGTACGTTGGTGTCTGAAGAGAATTCTCTTCGAGCAAGGCAAGACAAACTGGAGGCTAAGTTTTCCGTCTGTAACCCGAGAAAATGGACAGCAGAGACACCATATCTCTACGACCTGTGTATCTCTCTCTGCGTAGGTGATGCCACTGTACCGGTACAGACGATCAACCACCGTGTCGGCTTCCGCCAGGTGGAGATCAAGAGCGGCAATATCACTGTGAACGGTGTACCAGTGATGTTCCGCGGCGTCAACCGGCATGACCACCATCCACGCTTCGGTCGAGCTGTTCCTTTATCGTTTCTGCGCGAGGACCTCTTGATCATGAAGAGGCACAACGTCAACGCTGTCCGTTGCTCGCACTACCCATCCCATCCCCATCTGTACGAACTGTGCGACGAGCTCGGACTATGGGTGATGGGCGAGGCAGACCTGGAATGTCACGGATTCTACGATGCCATTGCACGGCCCCTAGATATTCCTGAGTCAATGGACTACGAGGAGCGAAAGAAGCTCACCTTTGACCAGGCCGCGCAGTTCACCACCAACAATCCCGAGTGGAAGGACGCCTATGTCGATCGAATGGTCCAAATGGTGCAGCGCGATAAGAACCACTCCTGTATTATTCTTTGGTCCCTTGGCAACGAGGCGTTTTACGGCTCAAACCACCAGGCCATGTACGACTATGTCAAGCAGGTTGATCCCAGTCGTCCAGTGCACTACGAAGGAGACATGGAGGCCAAGACGGTTGACATATACTCGTACATGTATCCATCGGTCGACCGACTTGTGCGTCTGGCTACTGCAGAGGGAGATGTGTTCACAAAGCCAATTGTGCTTTGTGAATATGCTCACGCGATGGGGAACGCACCGGGCGGCTTGGAAGAGTATATGGAAGCCTTCCGTACTCATCGGCGCTTACAGGGAGGATGGATCTGGGAGTGGGCGAACCACGGACTCTGGGATGAGGAAAAAGGATGGTATGGCTATGGTGGTGACTTTGGCGATGCGCCCCACGACGGCAACTTTGTGTTGGACGGACTGCTTTTCAGTGACCACACCCCCACACCTGGGATTACTGAAATGAAAAAGGCCTATGCCCCGGTTCGTGTGGCGCCTGGTGAGGACGGGACGCTGGTGGTTACAAATGACTACAATTTTGTTGGGCTGGAAGGCCTCGAGGCCGTCTACAAGATCGAGATCTTGGGAGATAGGTATGTGTCTCTCTACGTATCCCCAAACGAGGTACTGATTCATTGGTAGCGGGTGCATTATTTCCACAGGCAATATACAACTTCCGGCCATTCCTGCTGGCCAGAACCGGACCATCAAGCTGCCGGCTAGGCCAGCTGCAACAACTGCCGGGGAGGTCTGGCTCACCGTCAGCTTCCGCGAGAGAGCAGAGACGCCATGGGCAAAAGCCAACTACGAAGTCGCATGGTACCAGCAGTGCCTCGAGTCATCGTCTCCACGTCCCTCATTGCCTGTACCTGCTCAAAAATTGACGCTGACATCCACGAAGACGACGCACCAGATTGCGGGCGCCACGTTCTGCCTGGAGTTCTCCAGAGAAACTGGCAGTCTCTTCAACTGGACGGCCAATGGCCTCTCCCTGTTTGACCAGTCCTCAACAACTGGTGCCATCTGTCCCGGATTCTGGCGGCCACCGACAGACAACGACATGTCCTATGACCTCGGGGAATGGCGACGGTTCGGGCTCGACGCTCTCACCTCTCAGCTGCGCAAGATGCACGTTGTTCAGCATAGTACGAGCATAGAAGTCACTGCGGACACATATCTCTCCGCGCCAATTCTGGGATGGGGATTCTTCGCCTCGATCAATTACACCGTCTCGGGCAATGGTGCCCTAAGGGTCAACGTCCACCTGAAGCCCCACGGCCCAACCCCAGCGGACCTGCCTCGGATGGGGCTGGACTTACTCCTCGCGGATGAGTTGGACAATGCATCGTGGTTCGGCCTGGGCCCCGGCGAAGCGTATGCGGACAAGAAACGATCACAAAAGGTGGGCATTTACAACGCCACCACGGCGGAACTGCATACACCCTACGAAGTACCCCAGGAAGGGGGCAACCGGATGGAGACCCGGTGGTTACATGTGCACGACAGCAGGGGATGGGGCCTTCGGGTGACTCGCGTTAAGGAGGAGAGTGACAAGCAGCCGACTGAACTGTTCCAGTGGGTTGCCACGCGGTACAGCGCCGAGGCTGTCGAAGCCGCCAGGCATGCGTCTGAGCTTGTTCCTGATAAACGGGTCAGGTTGAGACTGGATGCGGAGAGCTGTGGTGTGGGAACGGGAGCTTGTGGCCCTCGTACCCTGGACATGTATCGGGTGAAGTGTGAGGAGAGGAAGTTTGGTTTTTATCTACAGCCGGTTTTTGCAGAGATATGTTAGATTGATTGTTTTGGTTCTTTCTAGTACGAAGGATACTGCCTTGGGCTTGGATAATGCATTAGTTGCTCTAGGTTCGTCGTAATCCATGGAGGATGTCAAAGTATGTCACCGACGGCCCGTTACCGTAGGCGTAGACCTTCCCATGCTAGCTGAGCGACGGCCATCAAAGAACGGGCGATCCGGTGACCATCGCAGCCCCTTCTGGATCATTCGGTGAAAGGCTAAGGAGCTGGGCGACAACCCCGAACGGCAATTGTCCCGAAAGAAAAGCCACAATGTGCGAAGAGCGTCACATGCATATGACATTTTACCCGTTTTCGGGGAAACCGGAAGGATATAGACAACCACTGGGTTGGAAAAATGGAAGATCAACGGTTCGATTAATGAGTCGAGAACACATCCTGATTTCTCTGCTTCCCCGTGGTCTTGCAGAAAGTGGACCGGCTTCGTCACGCTGCGTCCTGAGTGCGGGGAATATGGCAGGGTGTATTCAAGTACTTTGTTTACGCCATTATAAAGGGCACAAGGAAGGAGATATCTTGTCTCCTAGCATCAGCCGTGTTTGGGAGAGCAAAACCATCTCAGCATGAAGTTGAACATTGTCTCTTCTCTTGTACTGCTGCAGTCCCTCGCCTGCTCAGCGTTGAATGTCCCATTCAGTGTTTCAGGCCGATGGATCCATGACTCAAAGGGTAAAGTCTTCACCTACGCTGGGGCCAACTGGCCCGGTGCAGGCGAAGTCATGATCCCAGAGGGGATGCAGTACGCCTCTATTTCATCAACGGTCTCCAAACTCAAGAACCTGGGAATGAATGTTATTCGATTGACCTTTCCCACTGAGCTGGTCGATGACATACTCGACAGTGGCGGAGATGTCACCGTCCAGAAATCGCTTACCAACGCGCTGGGATTAACGAACGGCACCAAGGTATTCGACGAGATCCGGAAGGTGAACCCGCAGATCACGGCGTCGACGACTCGACTTCAAGTATATGACATGGTAGCTGCGGAGTGCAACAAACAAGGAATCTATGTACATTTGGATAATCACATCTCGAAAGCGATGTGGTGCTGCTCCACCACGGATGGCAATGCATGGTTTGGAGATACCTACTTTGATGTTCCCAAGTGGATGCGAGGGCTGGAGTACATGGTTTCTCATGTAGGTCACCTAGCACAGGCAGCCTAAAAAGACATACTGACCCGCAAGGCCAAATCATGGCCCAATTTTGTCAGCATCGGACTGCGCAATGAGCTTCGCCAGCCCGCCACTGCCAACCCAGAATACCCCTATAACTGGGGGACGTGGTACACGCAGATGACAACAGCAGCGAAGAGGGTCAATGCGGCCAATCCCAACGCGCTGATCTTCCTGTCCGGTTTGAACTACGATACCACGCTCTCGCCTATTCCGACAGCATCGGACCTGGGCAATGGTGTCAAATTCCGTCTCTCTGACTTTGCCTTTGCGAGTAAGCTAGTCATGGAGATCCACAACTATGAGACCGGTGCTACCAGCTGCAGTGCGCTGTCCAGTGCGCTATGGAATGCTGGACTCAAGGCCCTCAATTCGTCTGATCCGTCGATTGTGAATTCCATGCCGGTGGTCTTAACCGAGTTTGGGTTCCTGCAGGACAGTACCACATGGAAGAATGTGTATGCCAGCTGTCTGAGGACGTGGATCCCTGAGCAGCACGTCGGTTGGATGACTTGGGTCATTGCGGGGAGCTATTACATCCGGCAAGGAAATCAAGACATGGACGAAACATGGGGTGAGAAAGATTCCGCCTGCGTGGGTACGTTTGAGAAATTACTGATAGGTGTGCAGGTATGCTTGACCATACATGGTCTGGATGGAGGTCCCAGGATGCAATTCAGCAGGGACTCAAGGTAATGGTGCAGTCATCACTCCATGCATGAAATGTTGGCCAACCGAGCACTTTGTGAGCCCGGACATTGAGTGGTGCCAGTCGCTACTCAGAGCAAGGGGAACCAAAAACGGGATCAACGAACCCGAATAGATTAAATTATCAAATATTCTACAGACGCGCAATATAATTTCTTACATGCATCTGGAGTTACTAGTCGCGTGGCTATCCCTACACTAGTCCTGAATATGAGTCAGCTCAGGCTGCTTGTGCATTGGCAGACGGAGACCTATAAGACGTTCACTCGTAGGGAGGAAACCAAACATGTCTGGCTGGTTCTCATAGTCGAGGAAGCCTTGGGAAACCCGTTCCTAATGCACGGGATCTTGGCTGTGTCCGCGTTACATATCTCTCTCGCCGAGTCGTTTTGCCTGGATCTGGCGTCGGCACATAAGACCAAGGCGCTTCATTCATTCGTGGGAGGACTCACAGATATTAATTTAACGAACGCTAAAGCTATGGTGAGCTTTGCTGGATTTGTCGTTGCATTTGCCTTCGGCTCAGCGCTCACAGGGTCCGCCGAACCCGACAAGCCTAGCCTTGATGCGCTCAAGAATATCTTTGTGTTATGCCGTGGTGTTCAGAAAATTACGAATACAGCTTTTTCCCACCTGTGGCAAAGCACATTTGCGCCGCTTTTTGATGCCCGTACCCCCGACACTGCCATTCCCAGTCGTGTGAAGGAGGCCCTCGAGAACCTTACAAAACTCAACGAAGATTGCGGCGTCGAGAGCACCCATCCGACAGCTACTTATCTGCACGCAATTGAGACTCTGGTGGACCTGTCAGTATACACTTACGCGCAACCAGACTCAATGACTTTGGCCGTTGGGTGTTTCTAATATACTAACCTTTTCTCTATTCTACCTTCTATTTTAGCTGTGAATTTAAGCTTCTTCTTGCTTTCTTATCTTGCAGAATAACAACGGCGATGCGCAAGGATTGAACCCCCGGGTGACGTGGTGGATATCTACGATTTCGAATTTGCCCAGGCTTCTAAGGGCAACGAGTGTGGCGCAGGCGACCGTTATGATCCACATAGTGCTGGCAGTGTTCGGCCTCTTCCAGATGATGAGAAAAGAGTTCCCCAATACTCTGATAAAAGCAGGCTGCCTTCTGTCTGGGACCTTTTTTATGCAGCAAGTCACCGGATCTCTATATTACAGAGACGCTGGCCCTGACACACGGTTCTGACGACCAGGTTTCCCGAAAGTCGGTATCCAGGCAAATTCGACCTATGGGGGTTCATTCGATCTTTCATTTCCTGGTGGTATGCGCGCTGTGATCCAGTTGATAGGCTATCTCCGTGCTTTCGACTATGCGCAGACCAATCTTACTTGCTCGACCCTCGGAATCCACCCTTCCAAAGTAGGTGCTCCCAACTGTTGTCGGAATCAGGACCTGTGAACAGATTCGCGCATCTCGTGGTCACTATGAGCGCACGGAGCACCGCTACCGCTTTCCTTTGTCTGCTGCCTGTAAATAATATATAGATCTGAAGCCGACTTTTGCCGCTCGTTAGGTACTCCTCTAGTCCATCGTATCGTGGCACGATTATGAACCCAGTTGGCGGCAGGATTCATTGAACCTTCTTGTATCCCGTGGCACGCGGCGTGCCGTCGTGATCAAAAGGTTGGCCGCGCAATATAGCGACTTCTACTGCCCACATACCACGGCTTGTCTATAGTTATCCGCATGTATGTCAGTCTGAGAGAGCCTCAATCAGAGTGCATCCACTGCTTCGCGCATCCAGAAGTTCAGTAGCCATACTTTAGGAAATCCCTACGCTGACGGCTGCCCTGGTAGACATCATGATCTGATGATGTGCTACGGTTGTCCCCTCTGCTACGTCCCGCCAAACCGGTTATTCTAATCTACAGCCATTCAGGTGGGGTCATGCGCCGCTGTCTTCAGCCATACGAAATGCCTGTGCGAAGGATACCAGTAGTACAGGACCGTAGATTGCTCGATGTATAACCAAGGGGCAGTGTGCTCGCCGACGGTACTTGTCGTCATCCACCGATGATGCAGATCAGAAGCCAACCGTTGGTCTTCACCCAGAGATATACCGCCTCCAGCCCTTCTTCCACGACCCTTTGAATCGATGATTGATGCAGGCGTGCGGACTCCGAAACCCCTCCGCCTGACTGTGTCTCTGCCCATTGCCCCACACGCTGATTGGGAGCACGCAGAGACCGCCCATCGGCGCGGTCGGGATTGCCTCATCCTCTGCGATGCACAAGGTATGCTGGAGTCTATGAAATGGCGCCCATGTCACACGCTGCTGTGTCGCCCCCGTCTCAGGTGAGACTAGGTCACCGATCTCCGCATCTGCACGGACCGACTCCTGTACTAGTGGATGTGTGGACGGCAGAGACGTAGAGACTGTATCGAGGATTGTATCTGTAACAACGTCCGGGCCGGTCACCATTAATATAGCTTTTTGCGTATACCGCAGCCTGCGGAACAGGCCCCAGCGCTGCGACTCATACTGGTGGGTGTGAGATATCGCTCGCACTATGATCTCCCTTAAGAGAGGGCTAAATCGCCGCGGCGCATACATTGTATACTGGAGGAAGCCGTATCTCCGGGTCCAGCGCCAGTCGCGCATAAATTGCCTCGTTGCGTACGGCTCATCGATCTCAACGCCGACGACAAGGGATACCGCCGGCGAGACAGTCGGCACGCCACTGTGATTAGATATAGATGTAAAGACCGGCTGTAATGCGGGACACTCCTTAATCGGCTTAGCGGGTATCACGTCTGTATCTGCATAGAAGCCCCCATAGTACCAGAGAAGAAGGTAGCGGAGAAGGTCTGCGCGCAGAACATTATACGGGTAAGATCGGTAGACGGATGCGATTTCGGGGATGGCGGATAGTTCGGTAGTTACGAATTCGAGGGCTTTGGCGTCCGATACTAGCTTCTGCGGTTCAATGCTTGCACAAGGGGGATTTTGAGGGTTGCTAGCAAGCATACAGTATATGTCCAATCGTGATTTCGCTGCTCGAACGCGAGCGAGTCGGACCCGCGATAGTCTTCATCCTGTGCAATCTGCCAGATGCGATCCTCTGCCCTTTCGCTTCCCCCATTGCGAGCAAGGACCTCTTGTTCGAACTTCTGCAGAGCATTGGATAGCTGTTTCTCATACTCGAGGTCGGGATTCTGTCGTAAGGGCGAGCGGTAAAGGAAATGAGGCTTTTCGTCTACGTGGTGCTTTGGCGGTCGCTGGTCGGCCCATGTATTGCCCTGCGTCGCAGGCAGATCCGGAAGGTAGTGTAGTAGACAGTAGAGGGATAGGATCAGGACAAATGTGCATACGCGACGGCGCACCGGGTATCGGAAGGCACGGCATCGGATTCCTGTCGGGTACATGGTGATGATGTAAACCCACAGGCTGAACAAAATCAACCGTTAAAAGGCATGCTGCCTGGAGGTGCATCTCTGTCGACGCAAAAGTCGGAACAGATGAGCGACTACAGCTGGGTCCGTGATCAAACCGATCTAAGGCAAAATGAGTAGCGAAAATAGACCATCCCGGCCATTCCGGCCATCGTGGAGCTTGCGGTATCTGCGCCAGACAGACAATCAACCCATGGCGCCTCATGGTCGCTTGGACGTGAGACAGCATGAAACAATGGAAGTTGTCAGCACTAGCCTGCTCGGCTAGAAGCTGGATCAGGGGCATACATTTCAAGTGAGTCGTGTGATTGGTGCGGCTCGGCGCGATGGTGCCGATCTAACGCTAGATTAAATTTAACTACATCCGAGCTATGTAACGTTGAATCACACTATCCTGTTTTCGCGTCGGCCGAGTTCCGGTAGTGTTCCAGGTCCTGCTCGATAGGTGGTTCTAAGCCGAGCGCACCTGTCCCCCTCTCTCGCCGTCTGTTCGTATAGACCTCGCGAGATTATTCCACGCTCGCCGCCCGCAAGGGATGTCAAATCGGAAAACAAGACGGCCAGCCCAATGATGAACTGGCTAGATTACCACCGGGCTCGTGTCTCGTTGGGTCTAGGTCTGACTCGCTGAGGAGGCTTATTTCGCCACGCCTGCTCGCTAGCTCCTCGCACAACCCTGGCTGAGCAACTCGGACTCAGCCAACATATTCTCTGGAAAGTGTCTCGGCGCACCGCTGTGGATGGACAGGGGGTCTCTGTCAGCAAATGCGAGCAGGACGGGCAAATTCAGTACAGTACATGATTAGTCCAGCTGTAGACTTTGTCTCGTGAAATCCGTCTAGTGTGTATGTACGGAGAATTCAAATATTGGACAGTCTGATTGAAGGGTTGAATCGCACCCAATGCTGGACGGCGGCTGCCAGTCCCGTCCACAGTTTGCGATAATACCCCAGGTGGAGTGGCACATTTGCCATCTGTTCCTCCTACGAACTCCTGAAGCAGAATGCTCCAATTTGTAATTGGCTGGCTGCTCGGCCTGTGGAATTAGGGTATCTAATTTTCCTTGGTTGTTGAAATTGACAGAGCTATTGGCAGCATTGTGGTCTCGTTACGCAGGACGCTAATGTTCATGCCCAATATTTGCATTCTCCAGTCGTTCAACGTGAGCATATGGAGGTGGTGGCCTAGAGTTCTCGCAGTAGTTACCATGTCTCCAGGATATTGTATATCGCAACGCGTTGGGCTGTACTACTCTGATCCCAGGTAAATTAAGTCGTACGCTCTCGTCGGAAGTATGTTATGCCAATAGTCAACTACTTAGGATTTGGGATGATAAAGGCGATTTTAAAGAGTACCATAAGTTGGACATCTTCATAAGCTTATTCTTAAGGGTTCTCCACTAGTAATATATTATTTTAATATAGTTTAATGATATACTTTGCTGTCGAATTCGACCTGAATTATATTATTTACTAAGAGCGCGACGGTTTTCTATTTAGAGTTAGTGGAGCGTGATGATTTCCTGTTAGGGATTATTGTTAGGATGGAATAGGCACTTTTAGGGGGTAACCATGACAGATTCTCCAACAGACAACAGACTGGGCCCTAACCAACTGGGCATAATAGAATAAAGATATATTTTATTTAGGGTGCGGGTAAAGAAGCGCGCTAATTAGCTTAGAAAATTACTAAAACTATCTATTCTATTTAGATTTACTATTAAGTTAGCTATCTAGTTTATTAGATATCTTTCTATAATTTCACTAGTTAGTAAATATAAAATTTAAATCTAATATAGCGAATTTTTAGAGGTTGCAGATGGCGTCGGATGGTTATTAGTATAAGAATTCTTAAGATAGATTAGTAATATAGCTATAAAGTTAAAGAGCAAGCTAAAAATGTTAAATAGAGTAATATCTGACTGTGATTTATTATAATTGGGGCTTCTGGGGTAGGCTTTACTGATTCTCTTGCACCATTCTCAGACTCCCACCAAGCTAAAGTCTAGTAATCATGCATACCACGTTGAATGCAATCTGACCCAACATTTTAACTTCGGAAATCAAAAAGAAAAAGGAACTGGGTCGGCGTGGGTACGGACGAAAATCCCTTCGGGTGATATTCCCAGAGTACGGTGACGGACGATGTGCGCGTAGTGGGATTCACCGCCATCCGCTTTTTGCAAAGGGGTGGCTCATGCAGCCGTGCGCAACCACAGACGAATTCATCCACCAAGCCATCCACGCGCACAGTGCAATAAACAATAATCTGTCCTGGTTAGCTAACTTAGCACTGGAAAGTGATCTTCCCAACCATATCTAATACGCACAGGTCGCGCATCAAGCTACATACCAGGAACTAGTGCATCGGCGTCCGTCCATGATGAATACAGTCACACGCCCATGCATCCAGTTGACCAAGACTAATGAACCATCTGGTCTTCCTTGCTTACCTCCATACTCGGCAATCGGGCGTTCTTAATGTTCTTTTTCCAGCGCGGCTGGTGTCCACGCCAGAGATTGCTAGGAAATGAAGGCCTGAGAAAGCGCATGTAATTTTTATGTGTGGTATGAGAAAATGCCGGTAGAAAAATAACAGTCTGGCGATTGCTGGCAGCCATTCCATGGCTCGCCTTGAAGGAGCGCCCTCGCAAGCGCCAAGTCAAAGGCATTGTACTTTGCCTGGCCCTGTACGGGGTATGCGGTAGTGGAAACAAGTATTTCGGCCCTGTACAATACTGTGATGACCAAGACCACAGCTTTTGTGGGGGGTCAGCCATAATATTTCGACGACTAGAATAAAATTAATGAACAAGCTAGGATCTGCTGCGGGAGAAGGACAGGGAAGAGGCAGAAACGGGGTCACATACTTATCTGGAGGACATTTAATATGGTCACAAAGCGGACCGTGTATAAGCAATGCTCGACAATATTTTGCTTAAAAACTGTTCAACGATAGCCCCTGGTCAAAGAATTAGACTTCTAACTATGGCATGGAGAAAACGCCTTACCGAGTTCAGCAGGGTGTGTCATTGGCAACTGGGGATATGTATCAGCGGTGCCTTGCTGCAATCCTGGGATTGTATCTTACCAGATGCCCTCCATCCCCAATGACGACCATGTCGCCATGAACACGAGCCAAGTCCTGGATAATTGCTCGACATTCGTTGTTTCTACACGAACCAAAAGGTATCAGTCTCGACAGGTTCGTCTACCTCGGCAGCATGGAACGCGCCAGCACTCACAAGACCAAACTCTTCCCGCCCATGACATAGTAACGAGGTTCCCGCGACTTAGAGAGAAGGTGGATGATTTCCGGATGGGGACCGGCTAAGTACGTGGCCTGGATTATTTAGTTGTGAGCGGCCATGCGTCCTTTCTGCGAGAACGCGAAGATGAAAGGTATACCGATTCCTGCTCCTTCGTGGTCTTCAATGTTCTCGTGCCCTGGGGCGAAGTAGTTACGTCTCGTGTAGCAAACGTCTCGGCGGCGTCAATAACTAGCCAAAGCTTTGCTCGGAGAGCTGCTTACTGCATAACGTTTTCGTTGGTCGAGAGTCCAATCTGCGAATCCTTTGCTATTGGAGATTAGGGCGCACGCCTCCTCTCTCCAATGGGCGTCAGTGGGGACCAGGTAGCCGGTACGGGTGCCATACCGGTTCTTCCATGTATCCCTTCGATTCAGTACCAATTTCGCGATAGCAGTAGTCTGTTCTTTCATTTGAAAAATGATGGGCTCGACGAGTATCGTTGCATCAAATTTTTTCGGGGAGAGGATGGAAGCATGTGCCCTGTGCAAGATCTGTAAGCGACTGTTTGGAATGCTTGCAAACGGCGATTGCTTACAGAGTACCTCCTCCGAAGGAATGCCCTATGCCGATCAAAGGTCCGTCAGCTCTAAGATAATCCAAGACGCCGAGAATGTCCCGGGAATGGTCCGGCCAGTACGCTACGGAGCATAGAGAAGAATAAGTTAGCATGAACTCAATTTAGATGGAGTATTGGATATAGTCGATGGCAAATGGCGGTATTACTGACTTGAGGAGCCCAGCCTATTCTGATTGATTACGGCGCTGTCACCGTGGTTTGCGGCATCCATAGCAAAGACTGCCTGGATTTTGAGGGGGCTATCGTCCCGCAACCAATAGTTAATCAATGGCTCCCAGAGCTCTTTGCAGAATGATGTCCCGTGCGTTAGGAGAATAGTTGCCCCAGGACTCGCCCTGCGCGGTCTGTATTCGTTGACTGCGACGAACAGTTGCGCCTCGGGCGATTGTACTGTCAGCGGAGCACGAGGATGAGTGGCCGGCACCACCCATGACCTTGTGAGCAGAGGGCTTGACATGACTGTATTGATTGCGAACCTCCAAGATACGGTGGTGAGATAAGGTGGGTGTTGACTGGACTTTTGACTAGGGCGGAATTGCCAGTGCCGCAACGGTTCCGCTGCCGGAAGCAACGGCCCTGTCCGCGGTGGGCCGGGGAGGGCTTTGGCCATATCACCTCTTCCTAAGCCCCATGTTAATGGGCGGAGCAGCATGCCCAAATCAGAGGTGAGAGGCCCTGACAATCAACATGCCCGCGAGCGTTATTGCCAGCGGTGCAATCGCAGCTTCTCCAAGCCAGAACACTTGACGCGCCACCTCCAAACCCACAGGAAGGAAAAGCCCTTTATATGTATCGTCTGTCGCCGGCGTTATGCGCGAAGGTTGTTTACACAGATCTCCTTTACCGGATTCTATAGTCTAAATACTCCCAACATTGTTTGAGTGTATACAATAAATGATTACCTTTGAAGAATTTCACAGTTAATATTGTCGGCGATAGCTAATCCTCTAAGAAAAGCCCCGGTCTTACTAGAGTTCCTTTCCAAGCTTGTTTGGTTCTATCCCACAAGAATTCCTGGAACAGAGGCGGAACAAATACGGAACGGCCTACGCATGCTGATGCGGAAAAGAGACGGACTGGGGCAGACATCATGCTATGATGATTCCCAGCCCGACAACATGATCTCGTTGCCTGCCGCGCGGAACAAATGCATGATGTCGTCAATGTCTTTAAAAGTCGCAGGATCTTGGGCGTCCTTCGTTTCTGAACCACCAGCGAGTTGCTGGAAGTGAGTCATTCCGTCCTCCACCGAACTCATGACCGACTCTGAGAAATACAAGGCAGCTGTGATCACGGCGGCCCGCCAGCCGATCGAAATATGGGAATATGACTACATTGATCCGCCTGCTGGATGCATCAATATCGCCGTTGTTCGAGCTGGTGTATGCGGTACCGATCTTCATCTATGGCAGGGAGACAGCACGGATGACGAGCCCTTTATCCTTGGACATGAAGGGTTGGGCCGGGTCATTGCCTTAGGAGAAGGAGTGAAAACTGACCATAGTGGGGCGCCTATCGCGGTGGGCGATACTGTCTACTGGAACCCGATCCGGCCATGTTACGCCTGCTTCGACTGCACGATTCAACGCGACCTCACCGGCTGTAGAAACGGCACCTTCGTCTCTCCCGCCCGGAACAAGACCACCTGGGCTAGCTACACACAGGTTGCGACCCTGCAACGGAGCAACAACTTTTACCGCGTGGATCCAAGCGTGCCCCTAGATGCTTTTATTGCCCTTGGATGTGCCCTGCCAACCATGCTGAAGGGTCTGGAGAACATGGGCCCGATTACGCGCGGCTCGGCTGTGCTGGTCCAAGGGTGCGGTGCTGTCGGGCTGGCCGCTACTTTCCTGGCCAAGATTGCTGGGGCGCGGGCCATCCTCTGTATTGAGGGGAACCCGGAACGCCGGAAGATGGCCAAAAAGTTCGGGGCCACGGAGGTGCTAGACATGAAAAGCGCCGAGTACCGAAGCGCCGAGGCGCGTGCCGCTCGCATACAGGAGATCGTTGGACCGCGGGGTTTGGAATTGGCCATTGAGTGCAGCGGGCATGCATCCGCCGTGGAAGAGGGACTGTCTTTGTTGGGTCGGAACGCTCGGTATCTGCTGGTTGGAACTTGGGCCGGTGCTGGAACCGTGCCGCTGTCTCCTTTCGAGACCGTTCACAAGGCTTTGAAGATCATCGGAACGACCTATGCTTCCCCCGAAAATTATTACCAGGCGGCACGTTTGGTGGAGACCAACTATCGGGAATTCCCATTTGTCGACTGCGTGACGCATCGGTTCCCTCTCACCCGCGTATCAGAGGCTCTCGAAACAGTGGCAGGGGGAAAGGCAGTCAAGGTTGTTATTGAGCCGCAGGCGGAGTGATCCGGGTCTTAGGAACTAAAGCTGAAAGGAAGGCTACGGTGTACCTCATGGTAGATCCGTTCATTCGAAGTAACCGATGTGATAGTTTCCATCAGAGATAGGTCATGGATAACACCCTGGTTTCGCAAACACACCTGCCACTACAGAGTACAATATTTCTCGATTCCTTGAACGTCTTGCGCTAGGATTGATCTTCTATGGCCATATTCTACCACAGAATTCGAACCAATTGATGGTGTACAATATAAATGCTTTTGACGTCTTGAAACTGCACTGTTGTATGACGCGGTGTCTCGGAGAATGTCGGCAGCGGGTAGCATGCTATGACCATCCCTCAACTATCATTATGAGATGACTGCATAACAATCAAAAGTCCCATACTTCTCCACTACATTTACCTCGCCCACCTCAATGCACTGCAGCCCATTCACCCACTGATACTCCGGATGCGCAGTCTCCAAATGCGGTCCGCAACGGATCTTCACCTTCTCGGGCATCTTTCCTTCTAGCACATCTGTATAACCAGTCGAACCAAAGTCCCCCTTTCCCTTATACATGAACTTAATGCGCGCACCGTCGTCGGTAAGAATCACACAGCGCACGTCGTGAATCGAGCTCCCATCCGGGCGGATAGTAACGTAGTCATTCCCTTCGCGGATGAACGATCCGTTGATGCGAGGCCCTGATACGCGGGTTCCGCGTTCCGTAATAATCAATGAGACTCCGTCGGCGTTACTGCCGATGATGAAAGGGGGATCGTCCTCGGGGAGCTGCATTGTATATGTGAAGAGGTACTCGGTCTTGAACTCCAGCCGCTTCGCCTGGGGAATCTTCAGGGTGTCGATGTCCCTTGGGACGTAGGCATGAGGGACTTCGGGAAGTGGCATGGTAAGGTCAGATGTTGCAAATATTAATGTGCGGAGGTGCAGAGATCAAATGACTGGTGCTGATGTGGTGTCCCAAGTCGTTTTTATCCCTTCCCGGAAGAGAGGCGGACGGGCCTCCTATGTGCGGGCGGCCGGAACCAACGTGTTCCGCTCTGGGTCTACTGAAGTCAGAACCTCTAAGAGTACGAATGGTTGTCCGTTGTGAGGGGAGCTTGTCCAAGATATCCCCGCCGTCAAGCCGTGCGATCGTTGGCTATTCCGTTCAGTTCCGACGCAACCGCTGCTTGCCTGTTCTTGTTCTATAAAGCCACACAGTACCTGCGAACCACGAGGAATAATGTAAAGGCAAAAGCATCACAACTAGGGCAATATAGCGAGAGGAACGACTTTTTCTACCAAAATGGGGATCGAAGATCTGATGGTGAGCTCTCCTTTTCCACGGGCTTTTACCAATCTCGGAAAGAAGTACTTAACAAAAAAAAATATTATGATTAGAACAAGCGTGTGCAGTATCACTACACTGAGGGAGTGGACTGGTCCTATGAGATGTGGTATAGGTCGCCGGTGCGTTGATGCTGATCTGGACGCCATTGTTCAATGCTGACGGTGCATTCAAGGACCGGGTTGTTTACCGAGCGGTCACAGGTCCGCTTGCTGGAAGGACCAACTATGTCCAGGCCTGGTACCAGGAGATTTACCCTAACAAGATGTACAAAATCTCCTGGATGGAAGGTAAGGAGACTCCAACAAGCCTCCAAAAGCATGTCGACTCATGATCAATCCAGAGACCGGCACCATCGTCACCCAGACCATTGACATCGTGGAAAAGAGGATCTGGACTTTTGCCGCCTTTACAAAAGGTCATCATGTAAGTACACCCGCTGCAAATTTTTGATAGTCTTTGACAGACACTCACATGGGGTCAGGAAAATCGAAAGATCTGCCAAGGCCACAAGACGACTCATATAGAGCAATGGCGCAAGTTGGCCAAGATCGGTATTCAAACTGACAGATATATGGTTCCAAAGTCTGGGGTCATCGATGAGATTCTTGAGGGACGTGGTGAGCATCTTCCCGAGATTGGCGACGACTGGCCGGTTTTGTAGATCAGACCATCAGGTTGTAGAACTAGTACAGAAGCTTTGATAAACCTCATTCCGAAGTAAGCCGACATATTAATAACATCCAATTTCTTGTGGTAATGACATGAGCCAGCTTCCATGTAGACGGCACATTCACAGACGTCAAACCCCCTCTCGATGACTGCTCTCATCTCCGGGGTGTTTCATCTTTACCCAACCTGTAGCCGCGACGGAACAGGTGCTTTCTTGAGCAGCCCAGTGAGAGCTCCATAGTTTCATCAAGCCCGCTTCCCGACGCCAGGGGGAGGCACGCATAAGGAGTGCATGGACGGAATAACTGGAAGCCGACACAGCGAAAACGGAACTCGCCCATGGACGGGGGACGGAAAGCAAGAAGCGGAAAGGGTTGCGACTGTTGTCGACCTATGATCCAAAGCGTAGGTTTTAAGGTCAGGTAGGTGCACACTTACAAGGGCTTGGTAGACAATTACGGCGACAAGAAGCCCAAGAGACACTTCCCACCAAAAGCCACCCCTTGATATCGCATTTCAGAATACCCGAATATCTCTTCTCGAAGTGAGAGGGAAAAGGAGAACCACTCATGGGCAGTCTCCTTGGCCACCTGTGCAGTCGACGGATTTGAACTAGGGGTTCCACGCCCGCGTTTATGGGTCGCGTGAAGGCTGCGGTGACGAGGTGTGAGACATAAGTCATTCTTTTTGGATGGAGGCTGATCGCAGGAGTACTTTGTGGGACTTTGCATGCGAGGTGTCGCTGGACGAGCTGCTGAAGATATTTCATCTATTCCGTGGGTTCTGAGAGGCTGATGCATGTACGGATCTCTCTCCAGACCACGCACGTGGCACAGTGGGAAAAACCGCCATTTCTGAATCCTGAATTGGAGTTCCAACAGCTACATATTGTATTTGGTATATAAATACAGGACTTCGGGTGATTTCTAAAGCTCAAGGTTTACGTAGACTATATAATCTGCAAACCACGTAGTTATTCCAGAGCCGTTTATGGGACCGAGTCGAGGAAGAAAACTATCTACACTGGATGATCCTGGTCAGACATTCCAATTGATGTTTCCAGTGTTGAATGTTCAAAGCGTCTTCTGAAAGTCATCTATACACCTCACTTGAGAGTGTGTTGTGGTTTGAATGGAAAAGGTTAGAAGTATATTATTTGGAACATGGTGAACCAGTGCATTACACTATCAGAAAGCTGAGTTATCCTAACCTGACAGATTGTAATTACAAAGTGTTTAGCCGCTGCTATTGAACCCCTTCACACCCTCTGTAAAGTCGGCTCAACTAGATCAGCTAACCGAATAGGAAAGAAGGATGCTAAAGACTACATATGCGGACGTATTGCTTAGAGAGCAAGAAGAACACTAGATATCGGTAGTCCAATGGACTTCTAAAGCATCATAGTTTGATAGCGATGATGCTAATATCCGCCGGGGTCATGTTGCGGAGTTTACTGGATAAACATGCATTCCAACAACAGATAAAACCGGAGAGACTTCAGAGATGACTGGATGAAGACAACAGAGCAGCTCGTGAAGGGAGAATTCCTGCGTTTTCGAAAGCTTGGTAGGTTTCGAACCAAGTATCCGTCGTGTTGTCGAACCTCTTCCAGCCGAACTTCCTCGCCTTGCTCACAGACGAAATGGTCAGCCAGGACTTGCCGGTTGCCCAGCTAAAGAACCCCCAGGTCCCATAATCAAACGCAGAGACACTCCCTCCATACTTTTTCACAACTCGTTCCCACACTTCGCGCTTGTCCTTGGCCCATTCAATTAAGTCGACTTCATTGGCCAGCATTGTGGCCTGGCCGCGAGCCTTCTCGAATTCGGGTTCCGGTGCCTTATTTGGCTGATAGTTAGCATTTATCACCAACAAAGTGACCAGATAAGGGAAGAGGCCAGTTGAAAAATACCTCGAGCCCCAAAAAGGCCGCAAAGTCACTCCAGATATGCTTCCATACGAAGACATCGCCATTGGTGTGGTTGAAGATCTCATTTTTGCAACGGTCCTCGGACATAACGTAAACTGTGAGGTCTGCAAGACTAGGCGCATATGAGTTATCGTCGATGGTATTCCAGAAATACTCGTTTCCAGGAAAGATAGGTGCTTGATTCAGTTCGCGGCAGATCAGCATGTAGATACAAACGGTCACCAGCTCAGACATTCCATTTGCTGTCGTTCTAGTTCAGTGATAGACAAAATTGTGGTATAGATACGGAGAGCACATACCTTGCGGCGAATAACCAACAATTGCGTTAGGGCGGATGATGTTGTAGGACCACGTCTTTCGAAGAGCCTGCAGTTCTTTCAAATAATCCTCTTGTGGGAAGTAGAAATTGTAACCTCCATCCTCGTACCGCGGAAACCACTCCTCCAAGGGCACCTTGACAGGCCCTAGATGGACGCCGTAATACTAAAAGGCACCTATCAGCTCAGCTCGCAGAATCGCGTGCAAGACATGGAAGAATATGCTAGCATGGGCTTACTTTTCCACCCGTCTGCAGGCAGACCCGCTTCAGCATTGGGCATGCTCTATCCACCGCATCGAGGAAATTGCGGAACAAGGGAACGTTCTTCTCACGAAGCAACTTGAAATCGTCACAGTGGACATATGACGCAAAGAACGCATGGGTCACTTCGTCACAGAGGGGCTTCATCTTGGTAATGATTTCGTCCACAGGGTCGAGGAAGTCCAACGCGATGAATTGTACTCGAGGATCGATCAAGGCAGTCTTGATAGGACGCCGAGATGTGATGATAATTTTGCTCCTGCCAGACATGTTAAAGCTGGTGCTGATAGGATCCGCAAAAAGGGTCAACATACCACTCATCCTTGGGGAGGCGTATGAGATGGTCGATAATAGCGTACCCGGTGATGCCATTTGCACCAGTAACAAAAGCAGTCTTGCCGAAATTGGGAGAACTCATCGTGGCGGTCTAGATGGTGCATACGACTTCGATGCTCTTCGATTGCTGTGTATTAGATAGCACAAATTGTGGCAGTGTACTGACGGTTATATACCATGCCCCATGAGGGATACCGAGGCCCGGGCAATGGAATAAGGATTGGAGCGAAGCATGACGCGAATTACAGAGATGCCGTCGCCGCGGAACGGCGGCAATGGCTACGGGGTAGCACAAAATGGCATTCTTCCCGTTACTGGTGACTACTACCTGAGTGGACTGTGGCGGAAAAGATTACGGAGCACGATTTGATCCGATGCGTGCTGTACTGTCTCCCGGGAGTGGGGGAGACCTTGGAGATGGACGTAAATTTGATTCCGCTCCATCGATGAGCGGAATATCCCTGGTACCGAGATAGGTAGTTGAGTGACATCATTGCTAGCTGCACACGCCGGTCTTCAATGTTTATGGAGGAACAAGGGTGAGGTGGACGCTCTCTGTGGAGCTCACTGCAAAATAAAGTGCCGCAAATCAAGACCAGACATGCAAGGGGAATGGACACAGCTAGCTAGCCACGGAACACACGTAATATAGATAGACGGCTCGAACAAACTGATCACAATTCCAACTTCCTCGGTCTGGCTGGCAAGCCCATAAAACAAAAACCGATGACAGAACACAGGACACTGAAAATGTAGCTACAACTTGTGCTATTCTGGACTGTTTGTTGGTCCAGGCAGTTGATGGCGGAGAATTTTCCCTGATGTACTATAGTATCACGGCAACTAAGTCAGACCCCTGTGCTGAGAAGTGTTCCCGGGTTCGATGGCTTACTTGCGAGGAATCGCGGCTATGACATGCACGCCGCCTCGTAACCACTTATACTTGGCTACTTGTTGGTTTACGAACGCCTCAACCTCGGCTTCTAGTCGCCCAAGCTGACATTGCTTGAGGCCAGTCGTGATGTAGGCCGCGGGATATTCAGTTTCTTGATCTGGAAAGTAAACCCCTTTGACAGCGGCATCGCGCACGTTGGGGTGACTAAGCAGGATGGACTCTAGTTCGGCCGGAGCGACCTGATGTCTAGGACACACAGAATAGAGCGTTAATTGGTTCCACGAATAGGGATAAACAAATGAAATCGACCTACCCTTTCACCTTGATCAGCTCCTTGGAACGGCCGACAAGGAACACATACCCCTTTTCGTTAGCGTATCCAATATCGCCGGTCTTGAAGTAACCATCAATGAACGCGGCATCCGCTGCCCCATTTTGGATTCCAACGTAGCCTGGCATCAGATTCGGACCCTGGATGAGAATCTCTCCGGGCTTTTCTGGCGGACACTCTATTTCAGGTTTAGTATAGGCACTCCACGCATCGAAGAGGCATACCTTTGCCTTCCGAATCAATGATTTTCATCGACATGCCCGGTAGGAGCTTCCCAACTGTGTCTGGTATCCCCACTTCATCCTCCCGTTGAGAAATAACGCTGGGGCTGGCCTCTGTCATGCCGTACCACTGTGTGATGCTACAACCCATGCGTCGCGACAGCTCGCTGGAGACCACCTCCTTCAAGGGTGCAGCGGCATTTATGAGGCACAACAGGGAAGAGAAATCGGCGGTGCTGCCAGTGGTCGCCTGAAGAAGTCTCAGCGCAACAGGCGGTACAATATTGATATGAGTGACTGGACGTACTGGTCAGTTGGAGGCCGCTTGTGTTAAAGAGCCCTTTGGAGACTCACTGCGATCACGCGGGATGGCGTCCAGGAGCAACGGTAGTTCAAATTTGGGGAAAACCACTATAGGGATCCCCTAGAGACAGATTGTTACCCTGGTTGGCTACACGAAGAGGAATTGGAGTCTCTCACCTGGCAAATATACTGACAGACAAACACTCCCAGGCCCAGAATGTGGAAGAATGGCGTGATAAGAGCTGCAACGGTTTTAGGACTCTTGAACATCTCCGGTAGCCGCTGTCGGTGTTGAAAGATGTTTGTCACAATGTTCTTATGAGTGAGAGCGACTCCTTTCATCGGTCCGGTGGTACCAGAACTGAAGCATATAAAGGCTACATCGCTGCTGTTCTTATCGGATTGCGCTTCCAAGACATTGGGGCTCTCTGCACCGGTGTCTATAATGCGTTCCAGATCAAAAATGGGGCCCCAGGGAGCGCTATGGGAGGTATCAGACGACAGAATGTAAAGATCTGGCGCATAGTCCAGCTTCGCCAGGGACAGCCCATCCGTGAGTGTTCCAGCCAAAGACTGATCCACCAGCACAATCTTGGGCTTTGCAAGACGCAAAGAGTGCGCGATTTCCTGGTGACATCGAATAAGCGAAAGTTTGGACTTTCGGGGTCCCCGTCTCCATGTGGTGACCTACCTGTCTTCGATAAAAAGGGTTGAACGCAGAAACAACCCCTCCCGCAGCCAAGATGCCATGCACGAGTACCGGGTAACTATCCTGAAAGCGTCCAGAGCATGTTAGTGGATCCACGGTCATATCTTTGCGAGCGAGGTGATTGATCTCACGCTATTCGCCGCAAGAATCCCTACAACTGCCCCGCGGGGTAGTTGGATCTCACTTCGGACGTGGCTGGCCACTCTTCTCACGGCGGTTCGAAGGCTGCTGTAGGTGTATACTATTGCCCCCGAAACGCCATCGATTATAGCAGGCCTCTCGGCTGGAACATTGTTCACGTTTAGCTTGAGCAAAAGATCTGGCAGAGTTTTCCCTTTCGGGTATTCTAAGGGTTCCGCAGTGTACACCATGGTAGCTGAAGTCAGATTTCAAAGCATCTAGGCGTGGAAAGAGATGTAAAAAGGGAGCTAATCTGTTCAGGAGCAAACTGGGGGGTTTTGCCTTGGATTGTGCAGGTGAGTCTCCCAGTAATCTGCCCCAGCCGTCGGCATGCCTTCGGCTTGCCTGTTCCGCCCATCAGTTCCGTGTATTAGGCCAGAAACATCCTACAGGGCCACGGAACAACGAAATGTCCCGCGGCTCGCTATGGGTTGGTGGCAGATCACAGATATCTTCATTGAGGGAAAAGGCAGAATGCTTCGAAAGGGGCAGGTGAGCATTGGACCGATGAAGCAGGAGTTGGTATCTGAATACTGGAGTTCTGCGCTCTCTGCGTGGCGGAACTGGCCAGGTAGGCCTGTTGAGTATATCAATTCAAGAATCATGCGAATGACCCGAGGGCTATGAATAGGAGTAGAGATTTAAGAGTTTCCCTTCTAATGGTTTCCAGTAGAGGTCTTGATCGATGCGGAAAACACTGAAGGCTAATAATTTGCATGCTAGTTTATATACTCGTCCGGCTTTAACAGGAATCGACATAAATGGAGATTCTTCTTGTTGACGGCCTTAGCCGCTCTATTAACTGAATCTATTTCTCTACACCCTACTAGTTCATTTACCGTTATGGACACGGTGGTGACTGGCCTTTTCGCCGCCGAGGTAGGCTAGGCAATCTTCTGAGTTTCATTCAACCGCGCTACGTTTTCAACTATGGAGCCACTCGTACAACCGAGCGGCGCCATTTCTACCAAAACATCTCTTTCCGAAGGTTTTTCAACCACCAACGCCATTAAGTTTGACTAATTAAGTACATGAATTTATAGATATTTAGTAGGACAATTCGAATTGTATGTCCAACTGTTCCACAGCCACTACAGCGTTGCGAGCTCGTCAACGAGGCACCGGAGTAGATCCCGCAGGCCGTTTAGTAAACTGCGTATCAAGCTGCTGAACGTGGTTTTCACCTTCCTATACATTGAGAAAACGGCCATTGCGTATTTCAGCACATTTTCTCGCCTTTTACTAACGTTGTCGTCCATGTTCAGGTCGTACAGCTTTGATTTCTTGATGCAAAAAAGGGTAGTTTACATCGCCGTTTGCCCCGCATTCTTAAGATATTGAATATGAGCAATAGGACTGCTAGAAAGTTGCTTTTTTCTGTTAAGGCCGTTCTGCGGGCTTCAAACCTTTTCAATGTAGCTGGCGAGTAATCTGCGCAGTCTGAAACGCAGAGGATATCAAGCCTTATAACTAGCGCTAATGCAGGTGTACGCGTACGTAGTTGGAAGGTAAGTTTCGAGAGAACATGGTCTGGATCGAATGGCTTCAACTCTATCTCTTAAAACCACTGCAGATACTAGATAAAGTAAAGACTTTTTGTGTGCATTTGGATATAGCGAAAGAACGTCTTCTTTATCAATGTGATTGTTGCCGGCAGCTATACGGTCATCAAGAAGCTTTCTGTACGTCCCTTTAAGCAGGCTAAAAACGCCCACATTAAGGGTTGAAGAAGATACGAAATATAGGGAGATATACAGAGATATATAATCGCATTCTGCGTGCAGAAGTTATCGAATTCGAAGCCAAATGGCTAATATAGCCGTCCAGAATAAGTAATCGCTTTACGCCGGTTATATATATGTTAGGACCCAGGCACCGCGGGTGATGACTAAGCACTGCAGCTAGTCACGTGGCTACCGCCACGTCAAAACCCCCTACCGCTGGCCTCCCATTCAGGAGACCAGCGAACAGTCAGTGTACCTATCGCTTGATTACCCTACCGCAGCTATTCTGGATACGGGACTCCTTAGAAATAAGCGTATTGAATTGTGGTGGCGATAAAGACATGTTGAATGAAGAAAGCAGATGTTTTGGTAAGAAAAGGCGCGGCTCGATAGTCGTAAAAAACATTACTGCCTTCTTCTTCCCCACTATGGCCACAGCGCCCGGTAAAATTGGAGAGTGGTCTTCAAAACTACTGCCATGTTTGTAAGTTGACCACATCGAATCTGTCCTCCATTTTGATCATGCGATATCTATGACTATTTATGACTATTTCACATAATACGCCAAGTCTTCCAGCAGTACCTCACGCTGTGTCGTCCCATTCCCCATAAATCTAAAGCGGTTAGTGGAATCATATTCTATATCAAAATCCTCCACGCGGAAACCCTCAAGGATCTCTGCTATCAATGTCAGTCACATGGACGGAGTTGGTCGGATGGGTGACATTCGTGCCCGCTCTATGTTACTCACCTTTATAGTGGATGATGCTACCCCCATACATGGCGGTAACCGCACCATCCCTTTTCCCGCCTTTGAACCAGCTCCGGCAGCCTCCAGTCCAAACCGTGCGCTTCAGGATCTCCTGTGTATACACATTGTAATCATCTAGAGCATCCGGTTTGACACAGATGCACCTAAGTCACGCTGTTAGTGCGATTTTGCATGGGCACACAGCAACCAGAACGTACTTGATGCCCTCCGACACGATTTTCTGGCACCATCTCAGAATCCAGTCGGAAGTCGAATCTATCGCGGCAAGTAAGGAACCGTGTGCAACTGTTGTGGTTAGTACTACACGCGGGGGCAACAAAGGATCAGGCCGGATACGTACTCGGGCAATTTGGCGGTGGCCCGCAGATCTAGTACTGCGGGTTGCGGTGCGCTGCGGGTTATTTATCTAGAACCCGCAAACCCGCGCGGGTTGAATTCTGACCCTGCGGGTTGTACCCAACCCGCACCGCGTGCATCCCTAGCCATTAACACATCCTTAAGAAATATAATAGATATTAGAAAGAAAATGGCTCCTTATAGAAACCTATTTTCCTTTATTCTTAACTCTCTGGGTGCTTTTTGTTATGGGACGAACGGAGATGGATCTTCCTATCTAAGCGTGCCGTACAAACAAGAAGGAATAGCTGAAGAGCAGGAAGTTGGGCAGCGGTCAGACGTCAACAAATAGGGGAAAGGCGGTGTATGGTGGCAGAATAGCCCTATAGCCCGTAGGGCTAAAGGTTCCAGCGAGGCCCTGCCGAGCTCCAACCTATGGTTCGTACAGGGCCTGTAGAACCCATAACATAAATAAGCAAGATATATTATTTTTAGCGCCAAGAACGGTTAATCAGGTTAACCTAATCTCTTTTTTTTTATACCGCGGTCAGGTAAAAATAAGGTACTTAACCTCACCGTTAACCTGCGGTCAGGTTATGCTGGAGGTCCTTAACCTCCCCTCACCTGGCCATTGCCCACTCTAACTGGCTCTTGCAACTGTAAAGTTAGAGAAACATATACAAAGTCTTATAAATCGACTCTGTTAGCTATATCGAAGCCGAAGAATATAGGGACTTAGCAAGACTACGCGACGAATGAAATACTGCTTGTCACAGTATCGACATCTGCTCAGAAGCAGACAACCGCCTCAAGAAGAATATTATTATTAAGAACAATGTCACTGGCGACACTAAACGATTTATAATATCGACCAACAGAAGTATTATTCGTGGTAAGAAGAGCTAGATCGGAGGCCATCTTAGTAACGCTTCCGTGCAACAACTGTCGCGGGACATAGCAACCATCAATATTCGGCATATTTTCAAGCGTAGACAAAAACCCCGGCAAATGCTCCTGACAGTAAAACAGGAAGCGATCAGCCCTCGGAATTCCCAACCCCTGCAGTGGCTGCAAATTAAAGAGGGTTGCGACCACATAGGAATCCCCAATCCATTTTGCTTTCTATAGAATCGATTATCTTGCGAAAGCTCTGGAGGTTTTTGCTGATCTCCTCTTGGAGGCGGAGGAGTTTATCGATCTCCTCTAGAAGGCTATTAAGATTTTTGAAGTCCTCCGCGGGGACTTCTCGCTTGATCCCTTCCAGGAGTTTTTGTATGTCGTCGAGGACGTCTTGTTTGATTTTATTAATCGACTGTGTATCGGAAATCGGTTGAATACCATCGATCTGTGCGCGAATGTCTTGAAGGACATGAATCTGCCTTTGGAGGACTTGACTGATCGTTTCTTGGAGCCTCTTTTTAAAAGGTATGATCCGCACCCAGAGTTCTTGTTGGTCGTTATAGATCGGCTCTTGCAGGTTATATTGGGAGTTATGGATCTGCGCGCGAATGCCTTGTTCGAAAGTACCGATCTTTACTTGGAGCACTTTTTTCAAGTGGTGGAGCTGCGCCCCAAGATCGTGTTGGTAGATATCAAACTGATGTTGAAGGTCCTGTTTGAAGTCCTCTATATGTTCCAGAATATTATCGGCCTTGTTTTTGTATTTTTCTCGCGGGTTATTATTCTGCCCGTTGGGGTGTCGTTGGAACTGTCTGCGAAGATGTCGTTCGAGACTTTCCATTTGCGCGCTGAGGTGTAGTTTAAGGCTACAAATCTGCGCGCCGAGGTGTCGTTCGAGACTATCAATTTCCGCCCAGCCGGGAAGCACTGACTCTTCGTCCCGTTGGTTTTTGTTTTCCTTCCTTCTCTGGTAGAAGGGCTGTAACACGATCACCAAAGCAACGACACCTGTATTGGTCCCGGCCAAAGCTGTAATTGTAGACATAGGATGGTATCCTTTTGCTGCAAGTGCAGTGATTGTAGTTCCTAGTGCCACTTGCACTATGAAGAGGACACATAGAAGGCACAAGCCATGGTAACCGACATTCTTCGTGCCTTCATCATATTGTCCACTGCTCTTTGTGTTGGACGGACACATCTTTTTTCCACTAACCTATGTCGAGGAAGAGGGAGACTGCTCTATCAATGGAAGCTTGGTTTGATGCTTAAATCTCTGATAAGTTCGAACGATTATTTCACGATCCGCTGACGTTACCACAGTCAGTAGGGAATCCGTGCCATCATCGTGAATCTTATGAGAGGACTATTATGCCCAAACAAATGCGTACGTTAGTTACAAAACTAAATGATAACTGAGTTAACTACAGTATTGTGTGACATAACATCATACAAGCGGGCTAAGGTTAACCAGTTACAAATGATGGGATCTAGAACACCTACACAACGTTTCTAGGTTGGTCTTTTGGTCCGTTTTTGGCTCAAGTCAATCGTGTTTTGTGACTAGCCGAAGACGTCATGACCTCGTGGTTCAAACATCAGTTGAATTTAACTTTACGAGAACGGTGATAAGAGCTCCAGTTTTCTGTGGACCAAAGGAACTATGAATGCAAATCAGATATTATGTCCTGAGTCTATCAGAATGGCGGTAAACAGGATTTTTTTCAGGAATATCCAGGTGGGCGCACGTCAAAACTGCTTGAACAGCTTAATGACTTATAGCAAGTAGGCAATTCTCCATTCTCCTCGGAATATTGTCCTCTTTATACTTTTCATTCTTTGTGTGATTATGACAGCATTTGCGGCAAAGGGCTACGCCACGACAACTGCTGTAATAAGTGGTTTACAGACAACTTTGGGCGTTATTCGACTATTGTTGGAGTCTTAAGAAGTGCCGGAGCAAGAAATCAGTATGTAGTCCTTGCTTGCGCCAGATCATGGAAGCGCAATTACTAGTCGGTTAGCTCCCTGGGTCTCCAATCTTCAAACTGGTATTTCAATCTTTCTCCCAGATTTGTTGCGATACCACCCATTTGTTGGGAAGTTGAGGAACACAAAGATAAGCAATCAGGATATTCTGTCAAACTGCTGATATCGGCATCACTGCGCGAAATACTGCCAAATCCGGACTGTAGCAAGGACTTGAATTCATCTAGAGCTATCAAAAACAGTGACTCTATTTATGGCCTGCTTTGGCTGCTATTTCAGACCACTGGGCTTTGGCTTGGTATGCTAGAAGGAGGTGCAGGGGCTGTTGACCATAGCCTGGAAGGGTTTGAGCTCTTGACTTGGGGCCTAGGGCCCTTGGGACTCTCGATCTGCTCTCGGGAACCTGATACTGCTAGTAATGTCCAAGGATATATAAGCACATACGTTGCTTGAGATTAATCCAAAACTCACATGGAGACTGATAAAGAAAGGCAAGCCTCACAAGACGAAGGTACTGATACACAATTGACACATTAGACAGCCCTCCTTGCTCGTAAAGTCCCAGAAACATTCATGTAGTGGATTCTGTACCTTGCCGATCATGTGCTCTTTTCACTCGTTCTCAACTTCTTCATGAGGGCACGATTTGCGGAGGCTGATAGCGGGTTGTTGTAGGTAAGATTATGATGAAACATATGGTGAGCCCACTTCGCCATCTGAATGCTGGATGCGAGGAATATGGCGACTGCCAGGTGCACGATTCGAATGACGACCACTTGTACTTGGGCTAGGAAGCCGAGCCCCAGGACTGGAGTGGTCGTCCACTTGATTTTTGCTCTTGTCTTCCTTGTCTCTTCCTTTCCGACGGAAGACGGAAAAGCGGACCGGCTTAAGGAGATAATTGGAAATTTCGAACATAAGGCAGCTCATACAAGGTCAATCAATCCATCAATCAATCAAGATTCTATTAACCTGTTGTAGCCTATCTATTGAAGCGATTAGCTATGCAGGCGCTTCGCCAAATGAAGTAAGAATCTGGTATCCGAACGCCTGGGAAGCCTATATAAACCTAGAAATACAGAAGAGACACAGAAAATTGGCGTATAGCTATATTAAAAGCGAAAATACTACTAGACTCGCCCGCTACGAGGCGAGATATTTCCCCTGCGCCATCCTGCGCGTCTAACACCTATCCCACTCTATTCTATATAGTTGTTCTATTAAACTGACGCAATTCCGCACCTAAAATAACTCTTTCTAGGCAACTGGCTCGTTCATTCTAACCATCGTCTTCTATATCTATTCTAGAACCCGATGAAAAACTTCTATATTCCTAGGCCTACTCCACGTCCCCTATATCGGTGTAGCGGAACTGGTTAAGCAAGTCTACTTAATGTATAAATTCAGCGATATAGCGGATTGCCTGCGGATTAGGTATAAGTGCGTTATAGTCTGAGAGTTTTCTCTAGAGCCTTTCTATATTATATAGTTTATTAAGTACAATTTTGCGGGCTTCTACATAGTTTAGATACTATAGGAGAATATATTTAAAATTCTGGGACTTTATTATACTGCGGCTATATAGACCGGAAAACTAGTAGAATCCAGGCTACGGCTCATTATGCTGAACTTCGCCCGGACTACTTGGTTCTTAATCAGCTTCTTGCCGAATGTTTCCCAGTTAATAGCGTGTCGGTAGGCATCCTCTACGCAGACCCGGGTCATGCGCAGCGACGTACAGGCGAGCTACAGATATTTATAGTTAAGATCTGTTTTTCATTAGGGGTGAATTCGTTTAAAGAGTATTGCGCGTATCTTACTGCTTATAATAATCGGGAAGCCTTTGTTCTCCTAACCTAGCAGGTTGAAAACCAGTACCTCGACCTAGTTGAATTCGACGCATATCAATCCTGGGGGTAGATTAGTATTGCCTGTTCAGAATAAAATAAATACTATTTTACTATTACATATACTACTGTTACGGCACCCTTGCCAGTCAACTAGTTGAGGGCGGCCACGCTAGGCAGAACCGCTGGGCAATGACAACCGAACCCCGCAACAAAGAGATGCCCGCGACTCAGCCCGAGGCTCAGTAATCATGACCTGAGCGCTAGGCCTAATCAGGAAAGGGCGCACGGAATTCAAGTACGTATGTACCTCTACGAACTTGATTTTCTGGGACCAAGGAAATTACCCAATCAGGACTCGTGGTATATAGAACGGCGCCCGGATGGTAGATTCAACCACCAGCGTATACCACCCAACTACCACACCATCTACTATCGGTATACCATCACACAAGGCCGAAAGGATATAAGGACACTCACTACCATGTACTTAGATAGTTCTTGTTTAGTTCTTCGCGTTCAATACAACTGTCATTAATAACCATATCGTTGTCCTTGCTAGTACGATTCGTCAACCTCTTATCACAAGTGGATATACGTATCCCCTTGGCCTTGCTTCTATCTTTGCTGCTTCGGATCTCAGGATCATCGTGTTAGTTCTCAAGAACCTCATCGTCGCTCACAGGAGTCGCTTTACTCCTAGGATAAGTATCGATTGCCCGCTCGGACTAGTGGATTCTAGTCACCCTCGTGCTTGAGCTATAACACTAGCAGGTTACGCAGCTTAGACGGATACCAGAGTTTGACAATAATATAGATAAGAATCCGAAAGATAGATTACTACTAAAATCTATATATACTACCTAGACCATTAAAAAGATATAATTCTTTTAAAATTATTAATAATATCTTAGATAGTATAAAAAATAAAAAATAAATAATAGATATTATTTTAGTATGTTAAAGTAGAATATTTTAATTAATTAGTTTTAAATAGTAAACTATATTATAGAATTACAAGAGTATTAATACTAAAATAATAATATATATTATATATAGTAAATTATAGAGATAATAAAAATATATTAATTACTATTTAACCTATAGTTAGTAACCTTATTAAATTAATCTCCTCTTTCTTACTAGCCGATTAATTCGATAAGATAAAATCTTTATTTTTAGTCTGATTATACCGGTCCGGTTATTAGGTTCTTTATACCTTAACCTAACCTAGCCAGTTATAGTCAGATTATAGTGAGGTACAACGGTCAGGTTAACCCACTCTACTTCTAGGAATAGATCTAGAAAATGTCCCTGCTAATTAGAGCTAAATAATAGTTTTTATAATTTTAGCAAATGTCTTTATACTAACTAATTAAAACATTCTATTAGATAGTTATCTAATTCTAAATTATAAAAGTATTTTAAACAGGCTAATTAAAATCTTAGATTTAAAAGAGCTTACAAAAATACGCTGCAGAAATTTAGAACAACTAGAAAACCCCAAAAAACCCTAAGATCCCAAGGATTGCGAGAAACCCGACAAGAGCATTTTCGAAGAGGTCCCCCTTAAGGGTATGGTCGAGCAAGGCGATCGAAAATATCAGGCATGCCTTATCGAGCTATTCTTCAGCCTACTTCTGCTGATTAGCGCGCTGCGACAGTTAGAGACCTTGTACTTGGATCGGGAAATTAACCAGTTGCTGGCCATAGGTCTCCATCTTGTCGAGCGCGGCGAACTGGGCTGTATTCAGCTGGTGGCGGAGCGCAATCGACTGGTCCGTCCGGCTGCTTGCCGTAGGCGAAGCAGACTAGATGCTGCCAGACCTGGCAGTACCGGCGATAGGTCGCCGACCGAAGGTAGATCTGGATCGGTCGGTTCCAGATCCCCGGCCGGCGGAAAAAAAGTATTTATCTGAATCTGGTCGAGTTCATTAATCTAACCCTCCTTAATCGTCTCGTAGGCCTAATCAATCAACCGCTCGACGCTAGCGGTAGATTGCTGAAGCAGAGGCTCGGTCGTCTCAAGCAGATCGCCTAGTAGAGCTGCTGCTGTCGGGTCCTGACCGCGGAGATATTGGGGCCAGCGGGTAAGCTCCAGGCAGGGGGAGACGGCAGACGGTGCAGGTCAATGATAGGCATATCTGGACGTCAGTCCGCTCCGCAGCGGCCTGGCCCTCCTGCAAAGCCTGCTCGACCCAGGCCCGAATAATCGCCGCGGGAGTCTCTAGAGAGGCCGTCTACTTGAATTTCTGGTCGGCTGGGATGTCCACACAAGTAACCTTAAAGAACTGACTCCCGGCGCGAGTAGTGGTGAAGCGCTGGCAGCTTATGATTCGATCTGTAAGACGGTCCTGAAGAGAGGCCTAGGCCTGCGCTGCAGATTGCCGACCTAGTCCCCGCGACGTTTTCTGGTCGCGATGGCGCTGGTGGCGATATTCCTCTATTGTCTACAACATCCGGCCTGATATAGCCACAGCCGGCGCAGCTATAACCCTGATAGACTGGAAGACCAGGAATAGGAGGGCTACTTATAGGCGGGGCTCCATAGAACTCCTGCTCTGTTTACCTAAGGCTGCAGCAGCATAGCAGCTAAAGCTGCCTGTTGTAGGGCTGGAGTCGCCGCGCTAGGATGGATGCGATGGCGTGTTCGGAGATGGGTAATTAAAGTAGTTGGGGAAACCGCATACTGGCAGTGAGGTGCGGTACAGATCCAGATTTCATTGGTTGGGTTGTAGAGAAAGAGGTCTATCTTAATTTAGACTCAGTACGACAGAACCTAATAATTAGGCAGGACGATGGTTTTCCGGGAACGACGATTCCTCTATACATCTCTAGATATCTCTATACGCGTTGGTAGCGCGTCCACCACGCGCTGCGCGCAGAAGAGAGAAAGAAAAAAGCAAAATCGTGTTTCCTCACGCTTGTCCTCTAAAAATTCTATCGAATTCTGAACACATAGCGCCGATCAGAGTCTAGCGGGCCGCTTCGGGGTACGCACTGGAGGCGGCGGGAGCACAGATGAACGTCAAATTTGGACCAATCAGGGGGGCGAGAAAAGCGACCGCAGGTGCGCGGTAGCTTAGCGAAGACTTCTGGGTCGCAAGGTTTTACATTACAAAAATAATGATGATATCTCGCGATGAGCTACAATAACGTGAGATCCTCAAGCACAGAGGGGTGGTTCTGACACAGAGTTATAAGTCGGTGCAAAAGCAGAGAACCCGGGGAGTGCGTTTTGTAAAAGCGGTTTGAGGCACAATAAGCAGACGTCCTGATTATTTCCACGCTTCCCACACTGGTTAAGGGTTCCATATAGTGGTTGAAACAGACCGTCTGTATTGTGTAGCTCGACAATCTCTGAAACAGAAATAAATCTCCCACAAAGAGAGCACACGCCATTCCTAGTAGCAGCTTAGATATGTTCTCCCCTAGCGAGACAAGGAAGCGCGTATCTGTGCTTAAAATAAATCTGGAGGGAAATGAACTGAAGCATATTCCCCGTTGAAGCTCATCTCGGAGTAACTGTAAGGCTAGCTCAAGGCTTTTAGCTACGTTCGGTTCAAGGCAGTGGAAAGTTTTAGGGTGAATGAAGCGATGATGAGAGTAAAAGAAACAAAATCATATGTCTTGAAACAAAAGTTGGTCTTGGTATTCTTCACATTAGGCCTATAGAGTGGGGACCGCAACCAAGCATAAAGTACGATAGAATATAGAACGCTCGTGGAATGGAGTCCTATATACTAGTCTGATGAGATTTTTCTCCTGATAGCGCCTTCAAAATGGTCATGTGCAAGCTGTAAAGCGTAGTTCTCATTAATAAACTCCTGCATCCCTTCCAGTGTTGCTTTGTCTCCACTTTGAGGTGCCCAGGCAATCATGAATATCCTTTCGTGGCCAACTTCGTTGACATCAATCTGGACCTTATCTGGCTGTGTTCTGCAAAGATGCATAATGTCCCATCCAGAAATTGTCTCCCAGAGGGCAATTTTCTGTCCTATCATACCCGGAAGGTCATTCTGTAGGCCGCCGCGAGCATCAGGGTCCACTCTAACACCAGCTGCCTCAAGCGCATCATATGCTTCGGTGAAAGTCGGTAACTGAATTTTAAGGAAAACAACTGTCACCTTCACATCAGAAAACCACGAAGCTATGTATGCGATAGTGCTGGTCCGTGTGGCCATTCGATAGAAAACGGCGTCTTTGTACTCCCATGTTTTAAAGAGCTGGAATTTATCCGTCTTGAAGGATGGGTTGAACTTGTCCATAGATAGGTGACTTTATTTCCTGTATTGTTCTGTGGAAATCTGAATATCGAGCGAACAGAAAATCAAAAGTTAAGATGATATAATTGAAAGCAAGGACAAAGGTAGGTAGTAGTGGATTAGTTAACGAAAATAATAATAGTTAATAGGTATAAATTAATTCTACAGTAAAGTGGCTTATGTCTATTTTATACTTAATAGCAGGGAGCCGAATTACGCAATAAAGGATGTTGGGCGAAAGATATGACGTATCTCTGGTATCTATAGCGGTTTCGAAACACAAAGAAGGTTATCATATCCGACATCCGTTAGGATCCTCAATGGGGAGAATAAACCATAAACGTCTCCATACACCACTCAGGATCGGTGACCCACTGAAGTACTTGGTCATATGCCTGGTCTCATGATACCCTTGTAATATAGGATGTTCTGGCCCGTGGCCGCTTACCCAGCTTTCACCTCTTCTTAGCTTTTTAAGTTATTGGTAATTTCTAGCTCTTTTGCTGCTGTGGCCCAGCTGGACTTTTATAGAGGAGCAATTTTGAAGCGACTTGATATTAACTCTGCTTCTGTAGAACCCTCGAATCTAAGACCCAGACCCAGCCTGGGTAGGATTTTGGCATCAGACTTCTAGCCCGGTACTGGATCTGGGTTAGAATCCGGAACTCTAAACCCGTACTTTAGGCCCAGATAACCTATAGAAGAATTTACAGAGTTATGGTTTTATTGCTAGAATTATAATATAAACTGAACCTACTTTAGATTTCCTTGGGGCCCTAGTCACTAGGTCTGGGCTAGATCTGGGTCATAGCAGTTCGACCAGACCTAGGTTGGGTTAGGTTTTGGATCGTGATCTCGGACTCAAATTGGGTTTTACGTCTAATATTGGCTTGTCGTACATTAAGTGAGCTGACAAATTGTCAATATAATAACGTAGTTCACAAATGAGTCGGCCACCCAAACGAGTCGGCCACGCCTGTATCCTATACTATTTTATCAATTTTTGAACTTCAATATCTCAACCACACTTTATATGATCTGTATAATACTTTCTAAATTGCTATATTTGAGTAGATCTAATACTGCTACCGGAATTTTATAAACTATATATCTATAGTTCTCTGGGTAACATATATTACGTTGTAAATTTATGTGATTTATTTTAAATTTATATTACTTCTAATATATTCGTTTATATGTACCTGTAATAGAGATATATATTCTAAATCTATATATCAATCTGTAACCTATGCTTTATTAAAATTAAGCTAATATTGGTTAAGATATTGGATTTCAAAAATTGATAAAATAGTATGGGATACAGGCGTGGCCGACTTGTTTGGGTGGCCGACTCGTTTGTGAACTACGTTAACGCTTTCAACCACCGAGCGGACTAAACCCAGGAGCGGTCCGTTTTCTTCCGCACCCCTATCTAAATCAACCTTTAAAACCACCAACTCTATTAGAATTAATGAATTAAAATACATGAAATAATAGCTATTAACTAGGGCAATTCCGGATTGTATGTCCGACTGTTCCACTTCCACACCTACTACAGCGTTGCGGAGCTCGTCGACGAGGCGCCGGAGTAGATTCTGCAGGCTGCTTGTTAAGCTGCGTGTTAAGCTGCTGAACACGATTTTCACCTTCTTGTATGTTAAAAAGGTGGTTATTTTCTATTTTAGCACGTTTTCTTACCTTTTTCTAATGTTGTCGTCTATTTTCAGCGCGTATAGCCCTAATTTCTTACTCTAAAAGCAGCTGGGTTTGCATTGCTATTTACGCTGCTTTTCCAAGATGCTAAATATACGTAATAGAACTGCTAGAAAACTACCGCTTTCTATTAAGGCTGTTCTGCAATCATTGAACCTTTTAATCTAGCTAGCGTGTAAAAGAATCAGAATGTGAAGAGTCTACTTTAGCAGGTTAGACATCCTGTCAATCAGGTGAACAATAGATTTTCGGATCACGATAGTACTAGTAGGACTAATACTATTAGAAGACTGATTATTGCCTTCCTTAACTATAGAGGTAGGCAATATATATATACTGAGGGGTGTACCTCTAGTATGTCATTGCCAGAGGTATAGGTGTCATTGACTCAGGAGCAGCGACATCCTCACCGACATCAGCATATAACTGCTGCCGTCTTCGAAACTCCGCCTGACAAATGCGGGGGACGAGAAGTACTTAGTGACTGGTTTGGTGGGAGGAAGTGGAGAGGCGTAGCTACTATACTTCTATAGGGTCTACTCTCGAGACCAAGACATCCGAGAATGGCCACAGGGATAGCCATGTCTGGAGACTCTGGGTCCCAAAGGTACATTCTGTATCCAATATATCGACGCGTGCTATTTCGCAAATATACTGCTTCTGAAAGCCAAAATAGCAATCCCAAGGTCATCAAGATCATTCTATTAATATCTCCTAGATGCTTGAAGTTCCACAACCAAAGGCAATGGCTTCCAGGTTCCTTTGCAAACAAAATTACAGTAGTGAGCACTACATTCATCTGTCTCAGCGAAAACAGGACGGACGCGATGTAGTCTCAATTTGACAAAGTAACAGAAGACGAAGTAATATAAATAAGCCGTAAATCAATAAAGTATTGCATTATAAGAGATTCCTCCACTTCTCTGCAGACAAAGCGAAAGAATGGATAAGTGGCAAAACCAACCTCGGACATGGAAATACTTTCTCTATACAACCCGTTCGAAAAGTGCAAATCGATGGTGTGATCTGAACATCACCCGGAAGCCATTCAGAAAGCCGACTCTGTTGACGAAGTATGAGACTAGTACTCAGTAGCCGAGCTTTTATACTTCATGACTTCTGCAGTTACTGGACCACGAGACGCTGCCACGGATTTATAACCGTTTCCCAATTATTCAGTGCTCCATTACTTGGTAACAACGGCGGCATGGGCATTTAGTAGCCCCCTGTTTTGTACATTCTACGCGAATGGTACCTTTTGAAGGCAGTAGCTGTTGATTTTCAGACCATATCGGCGGCCGGTAACGCAGTGCGTTTACTGCCATCCTGGAATGTATAGTTTTTCACTATCTTCTCAGTAATGTTCGCAGCAAGTCGAAAAACGGCTTTAGTTCCCCTTGTAGTGTTTCATATTCATCGGCGAGTGAACTGCACACTCCAGCATGCTTGGAGATGGGAAGAGCATTGGGGGGCGACGAATCTCGCATGAAGCCGCTGGAGTTGGGAGACTGTTAATAACCGAAGCATTCTTGTAGTCATTCTGAAAGATAAAGATATGGCAAGGAATGAAAATGAGACACCATAAGTAGCACCCCATAGTAGACCATAGCGCCGTCTGTCGTCTTGTTCCCAAATTTGGCTCTGAGCAAAAGAAACAGAAGCTGGAATGCTGCATCTCGAGAAAATCGTTATGTCTCACAATCGGCGTGATACTGAGCTGAATTTAACCGGTGGAGGCCCAAGTCAAGACCGGCGACCTGACTCAAGCCCTCTAGTGCAGTATCGAAGAGAGCGATATCGCAGTGAGTAAAGTCCAATTCTTGCGGTCAGCGACTGCGTTCGAACCTGACGAATGACTAAATATAGAAATCACTGAGAGATCAACTCAATAGAGAGCATACCAAATCTTAGTTTCGTTTCGAGAAATCAGAGATCACTGGCGCTTATTCGCTGGGTATCCCTGTCCGTGCCAATACGATCCTATGGTCCAATTTGCAGCAGACTTTACCAGGTAACAATTTCCCCGCAACACTTGTGATATCGCACCACTAGTTTAAACCTGAAATAGTGAAGCAAGTAGTAGATATAAGCGGCTTTACATGTAGGAATATCCAGTGGTCAACTCGAATTATTTCAAAGTGTCGGTTTTCCTGAAAGCACCATCAATGGCCCGCCTGCAGAATTAAGCTGCGTAATTTTGGCATCTGCCAGGCGGATACCGAGGCATGAATCATCCCTTCCTATGTTTTGTAAGGGAAATAGGCGCAACGCACGCACTGGAAACCGCCAATCCCGGAGCAAGTCCAAAATATGATTCGAAATTCGTGTATAAAGGTCACTGGTTAGCTGATTAACCTTGTTGGATGCCTCGTTTAACCAATCTGGTATCCCCACTATGCGCTGCGTGACGGTAAACTTGTTTATTTTCTGTATTTGTATGCATAAATGCTCATCCACAACACTGGGGCGAAGAACCAGATTAATCATAGCATCCGAGGTTACGGTGTTCGATGTCGACCAAGGCAGACGCAGAGTCGTCGTGGATTTAGTATCCCAAAATATACAGACAGCCTAGAAACATTAGTTAGAATAAAAAGCCGTTTGATGCATAAGTGAAACAAGCGCAGCCATACCATACTCCCCGGATCATCGCTCCTTATGCTAATATTTGAAACACTTCTCATCCTGACAGAGGATCTGACATGGAAGATATCAAGGAAGTCGAATTGAAAATCCCTTTCTTGGGGGTTTGCATTGATAAACATATTTCCAGCTGCGTTAAGGAGAGCTGCGTCCGCACCGACAAATGTCCCAGTGGGCCAGTTGCCAGATGGGGCCATCATGCTTGGGGTTGGTCTGTCAGTTGCAGAAAATGCAATGAGCTGGTGATTCTGAGTTGTCATTTATTTGGAAATGTTAGCATGTCATGGCACAAAACAGCAAGTCTAGATCGACTTACGAGGTGTACTAAGTTTCACACCCCAAATGGATTGTTCCGCTGGAAGTGTTAATGATTCCAATTCAGTCTGTCGCCTGTTGATTATTTTGAGTTTCTATGAACTTGTAAAAGGACCCACAAACCTTAATTCTTTCAAGTAGCCAAGGAAGCACCAAGCCATTCATTATCGAATCAATGGTGCCATCACCGGGATCAATAGACGTAAAAGTGCCATCATGGATGCTAATCTGTACGTTAGGCGCTGATTCAGCCGTAGTCACAGACACCGATGCGATGAGGTCTACGGCACAACGTCGATTTGTCGAGGAAGGAGACTTCGCGCGTGGCCGATTATAGGAAAGTAATATTGTGCATTTTGGGATCCGAAGGCTGAATCCTGCCCGGAGCAGCTGCTTCACAGTGTTTTGAAAGACTAGCTCTTTCTCTGAATCAGGGAGAGCTGAAATACTAGACTCCCTGAACAGCGTGTCGCGCAGATGTTCTTGGAGATTAGGTGAGTGCATCTTGCTCTAGAATAACTTATTAGCCATGTCGCTCTATAAGTTAACCCTGTAGGTTTTAAAAACCTTAAAAAAGGACACCGTAGGTGGCTCATCAATGTTCAGAGTAACTGTTGTCGGTGACCCTGGCACTGAGTACTTAATCGGGGAGGGTGGCCGGCGTATAAATAGCTGCCTGATAATACTGTTTAGATCCTCCTCACTGATACCATATATAGCAGTCCCGTTCTCCATAGTGAATTGATCCTCATACTGAGAGCAGGATATAAAGAGTTGGATTCTGATATATGGCTCGCGATGTGCGAAGGGTCTGATTTTACTGAGCTAGTATTTGAACCATGTCGGCAGAGTGATCATGCGACCTGACATGTCATTATGACGCCACCCCGGAGTGAAAAATGTAAACCCCAAGGTAAACCAGGCTCTGCAACCATTAACACTCAAGATCTGTGGCTTGAGAGACGTAGAGATAGTGCGGAGATACTTTACTCCTGGTAATGTAATTCCATACGTCTATGATGGTAAACCCGAGCCATACCAACCATTTCCAAGCTATGTTCTACAATCTTGGTTTTCGTCCTTATTGTCCCAAAGCTCGGCGTTGCTGCAAAGGTATAGGCAGAAGATTAACTAGCTAGGTATTAATCTTCCTGGTATGTGAAGCCAAGATACAGGAAGATAGAAAGTAGCCCACAGCTAATAGTAAGAAAGAAAAGCGATAGATTGAACGGCGGATATAACAAGGGGAAGGAAGCAGTGAGAAAGGAAAAAAAGATACAAACTATGGCCTTCACTTTTCTGCACTTTAGCGCACAAACCTTGCCATTTGCTCCCGCTTGTAATAGAAGGACTACCACCTCGGTGTGTCCACTATGCGATGCTGCTTGCAATGCCGTTCCATGTTTCCCGCCCCGTACGTTAACATCTGCGCCAGCCTGCAGGAGTAGCTGGACTATTTGAACATGGCCCCGGTATGAGGCCGCCTGTAATGGTGTACCGTATTCCCCGCCTCGTATATTAACTTCTGCGCCAGTCTTCAGTAGCAACTGGACTATCTCACTGTGGCCTCTATACGAGGCCGCCTGCAATGCTGAGCAGTATCGCCCTCCTTTTATGTTAGCGTCTGCTCCTGAGTCCAGCAATCGCTTGACACTGCGATAATTTCCACAGTATGATGCTATTCGCAATACTGTGGATTTTTGCGTAGTGATATCGACATCAGAGTCAAGAAGTATCTGCACGGGCTGGCTATCGACAGAGTACAATGCTCCTTGCAAAACTTCGTACTCTAACTGTCGAGTTTGTACGCCTAACGGGGAATTGTCTTGCGGCGCTGCCGATGCGTATTCCATCGGTCTAATTAAGAATCAATATTATTGTGAGTAACGAAATTATCATGGCAATCGGTAGAACACATACAAACCTTTAACACCATCGGCAAAGCCCTATTACCTACTTTGCCTCTCAGGAGATACTCGACAAGAACTTGTCGTTTCCGTTCTGCGATCATCCACAATGCGCATGTAGGTCGGGCTAAGTCTATTGACCAGGGGTTGCATTCCTAGCAGCCTCTACTCTGGCCCCGTGCGTTTCCCCTTGTGTCAGTTAGAGAAAGTTTTGGACAAGCAACAGATGCTACATATATCGAGCAAAGATTATTAGATCCCTTAAACATGTCGGGATTATATGATAATACATGCTAGTGTCTAACTCTAGAGCTTGCCGCTTGGGTCATGACTAAATAATGATGTAAAGAGCTTCCGCTGGTTTCTGAATGACCCCTCTAATCTTTGCATTAAGTATTACATTTAAAGCCCTCTTAATATGGATTTGGCTTATCCAAAATTTCTGTTGATGGGAATTTCGTTACAATTGCTGCCATGGGCTCCTGCCAGCAATACGTCTAGCCCACGGATCTGTTCCGATCAGATCCTTACTATGGCAGAGCTTTTGGAGACAAATAGGAAATGATAAATATTACTCATCCTCAGAACGTTAATGCAAAACTCTTATTACATATGCTATTTCTGTTGTGGCTAGAGGCCTCGGCTCCTGGGTGTGCTGGAGTCGCGACTACTTAACACTAGGTACTGTATGTCAGCTAGCTCCTGCCGCGGAGTCATCCATATTTTGGGCCGACCCATAATACAGGCCTGAGTCCGCAAACGGCATCACATAGTAGCCACACAGAGGTTCTAGCCCTTCTATTGCAAGCGGTAGCAAAGGACAAGGTTTTCGGCCAAAATACAGAAAAGCTGGGGCGATAATTTCTACTATCTTATCCTTCATTATTATTTTCTTTGTTTTATATTCTCCCTTCACTCTGTCACTTTTCTCACTTACTATCATCTATGGTTCACTTTCTATTTCTCTGTACCTTTGCTTTCTTTACCTGGAATACTAAATACTAAGCCTTCCGCCTATATCTTGCTAATATCGCCGAGCTCGTGTAAGAAGACGAGAAAACAAGATATAGATTCTACACGTGTAGAGCTGAGAACATTCAAACTTACTAAGCACAGCTGTAATCAAATAGCTAGGCATAAAACAGCTCTGCACGCTCTTTAAGTTTCAGGCTAATCATAGTTTTAGAGTTTAGTTGTCACAAACAATCCGGACGTTAACTTTGTTATAATACATAGTCCATAGAAAGTGACTAACTCTAGGATGAAATGGAGCGCCTCTACGACAAAAATAACCGATATTTATATGTTTGCCACCGAAGCACGTCATAATGACATGTTAGGGCGCATGATTACTGCCACAGCCAACATAGGTAGCAGATGTAGTCAAAAGACAAGCTCCTTCTTTCAGATAGATTAGACATCTACATCGTGACCCACACACATCACTGTCTAATTCTATATCTTCTAACCTCAGAACTACGACGAATTCTTTATGGAGAAGAGGACTGCAGTATTTGGTATTAGTGAAGAAGACCTAAACAGTATCCTTGAGCAGCTTTTTATACGCCGGCCGCCTTATCCGATCGAACTCTCAGTGCCAGAGTCGCCCGCACGAGCTACTCTAAATATTGACGAAGCACCTACAGTGGACTTTTTTGAGGTTTGCTATATCCATAATGCTGCAGTATAGAAAAGGATTATTAATATGTTAATATAGGACAAGGTACTTTCATCTAATCTCCAAGAACATCTGCGGGACACGCTCTTCAGAGAGCCTAGTATTGCGGCCCTCCCGGATTCTAAAAAAGAGTCGGCTTTTGAAAATACTATAGAGCAGATAGCCCAAGTTGGTTTTAACCTTCGGATTCCGAGATGCACAATATTGCTGTCCTATAATCGGCCACAAGCGAAGTCTCCTTCCTCGATAACTCGACGTTGTGCTATAGACCTTATCGCATCGATCTCAGTGAATATTGATCAGTCAGCCTCTGAACTGCAAGTCAACGTTTATGATGGTATTTTTACATCGACTGATGCTGAAGATGTCTCCATTGATCCAATAATAAACGGACTGGTGCTACCGTTCTTGATTGAGTATTTGTCTAAGGTTAGTTAATGCTTTATAAGAGCTGCAAAAGCTGAAGTAAGCTAGGATCGAGTAAAATATAATATTGATATTCCGCCAACTGCATTAGCCAACGCCCAGAAACTAGGACTTGGTGTACCACGTAAGTACTTCTGCTGAGCCAAGGATGCAATTGTGTGATATAAGTAACTAACCTTGCCAAAGAAGTCACTGTTAGAAATCACCAGGCCTTAGCGTTTTCTACATCTGGTAAAAAGGCGCCAGACATGGCGGCCCCGCCTGGCAGCTGGCCAGCAGGCGTATTCGTTGGTGCAGACTTGTCGGTGCTCACTGCAGCGGCAAACCTTGCTGCTTCACAGATCGAAAAAGAAAAGAACTTTGGCTTCGGAAATATCATTAGCGGTGAAATGCATGCTAGGTTTGGACCAATTTCGGATGTTAAGGTCATTGAAGAAGGCTCAACGAATCTGGTAAGCTTTAACATTCCTTCTTGCCAGTGGTTCATATTCTTAAAAAGGCCTCTAGTCCGCTTGTATATCTACGGATGTGTCATTTAATGTCGCCGTTTCTATGCCCTGGTCAATACCAAGTTTTAGGTACCACTTGCGTTGCAGAATTGAGATGAGTGCCACTACAAGGGGTGAGCAGCTGTTCCTGAATTTTCGGTACATGGACCACCTTAATATCGAACGGCTTATGCTCGGCATCCCTAGCTGGTTGAACAACATTTTCCACCTGGTGGGTCGGTTAGAAGCTGAGCTATATACCCGAATATCGAAGCTTGTGGTGGTCTTAATCAGGGCGTGGGAGTTCCCTGTATGTAAGCTGCCGCCGATCCCAATCCCTATGCGGACTAAAGACGATGTACAAGTCGGGATCCGACTAGATGATGTTCGAGTGTCACTGCTGAGCCCCGGGAGTGAGCCATTACTGGTTTTATGCGGCATGCCCACAGTCTGTACAATAGACTGAGGCGGGGACAGGTTCCTTCAATATTGAAAGGTTCTCTGTGACCGGCAACTTCGTTGAAACCTCGATGGTGCTACAAAACCCTTAGTTCGTTTCTCTTGCGTCGACTTCACCTAGCGATTATGACATGTTTTATTTGCAGCTACAACCTTCAAATTTCCGGGCTATTCATGTTCTCTTTCTAACTTTCTCGCCTATAATCCTATATTTGAATATCAAGTAGTTCAGGTATCGCTTTGGAGGCCATCTCGCGGATATCAGCTGTCCTAGTGTGTGAATCCCTAACAGTAACTGTACTTCCTCTTAACCCCCTCCCTCTGCCTGATAAGCTTGGCGATAGAAATTTTTAAAGCTTCTTGTGGGCTTCCTGTAAGCCTTCAAGAATTTACTTCTTCCAGGAAGCTTGTTTTTTCGTCAGGCGATTGATGGAAAGTTCTAGATGTTCAAACAGGTTGTTGTAAATATAATAGACCCCATTGACAGTCGCTCCAGAATTCTCCGATAGACAGGATGTGAAAAGAAAGAAAGGGTATGGAACCTCTAGAAGATATTTCAACTATTTCCATGCAATGGATGTAGGACGAAGATGGTCAAGGTTATGACCCTCCCAGTGTTGAACAAAGTTCTCTGTCAATCTTCAGAGCTTTAGTGCACCCCGAATTATCAGATAGAAGGAGTTCTATCGAGTCTTACAGTCCGGAGGAAGATATATACCGATGCGGATACAAGACACTGGGTAAGCTGGAACTTTCTATGACTTTAAGGGCTGGCGTCCACGAATTTAGCGATCTTTCAGATTAGAGTGATAATAGATATCAGCAGAGAGAACAAAGAGGATTCTGAGCAAGCCTTCTTCAGGAATCCCTAGGAAAGCTAGATTAAGAAAGTTAGATAGTCCGTACAGGATCATCTTGGCATACCGTTTCAATGGCTCGTGTGATACCACTAGATGATCTAAGAGTCTCATCCAGATGTAAGAAACAGTATCATTGTCAGCTGCAATTCGCAGCTTACTAAGGAATAACATGACAGCAAGTTGAATTACATGAGCGAGACACGGAATGTGATGCTGGTTCTGAATAGTCTTGGAAAGCTCGGTATTGGTAATAACATCCTGGAGATGAGTAACTTGATCAAGTAGAGCCCGGCAGCCCTAATAAACGATGGCACAGATTATGCTTGTGAAGAACTGAGAGTACAATAGCAGCAAGAGTTTCACCTGTATGAAACCCGGATATCGGTCGGAAGCCCACAATCGACTGCAATTGATACCTTGCCGGTAATTGGAAAGCGAGAGAAGCTGAGTATGTGTTTCTTCAAACAGCTCGATTAACCTCTCATTGATTTGCTTCTGGTTCGGGATACTCAGTCTACGGGATGACGAGGCAGCGGTAAGATTTATCAGTTGTTTAAACTGAATATGATCGATGGTTCGAAAAGGTAGACGGCAGGCAATGATGAAATGAAGAACTTAGTCAAGAAATGCTTGGTCGGTATAAATTGCCGCAGTGTTCTAAGAAATAGAAGCAATTAGTATGGATTAGTAGAATGGGAGATAATATTCTACGCTTGTTCACTCAGCATCGGCGTGACTGTTCTTTTTTTTTTTTTGGAACAGTAGCAGGCGTTGTCGTCAGAGATGTCCCTCCAATTAGCGGGCAAGCAAATCGAGCGAGGGCAGGTTCTCTCATCTACTATGGAGTAGGGTTATGATCACGAACCGTCGTCTGCATCAAAGCGGCGCTCGTAAATTTGGGCTGAACCTCGGATACATGCGCCAAAGGAAGTCAGCGAAAGCATTATGGTATTACAGGCAATGATACTGACCACCTTCGATCCATGCATGGCACTTTGTTGTACACTATCCTCAGCCAGGGCTAAACGAGTGGTGGCAGATGGATGGTCACGAAGCTTTCCGAACGGCCGGGTCAACTCATGGCATCAGTGGCGTATATCAGAAAGACCAGGGTTGGTGGTGGCACATCTTTAGAACATCATCGCATGGACATGAATATAATACAGGAACCTTCTGATACAAGAAAGAGGACCTGATCCCAGAAAAATATAAGTATCTGGATACTTCGTAATCGTGACAATCTCTGCTGTCTTACTACAGTCTAGAACTCAACTTTCATTCCTATAGGGATGCGACATTCCGCGGAAGTGGTTTCCAACATGCTACCGGTAGTGATCATTTGATGGGGATTAAGCTTGTTAGTCAGGAGTCACACCACATGATACTATAGGCTGGTAAAGTTCCCAGCATAAAAAAGTTCGGAATCTGAACTCTATCATCATTAAGACCTTCTAGAGACAGCCTTTACGCTGTACAATGCGTTGACGGCGGCACTGCTAATACAGTCAGCATTCTCCCACAAGTTTGTAGTAGATTTATTTGGAGGATGAAATACAGGCAGAGCTGTATGAAGAGCCGCTTAGGAGCAATGCACCAGGTAGGTAGATGGGGACCGAAATAACCTGGTGAGAACCCTGCCGTAGCCGTAGTATAGGGGTGAACACCAAACTTTTAGGGAGAACTGGATCACTGGACCTGAGGCAGATGCATCTTCTATTCAAATCACTATGGAGTCATGTGATTTATGATAAAATTCCGTGAGTTAGCATTTAGCCCACCACGCCGCCCCTTTTTCACCGAAACCTCTGCTTCCTAATGTTTTCATCCGCCAACACCTGGAAGCACCAGCACAATAGATCACCAACTATTAAGTCTACACGGCCACAGCCTTACACACAACGGCCCCAGGAGTATAATTAAATTATGTTGGCGGTTCAGAGACTGCAACTTTGAAATAGCAGCCTTACCAGCCTGCGCTATATACACCCACCTGTGGTTTTCTAGGAGATGACCCTTTCAAGTAGGCATTTAGAACCTTCGCACTCATGAAGAACAGCCTGCCTAAAGTTATCGCACTATCACGTCTCTGAGTAACTGGTAACACGTAACTTGTCCAACATCAGTTTAAATCACTGAATTGCGGTATCATCGAATATAACGAGTAAGCGAATTACAGCAAGCAGAGTTATTGCCATGTCTGGGAGCATACCAGTGAAGTGGCGCATGTCTATTTACTATGAAGGCTAAGCTAACATAATGTCACCGACCAGCGTGGGTGACCGAGTCGTTCGTTCCGAAACCGCGGTTCGGTAACATTATCGGCTGCGGAAAGTTATGGACATTATAGGTGGCCAATGTCCCTAAAGGCCCAAGCGGTCTGGTCCTGCCTGTACGTATGCAAACCCGTCGTTCACGAAGCAGCTAATACTCCTCGCATTCAATCCAAGAACTATAATACCTTGAACGGAGAAAACGCTATTCAACACGTCAACGCACCGCTTTCGTCCAAGGCTGATTTAGACTTTTCCATCCTATACATTCTGGGACGTCCAATCACCTGGTGTTCCAAAGGCGGTGGAATGGTCTGGCGACCGATGAGCTTAATTACATCACCCTCGTCAAGTTGATATTAATTCAAAGGTTCCAGAGATTGCATGACTATTCTATAATGTCGTCATGGTGATAAATATATCTCAACAGTAAATCGGATCCGTGTCGTAAGAAAGTGATACTATAAATCTAAGCAGCTATCAGCTCCCGGAATATCTAGTCGTCACATGAGGAACGTGATTGGAATGTCCCATTATACGATTTCTGGTGCAGTACTCCCAATCCCTACCAACCAAGAAGATATTCGTCCTTTGAACTAGGCGAAAGAGAAGGATGGAAGAGAAATGTAATGAAATTGCGGTCTCCCGTATAGCACAATCTATTATCACAGTCTACTGACAAAATACTTGTTAGTTTCCACTCGTTCGGACATTTGCCAACCTACTTCAAGTCTTCCCGAGAATGACTTGGAACTAATAAGCGGATTATTAGCCGAACGTCGCGATTTACAACGCAAAGAGTGTGTCAAATTCGGCCGAAGGGGCCCCAGAGGCGGCATAACCGAAAAACAGAGAGCAGAATTACAAGCTCTAAAGACATGTCTCACAATGGATTACATACATCTGGGTGGTCAGAATCTGTCAAGATCCTTCCTTTGGAGTGTTATTCGAGACGCGGGGGACAATACGCACAAGTCCTATATTCTGCCAAATCCGCCAGAGGAAGGTGATACACAGGCAGATAAGATATCCAAAGGCCTGATCAGGCAATATTTCGAGGAAGCCAAGAACTTCATAAAGGAAAATTTCACCCCCCATGATTGCCATAGGGAAAGTGTGTTGCTGTACCAATGCAGTGCTGGCAAATTCGACATCAAGGTGAAATTAGGGGGAATCTATTTCCAAGACGGGAATGACTGTGTTGTGACCATTCAGGTTGAGCTTTCTTCTTCGGATCCGGGTCTCAGATGTGCATTCCTCAAGCTGGAGTGTGAAGTGGATCAAGACGTAACTGGATCCCAAATCATCAAAGATATAAAGCCAGCCTGGTCCCGGGGCGAAGTTAAAACCACAAAAAGGTCACAAACAGTCGAATACAGGATTCAAGAGAAGAAAACCGGGGCAACTCTCGGAGGAAGCCACACCACCGAAGCTAACTTGGAGAGAAGGCTGACAATTAACGGCTTCATTAAATGCATAAAGGGCAAAGAGAAATTGGCTCGCTGGACATTAAACGAAAGTGGAGCTGATGCGAACGGGATCCCGCCAGGCTTTCAAGGAGCCTTCGTTCTTGGGTCAAGACGGCCATTTCGGCTCACTGTGAAAGTTTGTGTGAATCTTTTCGGATCGATCAAATACTGGTGGTTCACTCCACACAGAGGAGCTAAAGCAGGATTCGACATTGATCCAGAGCTTCTCAAGTGCGATAGAAAAGTCCAACTTGAAAAGTGGACTGGTGCTATGGGAGAGTATACGTTTTATCCATATCCTCCTTAACGTCATCGCCGTGAGGGTTGAAAGGTTTTCACTTATTCCCGTCCGCTGTAACGAAAGCCTTCGTCACTGGCGGTGTTTTGTCCTTTTTGATCCAGGACGGTTCTGCTGGTATGATGATCTCCAGTGATTTCGCTAGCACGGGGGATAAGTATTCTTAGTTTTCAAAACGTTTATTATCTTTTCTAGCGACTGTTTCCCGGCCTACTGCAGATAATTCGAGGATTCTCAGCCAGCATGTCCTTTTCCACTTCAATCTTGTCATTTGTGTTTATGCTAAGCAGATGCGATAATATGATTTGAGGCAAATACTACCCTCTAGAGCTTACTCCCGCTAAAACCCTCGTCTCTGCGCTTGTTATTCTATTAAACGCAAAAGATGTGATGCGCAGAAAGATCGAGAATTTAAGGGTTAATACAAGTAGTTGTCAAACCCTGGTATCCGTCTAAGCTGCGTAACCTGCTAGTGTTATAGCTCAAGCACGAGGGTGACTAGAATCCACTAGTCCGAGCGGGCAATCGATACTTATCCTAGGAGTAAAGCGACTCCTGTGAGCGACGATAAGGTTCTTAAGAACTAACACGATGATCCTAAGATCCGAAGCAGCAAAGATAGAAGCAAGGCCAAGGGGATACGTATATCCACTTGTGATAAGAGATTGACGAATCGTACTAGCAAGGACAACGATATGGTTATCAATGACAGTTGTATTAAACGCGAAGAACTAAACAAGAACTATCTAAGTACATAGTAGTGAGTGTCCTTATATCCTTTCAGCCTTGTGTAATGGTATACCGATGGTAGATGGTGTAGTAGTTGGGTGGTATACGCTGGTGGTTGAATCTACCATCCGGGCGCCGTTCCATATACCACGAGTCCTAATTAGGTAATTTCCTTGGTCCCAGAAAATCAAGTTCGTAGAGATACATACGTACTTGAATTCCGTGCGCCCTTTCCTGATTAGGCCTAGCGCTCAGGTCATGATCACTGAGCCTCGGGCTGAGTCGCGGGCATCTCTTTGTTGCGAGGTTCGGTTGTCATTGCCCAGCGGTTCTGCCTAGCGTGGCCGCCCTCAACTAGTTGACTGGCAAGGGTGCCGTAACAATTATCTATATTTTTACTGTTATTAATATATAAAAACGCTTTAATTATATTATTATTTTCTTTCCTATATATATAAAAGATAATAGAATTAAAGTTAATCTTATTAAAAATCTGCTAATATTTCTTATTAATAGTTTAAGCGGCGGGAGGCTTTAGTAAAAATAATTTTCTTAGTAAAAAGCTTAGTTAAAGTTTTAGTTATAGTTTTAGTTAGGGTCTTAGTTAAGGTCTATTTAGTTAAAACTTTATTTAAAGTTTTAGAGAACAAGACTGCGGTCGAAAAAATAAATAAAATATTCTAAGTATTTTATCGAACTCTAGGAGCCTCAGGCACCTCGGATGCCTTAGGCCCTCTAGGGTTTCCTAATTGGGAAGTCCCTATTGACCTGACTAGATAATATGAACCAATGAGAGCTAAGGAAATTGACAATTGAACTAGATGATTAATTGAATCTAGTAAACAACTCTGGTTGACTCTAGCCCTGAACCATGGGTCAGAAGGCCCTATTTATAGTATGGTCCTAAGGCCTAGAGTCTTCTAGAAGCAGGCAATCAAAATCAGGAATGACGTAGGAACGCAAGCAGATGACGCAATAGAATCAGAAAGAATAGATCAGAACAATGCAAATCAAAACAATAGAAATCAATAGAATCAATCTGGTGGTTGCCTAGACAATAATGGCTGCCTGAAACAGATGCCTGATTCTGCTGACTAAATGGCTGCCTGAGGCAGGCACCTCTACTGTCTGACATATTTTAATCTAGCTTAAAGAGTATATTAAAGAGTATTAAAGTATTAGAGATATTCTACTAAAGTAGAGAGGATGCTGTAGTTAAAGTAGATATCTAGCTATAGGGCGGCTGCGTACAAGATAGCTTTAATCTTACTTTTTTAGATTCCTTAGATAGTTTAGTAGTCTTTTTCGCTGTGAAAGAGCCCTTAAATTTTTTATATTTTTTTAACCCCGCCGAGCTCTTAGGCTTGTTAATTTATATAAGCAAGGTCTCTCTAATATTTATTACGGCAGATACCGGGGCCGGCGTCTTTTTAAATAGTAATATAGAGGCGCTCTGTACAGCAGTAGAATTTAAGCTATTATTTTCGGAATCCCGGCGGAAGTCCTATATATAAAATAAAATACAATAATATTGCTGTTGGTACTAAGCCACAGTCTATACTTTATCTATCTTTTCTATGTACTTCGGGTATTTTTTTAACTAGGCGATATGTATGCCCCTATAGTTAGCGTATTTTCTTAATTTTTAATCGGCCGACGATCTCTGAAAGTAGTTTTAGGTCTTATAACTATCTATATAGAGGCCGTATACTGTTATATTAGAATAGATACTTCTTATATAGCTGTATTGCTGATATTTAAAGTAGCAGCAGATTTAAGCGGACTGGTTATATAAAACCGTGGTTAAAATAGAGAAGTCTTAAATAGTTCCTTTATTAATAGTTTTGTTAGCGGCTTAGAGAGTTGAGAACTTAGTTATAAGGGCAGATGACTTCTTATTAGCGGGCTAGTTGGTTAGCCAGATTATATAGATAATTTTTGTCTTATTGCCTTAGGCGAAGCAGTTAGCGGTTATTAACTAGTTACTAACCTGCTTAATCTTCTAGGGATTAGCTAGATTACTAATAGATTTAATCTAGATATTATAAACTATTACGCTCTAGGTAGAAAGGCAGACAACAGCCCTTTAGTAGAATAACTTTATTTAACTAGGGTAGTAGCGAGTAATTTTAGCTTTTTAGGCAGTGTGTAGGCTAAGGTTTAAGTTACCTAACTTAAGTTAGCAGGCGGCTACAAACTTAACTAAAATTAGTATAACCGCGGCGGCGGCTTTAAAGGTTTTTATATATGTTTTTTCTGTCTAGTTCTTAATTTTAACTAGTTTAAGCTGTTAAAGGGTTGTTACCGCGCCTGCGTTAGATAGTTTAATAATTATCTTATAGTTTTTGCTAAGCTTAGAAAATATAGTAGCTAGAAAGCTGCCTAATCTATAGGAGGAGACTGTATAAGCAGGCGGCGGCGCTCCTGCTATAATAGCTATATAGAAGCAAATTTTTAAAAATAAAGAGATAGACTAAGTTGTTAAAACGTACTATATAAAAATAGTTTTCTATTTAATATTAAGGATAATTTTGCGGAGTTCGGCAACTGTCTTTCTCTAGTTATTACTAAGAGAATTTTTAACAACCTCCCTAACGATAGCGTAGATATTAGTAATTAGATTAATAATAGGCTTCGGGATTTCTTAATTATAAATCTTTAAATAGTTTAAAAAGACGCCTGTATTGTAGTAGAGTTCTAAGATATAGTTATTTAGAGTTTTTTATCTCTTTCCGCTGCTGCGGGAAGCTGTTAGAGACAGCTATCTTAGTTTCGATAATAATATAGCGATTAAGACCCTACGGAAGTAGGATTAATTAAAAGCGGTTAATGCTATAAGAAACTAGGCGGTTTTTGGAGTTAAAAGACGTTAATTTGGGCGAGAAATTTCAAAAATTAGTTCTGCGTCGAAGTTGTTGTTTTTTTACCGGATGTAGAGAAAAGAAAGAAACCTAGTGGGCTGGGCCTTTTTCCTTTTATCTGCAGGAAGCGCTACTCCGCCCGCCAGAACGCCAAGAGAAATAGTTCTTAAGGGAATTTTCTGTTGAACCACCGAGTCTGATAAGTGGAGCTATGCTTCGCATAGCCGTGCTCCTCCCGCACTAAGTCGGCTTTCTCGTCGAATGAAAAATCTTATTTATCATCCTTTGGTGGGAGGGAGGGTTTTCTCATCACCACCCGCGATACGCAGTCCCATGCCAAACTACACTGTGAAATGCTTGCAGCTTGCTACAAGGCATGACAAGGCCCAAATAAGGCGGAACTCAAGAAAGAATTTGACATCAAATACACCGCATCATACCGTCGAATCCGTGGCGGTAAACCGCAACAGCAATCGAGCCGGGCAATGATAGTCTTAATTTGAGCCAGGAGCAGGACTGGGCACCAAGGCTCGACAGCTTCGGGATGCATTCTAGAAGGGGAGAGTCGGAAGGGTGCGAATGTCATTCCCTCTCCACGGTACAAAGAATTGGTGATGCTTAGCTGGAGCCGAACTGTCAAGCAGGATGACCACCAGGTACGCAAAACGCTTCCCAGGAACCCGGTGGAATGCCAGTAGAATCTATGGCCGTGTACTCGATTCCCATCATATGCCTTCATGTGCTCATGGACAGTCAGATACGCGGATACCCTGGATTGTGTTGCTCGTTTCTAACCCCCAACCAGATTGATCATAGCTTGAACTACCGTGGCTATTCAGCCCTCGCCGTAGTTATCATGCTCCAAACATATGAAAGACTGCTTATTCATGAGATGCAGGCCAAACGATTTAAGCAGCCAAAGTCTATTCTGTCTATTATAGAACCTGGCTCAACAACGACAGGTCCAAAGTGTGGATGGAAGCCCGATTTCACTTTACCAGTGGAGGAAGGATTAACAGGGGGTTTATGACAAGCAGCGGCCAGGCGTCCCGCGTAGCAAGATGTTTCACCTCATTCGCAAACCCAGCCTTAGTCGATCGGTTCCTGGTGCAATCCCATCTAGATTAATGCTAAGATCCGATGCGCTGTTATAAAGACTTGACAGTATTAGAAGAGTCTAATTAACTTTATCTGTTATCCGCACAGCCTAGATATTTCGCATCTTAACAGCCCATCCTCTAACCTATTTTCTTACTTTTTTAGCTTAATCTATTATAAAGTCGCGTAATTACTTATCCTAGAATACTATAACTGGCTTATATCTATTATCTACTTTATACTATTCTAACTCCGCGCGGATTAACTCCGTACGAATATTATTTGCTAGACTAAATCTAGTTACCGTAGGCTATAGAGTAA